ACCCATCTCACATCACCTCTAACTGCGTATATCAATTCACCTATGCTAGTGGAAGCAAGTACATAGGACGGAACGAAAGAAAGGTCTCTATCCGAATTTATAAGCATATTTCGAGAAATCTGTGTCTGAATGGTAGCAAGGTCTTTAGGGGCGCAATAGACAGGCACCTAATGGAAACAGGACATCAAATCGATGATTCTCAATCCTTCAGGATAACCAACAAACGAAAAATGCCATTTTTATTACGGTCTGCAGAAGCCCTCGTCATTAAACATTTTCACCCTGACCTATGTACTCAGAAAGAGATTGTAACTGACATTCCTTTACCTTGGTAACTTTATATAATTTTTTGCATGTATATGTATGTTGTCTTTTCTCTTCTTTTAATTGCATCATCTCCTCATTAATTACTTACTGACCATTAATCACTTAACGATTTTCCAGTAAGTTCATGTAGTTACATAACCTATTGGCTCTTAAACTGCCCCTTCCTTTACACTGGTTGTCGTTTGTTGTTACTCCCCTCCCCCCAAACCACTCCATAACTCCAGAATTTTCTATCTCATCAGATATAAATTCCCATTGATTTTGACTAGGATTTATATTCAATAATCCTCTGTTCCCTTGGCCTACTACTTTATTGTTAATCCTGGATTTCAAATCTCTATTTATTTCTGCTTACTTAAAGTATGCTGCTATTATTACTACTAATACTTCATTTCAATCTTAGTCTGTTCGTAGCTGATGAAAGGCCATGAAATAAAATGAGTTAGTTTTATTCTGCAAATGTCTTTGTTCTTGCATAATTCAAATTGTCAAGAGGACTAAATGTATGAAGGTTAAAATTGCCATCTAGTATAACCTTCAGTTCATTATTCTTAATATACGTTAAACAAAAAATTTTGTCAGTTATTAGCTTAAATTCATAAAGATTATTGCCATGAACTTGTTCTTCTAACAGCTTTGGACAAAAATAGAATTGAATAAATATTTTTAGCATCCACTGAAGAACTGTTGAAAACCTGGAGGCACTGGACAGCTGAGGAGTCCCGTACTAGAACGAAACAGGTGTCTAGTGCTGCCAGGTTTTCAATGCTTCTTCAACTGATGTCAGTCCGTAATGAATACCACCTTAAAAATAAAATCCCCAATAACCTTAGCATACATTGACTAAATATTATTCAGTTGCACGTCAACAAGGTAGAAATAATATAGGAATATTTCAAACTACAAAAACCCTTTAAAGTTATCCGGCTAGACTTATATGTCCAGTATAATTATGTTAGTCCAAAGTTGTAAGGATTCGTATGAAAATCAGAAAACAATAGTTTTAATTTACCCAGCTGCTAGCGATGGAATCCAGAAAGTGCGTTTCCTCTTACTTGGGACTGATCAGCGGAATGTACTCGCACTCCAGTGAGGTATGGTGTTCCCACTGAGACTCGGACCAGGTGCCCATCGCTTTAAATGCCTAAGCGTTATCCACCAGGCCACTGGGGCACGACATCCATCTCTTGTGCAACGAGTATCAGTTGTTGCTTTTTGATACTTGTGATTTCCGGTTGCTATATTGGATCTAGTTGATCGATCTCTGCGGCTCTTGTGCCTCAGCACGGTAGTGGATAACGCTTCAGCGTCTGGAGCGATGGGTACCGGGTCCAAGTTTCAGTGGGAACACCGCGACTTACTGGGGTGCAGAAACATCCAGCTGACGAGTCTCAAGTAGAAAGAAACGCACATCATGGACTCCATCACTAGCTGCCAAGAAAAATAAAACCTCGTCACTATTCAGGTAATATCGAGGCATTTGCATAAAACCCTATCCACCAACAGAGGTCAAGTAATCAGACCCAGTATAACAAAGGGCTATCACACCCGTCAATACATAAGAGTAATTCTCGTAAAAAGGTACCTGGTCATAAGACTAACCTACTTTATAATTTCCATGATTAAATACTATCTATTGATACTGGGTGATGATTGAAGGTGAGATGAAAATTTGGGCTGCAGCAGGACTCAAACCACTGACTTTCAGGTTTCCGACTCAAGGCTCTATCAGCTGAGTTACGAGACCTGGCTGCTGACCAAATTTTATTTCACTTCAATTACCAAGGGTTTCGTCCACCTGTCATATGAATTCGTGACGCGTTATTATCGCTTTATCGTACTTACGCCGTCTTCCCAGTCAGGACTTCTCACTCCAATCCAAATGTAACTGAATTAGAGAAAGGAAACACCATACTGATTATCATTTTGACTATCTGAGTGAGACAGTCGTGCTTTGGTCTTGTAGCTCAGTTGGTAGGGCACCGAGTCGGAAAGCCGTTGGTGGCTGGTTCGAATCCCACGGAGGCCCAAATTTTCATTTTACCCTCAATCATCACCCAATATCAATATGAATCCACCAAAACACTGCTTTTTCACTCACATAGTCAAAATGACTATAAATATTATGTTTCTTATTCAGTAACGGGTATGACTTCAAGTTCCTAAAATTGAATTTAACGGTTTACTGGTCAAATACACACAACCTCAAATGGACCACGATGACGCGGACGCATCGACGTCTTAGCTCCCTACAGTGGTTGAATATTTTACTGGTCCGTCCAGTGTTGCCATGTTACTAGTATTTTCACAGAATGATGTAGTTTATTCTGTTTTGAAGTGTATCGAGGCATGGCTCATAATCTAGGGACCTGACTTTTAACCAATGCGTCAACAGTTGAAACCAATTCCACCATGGTTAACTATATGGTGTCACCAACACAATATATGTGGTGCATGCAACACTGAATAAACATGTGCTTGGCTGCCTAACTCTGAATAATACACAGTTTTATGTTTCTTTATGTCCGTTTTAGGTCATTTTGAATTTATTATTGTTGAAGTTCTTATTCTGCTGTTACGTAATGTATCATCCAAAACACTTTTGTACGGAGATGTAAGATGATCCGCATGCTAAGTGTAGAACAATACAATGCGCAGTGACTAACCAATTGGACGGGAAAACGAAGTGAGTGACCAAACCATGGTACAGTTTGGCGCCACGTGCTTTGCCTGCGGTTGATCCATTTTACAAAGAAATGTGTGAACTATGAAAACATACTTCGTAATAGTCAATAAACAATAACTACCGGTCCATTTTGGCTTTACCACAAGAATTCGCCTTAACATTTACTTCCCGGTAGATACTACTCAAAGCATGTTAAACGATGGCTCATCACAAGTTCTAAAACAATTAAGTAAAGCGTACTCAACAAGATACACTTGTCAAGAGCCTCTTCAAGTGAAACTCTGTTAGGAAGTTTCACTACTGATGAATTCAAATAGTGTTTTCAAGTTAAAAGTACAGTGAATGTTAGATGTCTGTATTCCAGTATCCAGAATACAGACATGATAAGACCTTAAATCTGACTTTCTCTTTAGTTTGCCGATACTGCACTTCATGAAAGTATCACACGATTATCAACCTTCAAATTTTACGGAAAAAGTCAGTCAAAAGATGATTTCTTTTTTCGTGTAAACTGCTGATTAAAGAAAGTAATAAGTCACATATGATTCACAACCTAGATTAAAAATAAGTTTCGCGCAATTATGTTGAAATAACTTTTGTAATAGTCCATCAAGACCCAATGTCTCACATTTTTAGATCATTCATAGCCTACTAAACTTTAATAACAGTTGGTCCCTTTGATTCAATGTCCCAAATAAACTGTAACTGGATACTGAGCAATCTTAAGAGATGCAAATGTCAGCTGACTTGTTAAAAGGTGTTTTACTCTGCAATCCACCAGCCTTTCGCCTGTAGGGATGACTCATGCTACTTTAACAGCAATAAACTCACTGGCCATAGCCTTCCTCGTTAAAATTTTCTACCCAACGATAATCAATACGGACGGAGTTCATCTCTAGGTTGGTATAGATGGAAAGCAAAACAAACGAGGTTTCGATTTTCGTCTACATTTGATGTTTGCTGGAATAGGTAGCTGTCAGTCAACAGTTGTCGCAAATGGTCATCGTTGTTAGTTTTTCGGAATGATGTTACAAAAGAGTGGCCTACAAGCATTTCTGCTAGGCTTGATTTCTCTATTTTTACACTGAAGCCACTCGCTGTGATGACCACATACATACGTGCAGCAGTTTACGAGAGGTTGGAGAGATCTTGACGCAAGTGACGTGCCACTTCGTCAAAACTACAGTCGATAGGCAAAGATTACTGAAATAAACTAGTGTACCAGTCTTTTTGAGTTTTTACTCTTCTGTTAACTTGAAAAGTATGTAAATAGACAAGCTTCAGTGAAGAAGTACACTTAATGCTGGTTACACCTGCGATACGGTAGAAATAGTTTTGAACGCCCATATAACAGAACGGTGGGCCGTATAAACCGGAAAAATTACCCATGTGAGATCAAGCAAACAAATGCACTTCGAGCTGCGGCTCAGTGGTTTAAGGAGATAACAACCAACCATTGCCTACTGCACTTGTTTGCAAGGTGGGTAAGTGCGTTTCGTTTTAAATCGTTCGTACGTCTCAGCAACACAATACATATTTTTGAGCTGCATTCTGGAGTTTTGGTTCAATACAAATTCTGAACGCTGAATGGTGTAGCACATACTTTGACCAGGAATACTATTTAGTGACTCTTAATTGTTAACACACATCCCCTAAGCAAAATAACCTGGTGATATTAAAAAATTAGTACCAGAGGGGGGTTGCAGAAATTGACGAAACAAGAACGGTTGTTAGTGATGATCAACAGGAATATCAGTACGACTATGAAGTAGGTCGACACACCAGTTACTTGCCGTGGAAGGTAACTTCCCCCTGAAGTACCGTAAAGAAATCTGGTTAGTATTGGTATTGTTATCGAGTAAGGAGCATTTCGGTAAAGTCTGCGGAGTATCTAGTTGTCACCCAACATACACAAGGCCTATTTGCGTATACTCAAATAACATTTTATTAACTTGGGTGTATGCTTGAAAATTCCTCAAAGTTAATTTGAAAATTTTATTATGCAAAAGGTAAGCTGTCTTACAGATCGACATTTCTTTATCAAATCTTCCGACAATAGAAAAGAAAGTAGCTTATTTGGAATGTTGATTACCTTTGAGACTTGTCTTACTAATGTCACACCGATACAATATGTAGTGTATACTAACAAGACTATGACCTACTGAAACTGATTAACAGACTACCGAAATTCAGCATTATTAGGTGATTCCAAAAGTACCCTAAAGTTACTTCGGAGTGACGGTGAGAAAAAAAAGAATATAATGATGAACGCTATACCATACTTTATGCCTCTAATATACTATATCTGCCCTGAAATTTTCATCGAGATAAAACTAATTCTCCATCGAAACTACATAATATTGTTCGATCTCTTAAAAAATTAGGCGAGACTTAACAAGTTATTTGTAATTTTATAACGGAAGCTAGTGAAATAAAAATGTTTATGATTTGATTTTCGATAGTTCTTTCTCCAAAGCTTCTTTTTCCAACTGCGGGACGAAACGATCTTCATCCAAATTATTATTTGTCTATAATAAATTAGGATTTATCAGTTCTAGAAATCCAAATATACCTTTCCAACATTTATTCTGATTCCTGCAGGTAAGTTCTGGTATATAAGATCCAATAAAATTGCTAAATGGATTGTTTTCAAACCTGATATCTGATACATCATGAGGAAATTTAAAGATAATATAAATTTATACTCTATATATCCTCCGGAATTCAGATATTTCGAATTCGGATCGAATCTTTGTGGAATTGGCATGGTACAAGCGAAAAGATTTCTTTTTAGGAGGTAAAGGAAAACTGCTCATAAAAGTGGGGGAAATTAATTAATAACTGAAAATAAATGCAAACTTGTCGACTTCATATCCATAAATGTTGAAACATTTGTGAATATACGAAGTAAATTTTTCTAGCTGTGCATAATCATGCCCAGTTACATCAAACTGAATTCCTTGATACAAATGGATATGCGGTTTAACAGACTAATGCGTTTTATTATGTATTTATTTGGTCAAAATATATATTTACCAAATAGGGAGGATCAAAACTTCTTAATTTGAAAGCATAACTTCGAAACCTATTTGCATGAATGCTGATTAGCAATGCGATCTTACCGATGTATTAAACGTAATGGAAAGGTTTCTGTAGGTATAAGCTTTGAAGAAAACATTAATCCTGTCATTCTTTTACCTATAAAAGCAAGCTGATTAAGTGGCAAACTTGGAGAAGGTACAGTAATGCACTTTATTAGCATATCCAGGCTAATATAAATCTTAAAGTGGTAATGCAAAGTAACAAATCCGAAACTTGTTGAAGTGATAAAAGGGTTTCAAATGTTTTGTTGAGGGTTTTTTAACAACAGCACCTTATGTTTTTAACTCTGTAACATAATTGCAGCTCCATTTCCCAAAGTTTGGGAAATATGGAACTAACACATATCATCAGTGAGAACGTGGAAATAACAGTCAATATATGAAACATTTGATGACTCAACGGCATGATGGTTACTAAGTATTTATTTAGTATATAATACTGTTATTGGTTGTCATATCGAATAAACAGATCTAACAAAGAACTCCATCGACAGTTTTACTGAACCTTGTTTGACCATGCAATTTATCCCAATGACCTGATAAACCTTCGTAGACTATACTATGCATTAGGCATAGTATGAAAACTTACGACAGTGACCAATTACTCTGTGTGGAATGGACGCATTTGAACTTCATGATGTTAGTCAAATGCAAAAAGCTCTACGCTATGGTTGTCTTATCAATTTGTTAACTAAATGATAGCGGAACATCATCATCATCATCATCATTATCAACATAGGACCAGGCATTACTGCGTAACGGTCCGAGTTGCCACACCTCATATCAGCACACCAAGTAAAAAGGTAGTGAGGTGAAGGATGAAGATAAGTGAATGCAGTCAAAAGAAATATAAAGTACGAGAAGAAAGGAAAGAGGAGTGACAAAATAGTGAGATTCGGTATAGCGTTGTTAAGATGAGGATAATGTGTGTATACATCTGCGCCACTGACTTCGGTTCTGAGCCATATCACCTAGGGTCTCCAACCACTGGTTCCTCTTGTCCCGTGGACCCCAACCACCTAGTCTGCATCGTCCTACATGGCTTAAACCAACAGTCAGAGACTTCATACATTGGTGCCATGTTTTAGTCTGGCCACCTCGGGCCTTTTTCCAGCCTGAACCCACCTCAGCCAACATTGTGTGACGAGGCAATCGGTGACTAGGCATACGTAGTACGTGTCCCAACCATCTCAGTCGATGAAGGTTCACAACCTCGTCGACTGACTTACCTCTTCTCCCTAAAACTCTACACCTAACTTCTGCATTACTCACATGGTGACACCACGGAATACGTCCTATACTACGAAGGCAACGGTGGTCAAACACCTGAAGCCTTTTTGTATCTTCCACTTTCAATGGCCATGTTTCACAGCCATACAGTAGAACAGAGCGGACTGCTGTGCAGTACACGCGACCCTTAATAGACAAACGAATATCACGGCGGCGCCATAGGTGGCGCAAATTGGCAAAAGCCAATCGAGCCTTTTGTATCCGTGCAGAAATCTCATCGGCAACTAACCCACCGGAGTTGATCCTACTTCCCAGGTAAGTGAAGTGGTCAACACACTCAACCACTTCACTCTCTATTGTTAACCGCGGTACCGCTGAAGACCAGTCCTGGAGCAAAAATTTGCATTTGGGTGGTGAAAATCGCATCCCAAACATTCTCAAATTCCCACTCAAAGTGTTCAGAAGACTCTGCATCTTGTCAGCGTCTTCACCTAACAGGACTATGTCATCTGCATATTCTAGATCTAAGGAAAATTCACCTGTGATCCGGTCAACGTCTTTGTAATTAGGTGACGAGAGGGAAACCTCCATAAGAATATCTATGATAAAATTAAATAAGAATGGGGATAGTGGGCATCCTTGACGGACACCACTTGATGAGTATAGCTCCCTGGACAACTCACCATAGGCTCTAACATGCCCACAAGTGTTCGAGTAGAGAGCTTTCAATAAGGTGATGTACTTACTAGGCACGCCTTTCAGTGACAGACACTGCCATAAGACTTCTCGATCAACGGAGTCAAATGCCGCCTTCAGGTCGAGAAATACAGCTATTGTCGGGCGTCTGTAAGCATGCCTATGTTCCAGGACCTGGCGCAGTGTGAATATTTGGTCGATACATCCACGGCCAGGTCTAAAGCCTGCCTGGTTTTCTCGGGCTTGCTGTTCCCGAGCTCCACTCAGGCGTCGGAGAATTATAGAACTTAGGATCTTAGACACTATGTTTGTCAGGCTGATTCCTCTGTGGTTATCACAAGAGGACTTCTCGCCTTTCTTGAAGACTGGGATGATCAGTGACTTAGACCAGTCGGAGGGGATCGTATTTGATTCCCATATACTGGCTAACACTTCCGTTAGCCTGACTAAGAGAACTCTACCACCATTCTTGTATACCTCAGCAGGTAGTCCGTCTGGTCCTGCTGCCCTTCCCCGTTTCAGGCTACCTACCGCTTTCTCAACTTCTTCTAGTGTTGGGGGACCTGTCTCTATGTCCCATTCAGGGTCCGACTGGATAGCGGGCAGCGCAATGGTGGCTGGAGGCCAGTTAAACTGTTCCTCAAAGTGTTCTGCCCATCGTCCCAGTCGCCTTCCCTGCGAGTGAATCGCCGATCCGTCCTTCTCCGCTATAACCTCACTAACTGTTGTTGACCATTTCCCCCCAGTCTCCTTAATAAGTCTAAATAACTGTCTACTGTTACCGATCGCCGCTGCCTTTTCCATCTCTTTAGCCTTTGCTGCCCACCACTGTTCACGATCGTTGCGCAGACTTTTCGTCAGTTTATTTTTAAGTTGCGCTCGCTCTTCATTGTACTCAGAGCCTGCAGGGATGCATTCACGTGCATCCATTAGTTTGGAAGAAGCTGCTGATATCCACTGGCTCTTTTTAGCCATTATCTTGGAGTCGGCTACAGTCTCCAGTGCTGCTTTTACAGTAGACTGAAGATGGCACCAAGCTTCTTCTGGATGAGTGACAGTCTTTTGTTCCGATAACTGCCTAGCCAACTTCTCACTGAACACGGCTTTGGTGTTTTCGTTGTCCAGCAGAACTCGTAGTGGTTTTGTTGCCAAATTTTTTCTACGTCCATTGAGACGCAGGCATATACGTGCTCGGACCAACGCATGATCGCTGTCCAAACACGTACTCCAGAAGGAGCGGCAGTCTTCCACCGATCCTCTCCAGCGATGACTAATAGCAATGTGGTCTATCTGTGTCCATCGCTGAGTCGAGCTCGGTGGACGCCAGGTCAGACAGTGCCTTTCTTTATGTCTGAAATTTGTGCTGGCTAAAAATAGGCGGTTATCTGAGCATAGTTGTAATAGGCGATCACCGTTATCTGTACGTTCAGCTGGGATTCCGAAAGTGCCACCTAAGTGCCTTTCTGCCTCACTCAGTCTACCCACCTGTGCGTTGAGGTCACCTGCAACAACCACTACGTCCGAACGTTTGGCTTTCGAGAGGAGGTTAGACAGTTTATGGTAGAACTCGTCCTTCACTTCATCCGAACTACAGTCAGTGGGTGCGTAAGCAGAGATTACAAAGAGACAACGGCGAGTCTCACTATTCCTTTTAGTTCTCACTGTGCCGTTCAGCCTCATAGCGCAGAGGCGACTATCAACTGGGATCCAGTCTAGTAGTGAGTTTTCTGCCCTGGTGCTGATAGCGGAACATACCTCACTTTTTAGCACTTTTAATTTTACAGTTGTGACAACTCTCCAATCAGCAGACTTTGCTGACATTGAGGTTTTGTCTCACATATTAAGTACACGGCGATGATGATAGCAAACAACGATAGTGTAATTATAGAATCGGTCACACATAAAAGGCCAAACCGTACTGCTGATTTACTAGCAACACCACTGATTAACTGAAATCTTGTATAATTTGTAGAGTAGAGAAATGGACCCTATGACACGGCATAAATTAATATTAAATGATTTTATTTGATGTAAAATGCCCTGGTACAGGATTACGTAATGAACGATATCTGGAGCAGAGATTATTGCATATAACCGTATCAAGAAACACAAACCAGAGGGGCGTATAGAACAGTAGGAAGGATTTTAAGTTTATGAAGAGTGGGAAGAGGTACAGAGTAGCAAAATGTTTATGACCCTTCAGATGAAGATATAACAGATGCCACCAATCGTTTGCAATATACTAAGACATAGAAGGTGGGTATTTGAAAAGACTGAGACCTCAGACCTTATCATTTGATGAAGTAAACTTTAGTTGTTGTGTTTACTTTCTCCAAGTTTTCAACCTGATACCAATGAAGAATAAAACAGTCAACAACCAGCCTGCCCCTGAAGTACATTTCCGGTTTCTTTACTTATCCGTCTAAACAGCATGAAGACCTTTTACAGTGATAAGAAGCATAAACAATGCCTTTTATGAGAATCGGAAAACTAAACTTGTTTTATATGGGTTTTAGGCGTGGGAGAAACCTTACCATGTTATCCTGGCTACTTAACTTGCAGCAGTTATTAAATCAAACGCTATTTTGAATAGGTGTAAAATGACTTGAGAGCCCGTAAAGGAAAGACAAAGTACAACACATATAGTGCGAGAGGTCATTTTTTCCTGGTCAGAGCATCAAAACCTGGAAATAACCTTTCAGTATTATCACTATGCTTCACCTGTGAAAGTAACTGACGAAACACAAACCTGTAACAACCAGTCCTTGCTACTGACTTCAAGATTTAACAATGGCAAAAAGACCAAGTTACTCTGTGGATTCGATGCGTATGAAGTGTGCTTCATCAAAAAGACTGCAACCTAACGATAAACAGAGACGTCTTCAGATGGGAAACCTTGGGTACACCTTAAGCCATACAAAAGTGATCCAGGAAAAATCATGACATTTCCGTCTTAAGTTACTCCATGTACCACCCGAAAACCATTTGGATATACCAAAAACCCCAAAGTGCACCTGCGATTTCCAAAAACTTCAAAGTACGTAAAACTATCTCGAGAATTCTGAAGTGTACCGGACTTACTTCTTGAGCTGCAACTCAACATCGGTAACGAATATCATGTCATATTATTATGACATGTCATCCAATAAATATATGCGCATGACTATATTCCACACAAAAAATGTACTAATCATGATCGAGAAAACCTAACTTAACATCGTGAAACAGAAATGTTTGTTTCTATGCAATGCGGCACAGGGCGTCACGACTGATGAACAAACTATATTCTTAAGAAACATGATAGTCACCAAAGGGTCCTTTACAAATTAGTCAAAAACTATTTTGGATCAAATCAAAAACTGAATGCATGAGAAGTTTTGTACGGTTTCCCGTGCAATCATCATAAGAAAAGAGCTGAATGCACTGTAGACAGCTAATACACAATATAGTCAGTTCTTTGGTAGTAACGTGAAAGTTAGTTAACGCGCTTATCAGAACCAGAATCCAGATTTATGATTTGCGAATAGTATGTTATAAAAGTACAAAAATCCTCTTGCAAATAGACATTTGTGCTTTTCATTCTTCAGCTGAGTAACTTGATCCATGACGTCAACACCAATACTCATCGAAGTCAGATTCTGGAGTAGATCATTCTTTTCCGTCTTCAAAGACCAGGTTACCTCTTAAACACACGTTATCTCAGGTTGCTTTGGTTGGCTCGTGACCCTTTGAATATGATCACAAAAACTCTGGGGTCACTCTTCAATAAATCGGAGGCCTTTCCTAAGGACTTCAAAACAACCAAGTGTGAGCCAAGAGGACAATGGTTGACCGTGAGAAGATTCAAGAACCTGCATTCGGCCAATTCGCATCGAAAGGCCGAAATATAAAAGGGTGCTGAAGAATTCTTCTCTGTCGTGTTTCACTGCCCAGAATCCTGTGCTGCCTGGAACACAAGTAGAACCGAGGACTTGGATGCGCTTAGTTCTGCCTCTTCATCGGAAAACATCTCTGACAAAGACAGCCCTCAAAAGGCTGGCCATGTAACAGAAGTGACTCCGGAACTGCTGATATTTCGGGTTTTCGTACCCTCAACTGTCGTGTCTATGGCAATGTGCGTGGTTTGAGCACCAAGGAACCTGAAATGACGTTATTGATGAAGGAAAATCATCCTTCTGCAGTGGCTTTGTGTGAAAAATGGTTCAGTAAATTCTACTGGACAAGCTCCGGTTAATTCTCAACGGCAAATCATAAAAATCAAAGTGCTGCGTTGCGCTTTACCCTCATCCTTTGTTGAAAGCTCAGGAGCTTTCATTCCCAAAAAATTAGCAATATCTATGTACGCTAGTGTGGATTTAAGTGTTTCAGAGGTCCCTGTTTGGTTGCAGTTTTGTGCTACCCTCCACGAGACTCCGAAACATTCAGTAGGAGACTGAAATGTTTTATTTGGGAAGCTCTAGATCTGAACTTTCTTTTGATCTACATGATGGGTGGTTCTAACTTTCCTGAACTCTTCCCTGCTACAAGTTCATTGGCTCTCACAAGTCAATTTCGGGGCTTGTTGCGAAATAACTGTCTGAACGAACCCGTCTTTCAAGTTAATATTTTCACGCCAAGTCGTCTGGACCTGACTACATCCTCACCACTACGTTCATTGGTGTATTTAACTTAAATGTCCATTATCCTGTAGGACAGAATTACCACGCGTTTGTTGCCGTTAACACCTCAGTGACTAGGCCACCTACTTTTGACTAACCACCAGCCATAAACTACAGGGGAACCAACCGCGAAAAGGTTAAGCAAGAGTGGGAAGGCCCCATATATGGCCGAATCACTTGGTCTGATCACCACACGGGAAATGTTGAAAGACGCACTATCTCAAAAGGCAAAAAAAGAACACTCGTTTCAGTTCTCAAAGGAGCAAGAAAATCGGCTTTTTCTTGCTTGTGTCAGGCGGTCTTGGGCTTATGCCATGTTAACGCTAATGTTGAAGTCAATGGAGCGTTTCTAATGGCACGGGTGACTGCAATGTTTACAGGGATGTCTGAACAGACGTGTAATAAAAGTTGGAAGTGATAGTGTAAACCAAGAGGTATACCTCTGCATAACAGTGGGGGGAATCACAGGGCGCTGTACTCTCCTACGAAGGAGAATGGTAGTATCTCCGGCCCCCATTCGTTCGGTGATTCACGATACTAACTGAGACATGCCTAGCTTGCTAGCTCAGGAGTTTCGAAATAACTTTCGTCAAGTGAAAGGGACGACAACGGATTGGGCGATCACTACCAAAACAGAGGGGTTGCGTTTTGTATAATTTGAACCCTTTATGACCACGAAAATATTGAGCGGCCTAAATCCAGATAAATCTTCAGGAATTGGCGGCATTGTCCTGACGGTGCTGAAAGAGGGTGCTAATATCCTGGTTGCTCGGCTAAGAAATCCTCTCAGCGGCCTGTTTCTAGGGGGGACTCTCTTCTGATTGGAAACGAGAGGCTATGGGCCCGGTATATAGAGGTGGCAACAAACTACTTGCCTCCAACTATTGACCTATCCCCTTGGAAAGTGTATCAAATGACTCGTTTCCTGATTAGTTACTTAGGAACTAGATCAAGATTAGCTGCACATGGCTTTTACCCGTTAGGTCATGCAGCACCAAGAAAGAAGTATTTCAGCGAAGGGTCTCCTTTTGGTAATTACATTTTCAAAGCCGTACAGTTGCTCGGGTCCTTGTCTGTAGGGTCAGGTCTTTGCAAATGAACCAAAATATTGACAGATGTCGTGCGCATACATGGTATGAAAGCCCAGTGGGTCAAACCAGCAACCTTCCCCTGACTTCCGACCAAGAGTTTCAAAGCTTCGGATCAACCAATAGAGACCGGCACCAATAATACCCTGACAAAAAATTGAAGGGTTATAGATTATTGACAGAAGAGCACACAGAACAACTGGACTAGTTTAGATGCAACACAGATTTGGAGATGGAAAATCAGGACGCGGATGCGGATGCAGTAGTCTAAGACAAAAGTGTTTACCCGGGCAAACCCTACGGGCCTACAAAGAAGAAAAACGATGGAACTAACTGAGTGAAATCTTATCGGTGTTAAAATATGCTGAAAAGTGACCGGCTAATAACATGCGTTTTTCGACTACATCAAATCAACAGGTTTGATGATTCCGCAACTTGATAGGTTTTCGAATATTCGCGGAGTTGGTGTACACCTTCTCTTGATCTTGGACGTGTCTGGATCTCCTTACCAACGAAATGCAGAAATATTGGAGCCTATAGGGCGACGAATCTACGTCCACCTTGACACAGTGTAACACCACAAATCTCTGTATTGTCTGCGATAACCTCGCCTGGTTAACTTGTTCACCGGTTACTAGCCGATCCTACGCCCCGATAAAGAGGGAAGGTTGGGCGTAGGGCTAGCAATCCCGCAACGGGAAACCAATCGAACCGCCAAATAAGCTTCAAAGCACAAAGAAAATATAAAAATAAAAACAAACTAAATCCTCCCTGGAAACGAGTAGATGAAGTGATGCCGGCTGGTGATACCCTGTTGGAAGCCAGCCGGCCGATGTATCTTCTCTTCATGGAGGCGAAAGTAAGGACGGGGACATGGAATGTCCGCTTCATGTATGAACCAAGCAAGGCTGCGCAGATTGCAAAAGAGATGAAAAGGCATGGCAGAGAATTGCTAGGAATCTGCGAAGAATCTGCAGGTGGAATAGAAGTTGACTCTCCAAACCGTGAACTGGGGAGTCAGTAACCTGCTCCAATGTTGTTGCCCAGACATCAACCACGGGCATACGGGCTTTTCGAGTGGCCATCGCGATGTCCGCAGAGGCGTCGAAGGCTCTCACGCAGTTGGAACCAATCTCCTCGATGATCAGGGTCATGATACCAAGATTCAAATCAAAGGGAAGGAAGTACACAGTCATACAGTCCTATGCTACGCACTTACAAACGACGCAGATGAACAGAAGAAGAAAGAATTCTATAGACAACTGCAATCAGTAATGGACAAGACCCCGCCCCAGACAGCAACATCAAAATTCATTCTAATGGGTTGGGTGGCATGAATGCCAAACTGGTAGCAGACAACACATGAAGGGAACCCACCATGGGTTGAGAGGCACTCGGTGAGATGATGAGGGAGATTGGAGAACGGTTTGCAGACTGTCGCTCATTCAACAATCTGGTGGTCAGAGGCACTGTTTACAAACACAAGGATGTCCACAAAGCAGTGACATGGATTTCATTTCACCAGACGCCGGGACACACTGAAAATCACATCGACTTCATCCCAATGTGAAGAAAGTGGAGATGGAGGCGCAGCCTACTGAACGCAAGACCAGATCAAGAAGGGGGGCAGACGTAGGTCGACACCACTCACACCACTATCTTGTGCAAGGACCCTACCTTCTAAATCAAGTTGAAGGCCTTCAAAGAAAATGGTGATGATAGACCACAGCTCAAGTTCAACTTCAACACCCAGGACAGATGGCGGTGGACGAAACTACAAGGGACATCTTCCCTTCAGTCATCAGGACAAAATGGAGGATAATGAGCAACATTCCTGAAGAGACCTGCGTTATAGAACACTGGAATGCTTTGAAAGAGGTGTGAAGGAATGAGTGTCGATGGATACATGGGAGCTGACTGGAGAGGGAGAGGAAGATGGTGAAACAGAAGACGAATCAGTGCAAGGATGCGCAACGAAAAGACTAACCGAGTACAACGTACAAAACACTGGACAAAGGAGTGAAGAAGATTGCATGCAAAGACAGAAGACACTTCTACGACACACTGGCAAGCGAAGCAGAACAGGCTACTGGTAGGAGAGAGCTGATATTATATTAAATAACCAGGTCATTATCTGAGAAGAGATCAACACGGATGAAAATAAAGAAAGATGGTGAAAGAAAACTAGTTACGAAAGAGTAGAAACAGTGGGCTGAACACTTCGAAAAGCTCTTGGATAGACCACTATCGGAAACTCGTCCAAGAACACCATCAGCAACTGCGGGACTACCAGCGGACAGGAACCGTGTGACAAGAGCAAAAGTGAAGTCCTAAACATCATAAGGCTAATGAAATCTGGGAAAGCAGCGGGACCCTAACCCTCACCAGAAGCACTGAAAACGGATGCAAAGACATCAGTGGACATGCTCATACTACTGTAGTAAAAGGTTTGGGAGAAAAGAAAAGTTGGTGGCGATTGGATGAGGGGCTACCTTGTTGAACCCCCGAAGAAGGATGACCTGAGCCTTTGCAAGGACTGGTGCGGAATCATGCTCCGGTCCTTGTCCATCCCAAGCGCCATCCTGAGGCGGGTCAAAAGATGCTCTGTATTCAAAACTACTACCGGGAAGGGCTGGTTGACTTCAAGGGAAGCAAATCATATGGGGATGAAATTGCGACGTTACGTCACACATCATTATAGAACACAGCATAGAATGGCAGTCAACTGTCTGCCTCAACTTCGTCCGCTTCGAAAAGGCCTCCGACATCGTCGACGGAGAAGTAATCTGGTAGCCTCTTCAACAGTACGCCTTTAGTGCTACGAACCTTCATCAACTTCATTCAACAGCTATACGCCACATGTGCTACTCGCCGACTGATTCAAAACGGAAAGCTCAGCTATGCCCTTGAAGTCAAGACAGGAGTAGAACAAAGCTGCCCACTATGATCGGCAACCCTAACCCTAACTGTGGTCGAATTGACCATGCAGCAAACTGTGGGGAGTGAGAAGATGGGCACGCGCTGTTTAACCGATGGAAGGATCTGTAGAAGATTTCGGTTTCGCCCACGATGGTTGACGTCTAATGTTTTGTCGCACAAACGCGAAAATCTACAGGCAAAAACCAACAGGTTAACGGGAGAGACAGGGCAGCAAAGACGGGATTTCCTTGGGGTGAGTGTGGAGAAGACAGAGGTAGATGTGATGAAGACATCCAACCCTTAACAACGACAACAATAAGCATCAATCACCATCAACAGGAGAAGCGCAAAGGAAGTAGTCTCTCTCACCTACCTGTCTAGGCAAGGCAGCATAATTTCAACCACACGCAGCACAGATGAATGCATCAAGGCAAGAGTAGGAAAGACAACTTGATAGGTATTCATTGATCTGAAACCAGTGTAGAGATCTGCCGCACTTCACTCAGCGTAAAGCGCAAACAAGATGCGGATTTTCAACACTAATCCAGTCAGGTAAGTCAGTGCTTCTATGTAATGGGTGAGATACTTGGCGAGGCGTGACGAAAAGCATTTCCAACAAACTACGGACACTCGTCGACCACTATCGCCTACGCTCGCTCTCTCGATACTGACACTGAAGGTCAGATGGTCAGAATAATAGGAATAAGCTAGAAGGAATTCACTGTGGCGACGAACCAACCATGAATCCATCGTCGGACAAATGTGCAAAAGAAAGTGGATATGGACTGGACTGAAAGACCACCTGGAGGCATCACGCACCAGGCCTTTCGGTGGAATCCAAAGGAGAAACGATGAACCGGGCCTCCGAGTTAAGGGTGGTACGGAAGAGATGGTAGGAAGAAGAAATGAAGGCCTGTGGACAGTGGTGGAGCCAAGTACAGAAGACTGGAGGGAAAAGAGTCAAATTGTGACGTGCTGCTGAATTCCTATTTTGCACCAGAAGCCCAACGGACAGATGATGACAACCGTGTGCAATGTGGCAAAGAGATGTCCAGCTCCCGAAGCCGGCCACTCATCACAGGGAATGTACACGTATCTGTCCCCTTAAATCTTTCTAGAGTGCATGGATCGTCATTCAAACAAGTACTTACCGCCGGTTAACATTCTCTAATTTGTATCTAGCTTAGATTGTACACTTATTGGCGAACACGTCGCCAGTAGTCCCAATAAGCGTTTCATTTATTGCCGAAAGCACCATACGAATCCCAATTGCAATCAGTCAAGAGTACACCATGGTCGTTATATCCAGGCTTACTTTGGCTACTAGGTCACTGTGCGTCCATACTGAATGTAGAGGAATACCAAAAATGTCATGGGTGTTGCCGCCTGAATGTTCTCCGCGCAAGGTGATACAACTACGTGCGCTGGTAGATATCGGCCACTTCTCTCACAATCTTAACAAAAGTTACCTACATTTGGATGACTTCGTGGTGATCATCACCTCATTTGTTTACGGAGGAGATAGCAACCGACTCAGGGTTGTGACTCATGGCTCCCTACTCTTAACTAGCTTCCAGCAAGTTAGTCAACGGTTGATGCTTACTGTCTGCCGCCCACTAAAAAGAACCACTTTGATCCCCGCAAGTAGATCACCAATGGTTCCGAAATTCTTTAGTTCCGTGGGCAGCCTAAAGTTAGGTTTGTAACTGAACGCTGTCTTTAGTTGGATGAAGATAATACCTGCAAGTCTCCCAACGCCTTTGGGTCTCATCTAACCTTTGTAGTGGAGAAAGGATTGGGTAGGCATGCTGCGAATTCGATGACGAAGTGTTGCTTTTAAGGTGGATCGCAGCGACTTTCTGGATTACTCTTTCCATGATTTTAACTGCAAAAATAGTGAGGCTTACTGTTCTGTAAGTTATTTGTTGTATCCTGTACTCAATCTTTTGGACGGATGTATCTGTGTATTCCTAGAAAGGAGTGTGTCTTGGCCGCCTGACAGCCTAAATGCAGCAACCAGAGGGTCATCTGCTGACGGTCCAAGTTGTGCCAGCAGCTTTGGGTGTAGCTCACACAGTCCCGTTGGTTCTTCCGCTCCAAAAATACTTTCTGATTTATGCACGCCGTCGTAATCTATTCCCACAGGGTTTATTGTGCGGGCTATCAATACTTCCACTGTTGAAGCAACGTCTCTTGTAAGTTCCTGGAAAAAGACCGCAACTACGGACCCAGTCACAGCTCCTGGCTTATCTCTATAGTCTTCAAATGACTGCTGAGTTTCTGTCTCTTATATTAGAATGGAGATATTACGAAATGTTCTACTGCTGTAGTTCGTGTTCAAAACAAGACCATTCGGGTGCCTTGCTGCGACTTCAGTAAAGTGCCTGTCGAAGCATGCCTGGGACTGGCAGGTTCCGGTGGGATGTTCATTCGGAGGCTTCTTCGTGCTGCTTCTTCCCTTCATAAATATAAGGGTTACCCACATGAATGCAACGCCTTTTCTGCCTTTGTGGCAGAATTCGTTTAATCCGCAAGGTGATGTGCTTTCATTCCTTCAAGACAGCTCACTCAATGAACCACCCTGCCGCCCGGACTTAGGAGCCCCCGGCATCTTCATCTAGGGCTTCTAGCCTAGCTGTCCAGTCACCAGAAGAGGGTAACTGATGCCCGTATTGCTCACAACTTAGAGAACCCCTTTGACAAGACCTGACCGGTTTTACCAAGCAGTCTTCAACCCTTTGCTTAATATAGCCTGTGGGTCATTTTAAGTCAGAAATATGTATGTGGATACCCCGAAGAGTTCGTAGGTGTTGATGTCAGCGCGAAACGTTTATGCGTCCACCTTCGTTCGTACACGGCATCCATTTCCCTGAGTAGGTTAGATAGACTGTTCAGTTCTATCTAAGACTCACCGTACATATTCTCCCTCCGTAACAGCTTCTACGAAAGACTTCTGACCACTCCTTACTCTGTTTCTTATTAGAATAGACCTCTTTAAACAAGTGAGTAGGTTTCTGGTAATTCGGAAGATTTTCAGATCAGTTGCAAAAGTGAAGTATTTTTCACAACATCCAACTGCTGTCCGTGAAGGTCTCCCTCGCAAGCTCTTTATCACCCTCACACTTGATGAGGCTTTACCCTATGAGAAATGTTTTGCTAATCATGCCAGAATTTCGAGACATTCGTACCACGTACCGGACGGTGGGACGCTGCCGACCAAGTGAATCCTGACAGCTCTCTTGGTTACTATTACTGCGATTTTAATTACAAAATGAGTCAGACTTTCAGTCTTCAATCCGACAGAAGCTCAAGAAAGACATGCTAGTGGCTAAGCTCAGCAACAGGATTCTTCTATGCACATGATGGCGTGTGTCAACGGAGATAGGCTCATCGTAATGGCCAACTAGCCAAACGTCTTAGCTGAAAGTTCTTTGAGCAGCCTTTGTTCTTCCAGTACGACATTTCCATGAAGTATTCGGGGTCAGATGTAATACACTTATTCCTTCATACGGTCTGATGTATCTTCATATTGCAAAGGTGTAGATTACACCCGAGAATCAAAAAAGTCAACTTGCATCACATTACACTAAATGTTTGGTAGTTTATCAAGGGAGAAGGGCTTTTTATGACAAAGCCCATGGAAAAATAGTTTTGGTCGGTTGGGCTTGATGAATGTTGAGCTATCCGAAGTGGCTGCCAAGTCAGCAGCAGTTAAACTCACTTGCCACACATCTGGGTAAGCTGGCTTTCGGTTACGACCAACACACCTTTAAACCTGATGATCGGAAGGAATTTGAAAAGATTGGTCCCTTTTGTCAATTTGGATGATGTGATTAGAAGGTGTACATTATCTGAAAAATGCGATATATTTGCGCTATGCTTCCCAGACATTTTGATCACATATTTACTTCTTGGGGCATTATATATGTAAACTGGAAGTGGGGGAAGGACAACTATGACGTGAAGGAATTCAATAATAAGAAAGATAATGAAAGGAAAAGATTGGATTTGAAGTCAATCTTAGTAATACGACAAATAGGCACCACTGAGGTAGGCTTGGCATAAGAACAAACTGTTTTTTGCACACAACTGACATTAGCTTACCAGGTGAAGAGGAGAACGAAAACCGCCAGGCGTTCTTAGATGTACAGCTAAGTTTTTTTCATTTGTCGTACTACTAAGATTGACTTCAAATCCAATCTTCTCCTTTCATTATCTTTCTTATTATTGAATTCCTTCACGTCATAGTTGTCCTTCCCCCACTTCCAGTTTACATATATAATGCCTCAAGAAGTAAATATGTGATCAAAATGTCTGGGAAGCATAGCGCAAATATATCGCATTTTTCAGATAATGTACATCTTCTAATCACATTATCCAAGATCAAAAGAAAGTCTTTTATCAGGGGACAGAAGGCGCCAGGGTGGGCGTGTAACATTAATGTGACAGAATACCAAGTTTGGTTCTGAGACCTTTCGTTGATTTACGAATCTTGGATAGAGTCGATGAACTTCAGTCGATAGACGGCGTTTAATCAAAACGCTTGTTTATCAGAATAACCCACTTGCTACCGCGAATAAGTTGTTACAGTCTTGATTGACTCGGTGTTAGATTTGGCTACATGTAAAACATTTTTGCTTGACTGGGAACTTCCGTGAACTTGATGCTTTGGAGAACCAACGAGGAAAACAGAAGGTTTAGGGACAATTTTCATAAAACCTCAGTCCACCAGCTCCTCCCGCTTCACCGTACCAAATCGTCACCAGACTGTTCGGTAGCTTCATTGACTGAGGAAACAGTCTCTGTTTCGAAAAATTTTAGGATTTGTGCTGGTGCGAACTTGATAGACGCAAAGACCAATCACTAAGTATTCGGACTTGCTACATACCCACGAATGCGAGACCAAGGAAGAACGCAATAGTGCAGTCAGATGGAATAGTATATTTGGGTGGTTGTACCAAGACACCTATGTGTTCCAACTAGCTGGCTAGAAAGTCGAATGCGAGCAGTGCAACGTAACACGACAGCGTGCCAAATGGCGGGGATGCTTGACCGGGTGCCTTCAGCTTAGCGAGTCCAGTTAAACTGCCAAAGTCAGCATCAATGTTGAATGTCGTCGAACCCTAGGCCATTGATCTTGGAGAAGTGTATGACGCTACAACTTTTTGCATTTAGCCCACTCCAAGAACTTGAACAGCGCACTGAAAACACTTTTCTCGAAATAAAATGAAACCATCAATTTCACCGGATTTTCTTCAGCTAGAGACGGCGTCGTACGAAACGTTTTAAGATACCGGTCAATGCTTTAAACATCAAGGGGACATAATGATTCAGGACACAACAGAAGTTCAAGCGATAGCATACTTAAACAAGCTGACAGTATGGCTACGTAAAGGCCACTAGGATTAGTGAAGGTGGATACATTAATGCCACACTTAGAAAACACTATCCAGAAACCGGAAATCTATGAAACAGTGCTGCATTTTGGATGTACTGACAAAACCTGTATTATCTGTGAACACTTTGGAGAAACAAGAAAGCTGCTTCAACATTTCAACAACGGACATCATAGTGCTGGGTTTACAATTGAATATGAAGAGAGGCAGAAGCCGAATTTTTGCAACTTATGTTTGAGGCACTCTGAGGACATTAGTAAACCACTTGGAGCTGTCAGTATTTAAACTTCAACGGCTTCTGTTCAGTCAGCTACAAGCGGGACTTAGCGAGGACTTTATGACGGGGCTTGGGAGGAGGGGGGCCATTTTCCTCAGGAAAATGTCCAGTGCGAAGATATCATGAAAGAATGGAGGGAAAGGAGAATGTGCTTGTCTGGAGAAGTATAATGTAACCGGATGACAAACGTAGTCTCAAACAGCTGAGTAAAATGGATTTGGTGAATACATATGCCCTATGATAAAGTAGCAGGTATGCTTTAGGTAACCATGGGGGCCGGATAACCAGGATTTTCCTTGTTCGATCATATCGTTTCGGGAGAGCAAACGCACCACGTAGTGGCACGTGGAGGGCTAAGCTGAAAGAATGGCTTTCATGATATTCCAACCGCATCGCATTCTGATTCATATGATTGTTTTTGTTATGGAAAGTGGTCCCCTGAAGTGGGTTATTCAACCCTAATTAGGTCACTAGTCCTAGAAGACAGAAAGAGGTTGTCAAAAATAAGTTAAACATTATGCCCAGTTTTTAATATCCTTCAGGTACTGGAATTTACCCCTTTCGAAAGTGGCTTGGGGTACTTTGTCCGTGTCCTTTGAATGCGAAATAAACGCCAACTTGCGTAGGCCAACGACCGGAGAAAATCATCATCTACTGCTTGTAAACACAAAAACCAACTGAAAGAATGCTTCCTGTATACCATTATCAACCATTATAAACGGTTTGTTGAAAACCATGATCGAACTAACTTCAAGTGGTTCAAACGGCTGTTGACGGAATAGAAACTTTCGCTTAACTAGCTACCGCTTATGCGATCCGTGGATCACTACTCATTGCAGTTGTTAACCTGTGTACAAGTAAAGAAAGCGGAAAAGTGGCGGTTGAAATGTGAAAATTCAATCAGTTCTGGGCAGATCCCAGGCACACGCCAAGTGGGTGCCCAGTCGGCGTTTAAAGGATTCAGATGAAGTAGCCTGGGTCATGTCTTCAGGAAGAGTGTTTCAGGGCTTAGCAACTCCTAGGGAATAGAAGCTATGCTTGATATCTAACCTGCAATGTTCCAGGCTTAGTTTCTGCTTGTGTCCTCTAAGATTAGTGCCACGGCTAAGATTTAGTGAGTGACGGAGTGGGTGGTCAGGCGTGCTGGGAATGTCGTAAGTCATTATCAAGTCCCCTCATAGTCTCTTGTATTGTAGAGGATACGGACCAAGTGCAGCCAGTCCCTCACCATATGTTTTCGACCTAAGTCGCGGAACAGATTTTTTCGAACTTGGGGAAAGCTTTTTTTTGAACCAACTGGTCAAGAAGTTCTGTGGTCGTCAATCAAAAGTGACATTCACTATCAGTGGGCACAGATTTCCTTTATCTTCTCCCTTCCTATCACACAACGATAAAATGGAACACTTTCGGGACATCGACACGAGTGTTAAAACACTGTCAGCTTGATGTGCTCGGCATATTCTTCTTTTTTACACATTGGTGAACGAACAAAGGAATTATGGCTTACTGCTCCAAGACATGTAAGCGAGTTAAGTAAAACGTCCTACTGAGCTACCAACCATTTGAAAGCATTTGAATCAAAACCCTAACTTAAACAAGGGATAGCAGTCCTTTCAGTAGATAAAGTAAAATGTAAACCAGATCTTCACACTGACGTCTTCTGTACAGAATGGTAGAAAGTAACTTTACTACTACCCTAATCCCTTAAGAGTAAGTGTTGAAAAAAACAAATGTTTCGACCTTTGTCAGCGGCTGTTTCAAAGTGTCGTCTTCGGGGGCTAATTATTGCCCTTTCCTCAACGAAAACCGGGAGTAAACAACAACAAAGAGACTCAGTGATTTTTGACGTATGTTCACCGGAGGCTTCAAGGCGTAAACAAGCGTTTGTATTCGGTTTTTCAGCTACCGGAGCACTTGGGAATGGGGAATATCTCGGTCTCTATGGTTAGTTTATAATTCAATATTTTTTCGAACTTTGAGCATAGGAGCATCAAAAACTCATCACTGTATTGGTGTATCGCACCTGTGCGCTTAAAAACCCTTTCCGAAAAAGGCATTCACCCAATAAAGGCTGCCTGTGGTTACGGCTTCACAACGTACATTTGTGAGAGTAGTTATTCTGATTTTTGTGTTTACGGATGTGGAATCAATAGTGACGGACAATTGGGGTATCAGGTAAGTTGCCTTACTTTGTGATATTTTAATGTGGTGCAACAGCTAGGGGGATTTCGAATGTAACCCCTGACTTCCATTTCATCTGTTTTCGTCAACTTTCTCACCCTCTACTCCTGTGGATCTCATATAGTTAGCAATTTTTAATTGGCCGGTAGGGTATGATTTCAGGCAGTTTGATAAGATCCATTAGTGAGCAGTCTCGGGATTTTACTGTTTGTTGTCCTCCATATTTTCCTACAACCCTGAGGTCTCTTATCTCTTACCTTCCTGTAGTTGACTCATGTAAGGCCGGTGGATTAGTATGGAACCCTTATCCGTGTCCAAAGTACGCGAAACTACGTAAGTTGACACGTATACCTAGTAAGGACAACACACGGTTCAGATCATGAAATGAAGTACTTCTTTTGATGGGATTATGTTTGATATGACAATTCTAAAAATCCTTAGTGTGATCCATGATTTGCTGTGTTGTTACCGGTTGGTCGGTGTTTGTCTTTTAAAAGGCTATTAGAAGCAGCTCTGGAAATATGAAGGTCTGTATGCAACTAAACGAAATCAGTCTTTTTTAGGATAGGAATTTAACCTATCTAGTCAAAATGTTTACGGAGATTTAAGAAACTGTCATCAGTAGTGTACATCAATACGGCATTGTTTTGAGCAGTATTCATCACACACGCCTAAAGGGATTTTCGTCTTAGACATTTATCTTTGTCTTCTATTTCCCACCAATACTCATCAGCCTCACAACCTTGAAATTCTTTTTCCTAGGTTTAATTAACGTCGCAAGCCAGAAGTCAAACATCGATATTGACTGCACCTAAGATTATACTGTACAGAAGTGCACTAAAGTTAATAATTGACGTAATTAGCTTTGAGGTATATTTACATATACTTATCTAAAATCTCGTGTATTGGTGAAGGACGCACTCTGTGCTGTAAAGATAGAACCTTATTTCTGCTTTCAGCATAATTTGCTAGAGGGCCGGTTAGCTTGCATGACAAGCCGGTCCCCACAGCTGAAGGTTTCTGACCTTACTGGATTTGCTTCCCTTGCGTAGCACTCATGAGGTCAAATAATCATTTCAACACCAAACGGGTTTCTGGACCCACTGCATTGTACTACTTCCTACCCAATAAAAATCAGGATACTCTTGCGAGGAGTTGATCACCACATAACAGCAGTTTTGTGTAAAATGTTTGCTACTTAAGTTATACACGCTAAACTTTTAGGGTACCTACATTTGGTGATATGAAAATTGTGACATTTTAGCTGAAACGTGCTCAGGAAATTAGGTATATTGTTAGTACATTTTTAATGTAGTATACCTTACTTGTATACTGTTTTAATATTTCCTAACGACGTGAATATAAGGTGTTGAATCTGGAATCATTATTGTTATTCACATTAATTCAGGAAACTTGTTGCACCCTGGTATCTAAAGCCAACTGGTTGTAGACAGTCTACGAACCAGCAGGTCATACTTCTGAACCATACTGCATCCATCAGTTAGTATCGTTAACTTTTGCAAACTGTGGCTCAGGCTAGTACACAAACTCTCATTTGCTTACTCGTTTTTATATTTCTGAGTTGCACTGTATTCCGTTACTAACTCCAATAGCCTTATTGAAGTGCACGAAATTGACTATCGTAATCACCTACTTGAGCCATATTAGTTGCGATGCTTACCCTCTTACTCACTGTCATGGAGCTGTGGCTCATTGGTCTGGATATTCATCTTTCAACAAATAGGTCATGAGCTATCTGGAAACCATTTCCACCGACGTAGGTTTGTGCATTCAGCTAGTATAATAAGCCCTGACACGGATGTGGCTCATTGTCTCGTTTATGCATGACTACCAAGTTATAGGTCTCTGTCGTGCAGCGGAGTTCGTTGGGAAAACTGGAGCCACCAGTTAGTTTCAATGGCAAGGAAAAAGCTATGCTGCCAATTTTTCGGAGAAACAGCACACATGATGCCTTTTGATTTTCAGAAGGAAGGATTAAAACCGACAAATCTTAAAAGTAGCACGTTGTCTTTGTCTCATAGTTTCTCGTTGGCGACTTGAAGCTTAATCAAGCACGGGACCGACGTAAAGAGATCGAGTATGTCTATGAAGGTGGTATGTGGTGTCTTGTGTTCTATGCTGTCTTCATGTTTTCCTGATTTTTACACTTATCTGAAGGTTATCACTTGAAACAGGACTAGCGGTTGTAGCTTATGAAGTTGCATCCCTGATCTCGTGAGCCTGCTATCTAAACTACTCGTGAGGCATTTTGTGTCTGCGCTGTATGTAGAGTTCGAAAACGTGCCTTACTATGAAAAACTATGGCAGCTTGTACCATGGATGTTTACTATGTTTTTGGTACATGCGTACAAGACTCAGGTTAGTCGCTTCGTTATCTTAATTCCGCGCGATAGCATGTGGGTTTGTGGGTTAGGCACTAAGTCTTTGTGTGATAGAGTGGATAACAGACTTCTCTGTTGGGTCTCAGTTAGCAGTCTCTTGTTTACTGCTCGATGAAACCGCGAAGTAGTAACTCAGAAGAATTGTGATACATTTGATTTTTATATTCTTTTGATACAAATCGGAGGACAGGCAGCTTTGTTGGAAATATGAAATACCTAACTATTGATGTATATTGTATCTCAGAAATCCACGTACGAAATCCTTGTGAAGTGCTTTGAATAAATTCCCCATATGTCACCTCGAAGTGTATTCATAGTTCACTTATTCGGATGTCCTATAGCGTCAGCAACCGGCCTTGCGCGTGTTGTTGCCGCAGTAAGTGCCGTAGCCTGAATTGCATGAATTGACTGGATCCCCATCAAGTCACCTCCATGACTACTTCATGACTAGAAGGTGAGATTGGAGTGAGAACTGGCAAGGGAAACAGTCTCTGTGTATTCCCTGGCTGCGACTCGCTGGTTTAGGCAGTTGACTTCCAACCAGTGGGTCACAGGTTCAAATCTCGTCGAACCTACCAAAGTCTGGGCAGCCAGGTGGTATCATGATCCCTCACATATAGGTGTGGCCTGTTTCACTATGAAACTGCATGAAGTTTCTTAGTGGGCTACGATGTTCTGACTGACTGTAGTCTGTGTGCAGTCAAGGTTGAGTTCTGCCACCAAGTGAGTGACATTCTCTACCAGATGCTCTCGACATATCTTAGTGCTAGCTTTTGCATGAACATATCGAGATTTTCAGCTCATTGGTTTAGGTAGTTGACTTCGAGAAGCTCTGCCTACTGAGGTGTGGGGAACCAGTTGGTATCATTATCCCTCACTCAATAGGTTTGGCTCATCGGCTACTGCACATGTGTGCATGTGGTTGCTGCTTTCATTTCGTATTCAAGACTACTGTTCCTTCTGGAGCACCCATCTGAACTATGATCACGCCTTAGTTTGTTCTGCGTTCATTTTACTTTTTGATGGTCATGAAAACCGTCATCGGAAACGCGTCTGTGTAAGCAGACTGGTTGCGCATAGATTGCGAATAGATTCCAAACTGAGCTATCTTAGTGACTATCTCTCAAACCTCTGGAAATTATAGATGAATATTGCCTTCACTTATAAGATGCCATGAAAACAATCCTTATAGCTGCTTGTGATTTCAAAGAACATCGTACTAATAAGCGCTAAATCCCTGCGAGCTCCTTGCAACTTCCTAACGTTCGTAAGTGTATTCTGGCAGGTAGTGAGAAAACGATGGTTCAAACAGCATTTGCGTAAGGACTGTTAGATCTGATCTTCATACAACACAAGTAAGATGGAAACAACAGCTTCATCTGGCAATAATCGGAAGGTGTTTCACCGAATCTCAGCCGTCAGGAGCAAGAATCCTGGTGTTAGTAAGGCGGTTTATGAAGTCAATGATAGTCCAATCACCAACTCTCATAGATGCCTGGAATACCAGATGAGGCACTTCGAAAAGCAATTCAGCTTCTCCACCAACATCGATTTCACTCTCTTTTCCTTCATGTTCAGATAACAGCGGTCCAATTAATGAATTAGAAGTCCATAAGGAACTCGAAATGTTACAGGATACTCGGTCGAGACAACCTACCCCGACTCTTTTTAAGGATGAAGATAAGACTGTAGTCTAGGAATTAACCACTGTTTAGTAAGGTGTCAGACTAAGTATTTCACCTGGAATAAAGCAGCCTTCGTACGTCTCATTACAGGGCCTATGTAGTGCATGTGATAATCAGTCGGTTACCTTCAGCTTCCAAAACATTGGCTGCTCTCATATTTTGTACGCTGTACAGTATACATGCATGTGACTATTATTTGGAAACTATCGTTGTGTTGATATCATTTCACACTGTAATTGATAATATTTATATTTATGAGTAGCTTTTATGTGACTATTCGTATTTTATTATTAAATCAAGAGTTGATAACAGTATCTTTCACATTAAAATCTCATTAGAATATTTTTCTACCATAGTCAACTGGAATCGAAGGTAAACTTAGTTCTGGTGATCTGGTAAATGTTGTTCCTGAACCTGTGAAATTGGATATATGTCTTACTAACACAGAAAAGAAAACATATCGTCCTTCTCATGTGGCCTGTGGTCGAGCACATACTATTATTTCTTATGAGAATTTCAAGGAGTCAACTGAAAGTACACCTCCACTTATTTTCAGTTTGGGCAATAATGTCTTTGGACAGTGTGGCCGAGAAATGATTGCAGGTGAAAAATACGGTCAGGATACTGGAGTTGTTACGAAAATTTTTGTACCACCTGAAATCAAATCTGTTAAAAAGGTATATTATATGCTTTTGTCTTGGACTCATTTTCTATTCATACCATAATGATATCGGGCCGTAAAACTGTATTTATTGTCCGAATACTTACACTGCGATAGTGACATATTTTATAACGGTATAAATAAAGGTGACAAATTTAGTCGACTACATTCATTTGTCAATCACGGTGTTTTTTTATCAGACAATTTGCCCAAAATGTTTTTCCGTGGTGTTATTGTATAACCATTTTTCGATATGTAGTAACAGCACAAATCCACATATTTCGTGTAAATGCTACCCCTTGTTCTCATATAGAAGAAATTTGTAGGAAGGTGAGGATAAGTGCAAGAAAGTTTAAGAGTACAACTTTTCTACTGCTACTATACTCTTTTACCATAATTTTTCAATGAAAAAGCGTTAAAGTAGGTAAGGGTTGCAGCCTTACGTTCATTGGTAGAAATTTATCGACTACCTGTTAGCCTCTACACTATCCATAACTGACTCACCTGATAAATAGTGGCTAGCAGTGGAATCCAGAATGCGGGTTTCGTCCTATTTGGGACTTGTCAGTTCAGTGTACCTGCCTCCTATTGAGTGATGTTGTTCCTACTAAGACCCAAACTCAGGACCAATCACTTCAAACGCCAGAGCATTATCCACTAGACAATTGGGTCACTTATGTGTTCAGGATATTACTAAAGAGCTAAGAACGAATCTGAATGAAGTGTTCTTGTCTTATCTGAAGTTCGGTTATGGAATCTTCAGCTAAGATCTACCTGCTTGAAGTTACCAAAAGGACTAAATATTCTCGTAACTTTAGTCTCGTCTTTACGAATGGATGTAACTGGAATCACCGTTGCAAGTGAACTGGCTATCTTGGATCGTGAGTTTTGTACTTTTCACTACAGACAATAAAATAACTAATGTAATCATAACTATCTGTCGTAAGGTAGTCAGATCTACCTATGCTGTCATACCTTCTGTCAACATTACCTCATGATCTACAACTGACGCGTTTATGCATAGCAAACTACAAACAAACCATTTAGACTGCAAAACAGGAGGCATAATTTACTGCTAGATAGATGACTTACTTTTCAAGCATAAAGTATAAAATGAGTAATTGATAGGTCAAAGAGAAAAAAGGGTTGAAAATAGTTGCAAAATAATAATATTATGTGAGTTCTGGGTAAAATAACCACGTATTGGTTGAACGTTTTTGCATTTTCTTTCATTTTTCTAAAATTTGCTTATCACTTTTTACCAGCTGAGTTTAACTCATTATATCATTTCGGTATTTCGGATACAAGATTAGTGTTTTCGAGCCTATTGCTTACTAAGAAACACAGTTGAAACTGTTTAGCATGCCTTATTAACTTTTTTTACACATGCTAGTATTCCATATTACACCATATCGCTTCATGTTAAACAACTTTATTCGATTATATGAAGTGTGTTCAAATCCTTTCGTTATGTGACATGTGTTATTGCTTATAACAGTATATGATCCAACACAAACATAAATATTGAAGTATGATCTTAAAAAACTTATGGAATTTGTTTACGTTTACTTTTAATCTCCTCTTGGGTAAATATCTTTTATATAGCAGATTTTCTTTTTAGGTTTTTGTTACTTGTAGTATGTCTATATCATGCATGCTTTATCGTACTGAGGTCTTATTTTATTCAATGCACTGAATGCAACAGAACGTTTCATGCCTCATTTTTTTTTGGAGTTATTACTCAGTGGTCTATTTTTTCATTCAGTTTCCAAACACTGAATCACCTGTTCAAACCATAGCCAAATACATCCCGTGGGTGTTTTTCTTCATAAGTTCGTATATGAACAAGTACATGGTGAATATGATGCCGTTTTTGTTATGGTGTTTAAAAAGAAGTCAATAGATCATATCTCCAAGTTGTTGAGAAGTTAAGGTGAAAACCAGCTTCAATTATAACTTTCTAGCTTAAGTCAGTGGTATAGATAATTGACTGGCGATCATGAGTTTGCTTTGTAATTGTTATATCTCTGTCTTACAGGTTTGGTCAATGTTTTGGTCGTAACTTCGGTTTGGGTTTTCTATTAGGGTTCTATGATTAACATATTGAGGAAAATGCCCGAATACAGACAACCAATTACTTTCTTGCTATTCGGAATACTTTAGCCTGATTAGTTATTTCAGCAGTTGCTAGGGTGGCCTTTAAATTCACTGCAAAAGCAGATACAGTCTGTTTACTACCCCTTGAGTTTGGTATGTTTAACTTGATCCTATTTTCACTGGCGTCACACTAGCTGACTTAGAGATAATACGAATCTTGATGACGAGTTCGCACAATGCACAATTATTTGTGTTCAGCAAAATATTCGAAAAATATGCAAAGCCTTAAAATGTAGGCGGCGTAATCAAAACATGAGAGAATGAGAGCATAGACAGACACACGTGAAGGATATACACAATTGATTGGTTGTGTCTCTCATTCTTTCCGGCTATGGATACAATAGTAATCAAGGTTTAGTCCAATTTCCGAAAGTCACATGTAAGTATCTATGCTACAGAAACGTATTTAGTTTGTAGACGAAGAGTTAACAGATAAAGTGGACAAAAATAACCAATCACGTTCAAGTTAGTATATTGGATGATCAACCCGTCATATGTATATTACTCTTTAAAGCCTAGAATAAAGGTGATATAGGTTTATTGTATAGCTTCATTCTTGACGGAATTACAGTTTATTTGCAATCTTTTCTTGTGTTACCTACCCAATTTTCTTCAGACATCTGTTTTTCTAATCGTAGTAGAGTAGAAAGTTTTACAATTTATCTTCTTATTTTCTCTTTATGTTTTTAACCATAGGAACTCATTCCGTGTATATTGTTGAACTTATTAACAGTAAACAAAATGAAGTTATGGTAATAAAACATGAAGTTTCAATGAAAGACTAGATTAGTGCTATGTATTCTTGTTTCTACCATTTCATGTAGAAGTGAAACACGCATATTGTTGAATGAAATATAATTACTATTCACGACTAAAGGTAAAACTACCAAATAGTGTATTTCATACGATTTCCTCTTCAAATTTTACAACACATGAAAAGGAAATAGTACAGAAAAATATTTCTTGCTTATATTTTATTTTATATTCATTATAGATTGTTTGCGGTCAAGATCATAGTATGTTGCTTAGTTCAGATGGTGTGGTTTACTCGTGTGGACTTGGGTCAGATGGTCAAACAGGTTTGGGTCATTATGATCCAGTCGATCGATTTACTCCGGTTAAAGGTGCATTAATGAATGAACGCGTCTGGTGAGTTTTCAACGCTCATTCAAAATATCGTTTTACCTTGGTAGTGTTACTGTATAAAAGCTACACTTTGGTTAGAAAATAGTCATGATATGTATCATTGTAAGAGTAAAACTTGGCCACTATGGGAGAACAGAATTCCATATTAGATTGTTTGCTTGGTATTCAGTAAATAATACTATTGGATTCTCCTAAGCTGCTTTACAACCTATAGAATATAATGTTTATAATAAATACACGTTATACAATGTATTTTCATAAATCGCCAAAGATATTGCGATTCAGATAAAGATTTAGGTTGATCGAGGTCGATGGGTTTTCTGAGACTACTCAAGTTAATTATTTATACAATGATAGAATAAACATTCTAGAAACGTTAGGTTGGTAGGGGGCTGTATTATATTATTATTTATTATTAGTCCCTTGGGTTACTAGTGGAACATAGGGCTTCAGTAGCAGTGACCTCTGTTCTCTGAGATCTTTTGAACCTGGTCCCACGACAGCCCACAAGCTCTCATTTCCTCCTCGCACGACCTCCTCCATGTCACCCTTGGACGACCAACTCGTCGCTTCCCATGGGGATTCCACTCGAGGGCCTGACGCGTGATGTCCTCAGTCGGCCTTCTCAGTGCATGGCCAATCCATCTCCACTTCTTCCTGCATTTTTGTTGCGTGATAGGTTCTTGGTTGGTTCGTTCCCAGAGTTCCTTGTTGCTTATTCTTTCTGGCAATCCATCTGATCTTCAGTAGCGAGCCAGAGTAAGCAGTTGTTGATGAATGTCTGTAGTTTATTGGAAATGCCTTTCGTAACGCGCCAAGTCTCTGAACCATACAAGAGCACTGACTTGACGTTGGTGTTGAAAATCCGTATCTTGTTCCGCATGCTGAGTGCAGAAGATCTCCACACTGGTTTCAGGCTAATGAACGCCTGTCTTGCTTTTCCGATTCTGACTTTGACATCCTCGTCCGTCCCGCCTGTAGTTGAAACAGTGCTTCCTAGATAAGTGAAGGAGGTTACTTCCTTTAAGTTTCTCCCGTTGATGGTGATGGTGACTGGAGTTTGTTGTTGTTGTTGATGGTGGTGGTGCGGTATCTTCATCACTTCTGTCTTCTCTATATTCACCTGAAGTCCCGTCTTCGCTGCCCGGCCTCTTCTATCAACTTGTTAGTTTTTGCCTGCAGATCTTCAAGTTTATGTGACATTAGGCACAAGTCATCGGCGAAATCCAAGTCTTCTAGGTTCTTTTCCGCCGTCCAGTGTATCCTACTCTTCTCGCTGCCTACTGTTTGCTGCATGATCCAGTCCACCACAATCAGGAATATCATGGGGGATAGTAGGCAACCTTGTTTCACTCCTGTCTTCACTTCAAAGGCATCACTGAGCTTCCCATTGTGAATTACTTGGCTGGCATGTGGCATCTTCATATAGTTGTTGAATGAGGCGGATAAAGGTTTGCGGTACTCCGTAGTATTGAAGCAGTTTCCAAATTACTTGTCGGTCGACGCTGTCAAAGGCCTTCTCAAAGTCGATGAAGTTGAGGCAGAGAGCTGATTGCCATTCTATGCTCTGTTCTATGATGATGGTAGGGGGCTGTACATAATGTTATTCTAGAATTGGTAAGAAAGGATATGATAATTAAGTAAACGTAGGGATACACCAATTTTAAGTAAACTGTACTCATTAGTCTTTGAGCTACGGTTCCGACCGTTGGTTAGCACCTTCTAATCCAACTCTACTCTGTTAAAGTTTGAGCAGACAAAATGTATTATTGACCCCTATACAATACTTGTGCTTCACAGCTTCAGTAGAGGAGCCCACGTGTGTTGACTCTGTTGTGTTTCTGTCACATATTTATCATTCTGGGTATCACTCGAACGTGCACAGTAGTTGTTATGGTCAACCTCATTCATGATTTCGTAGTTGAGATTTCTGTGTGAGATTCATCCTCCGTAGTAAATGCTATCTTTTGCGAACTTTACGCCAAATAAACATGTACAATAATTATTATTTTCATTTTCTGTGATGGTATCATTCGATTCTTTTTCGACTATATCGAGTCTGTTTGACAATGTGTAAAAGTTCACTTTTTTATTTTAAACACAAGCTTGCTATCATCTCGTGGTGATACTGTACTTGCGCTTACTGAATCAAATAAACTCTATGCCTGGGGCAATAATGAATACGGTCAAATATGGCCATTTGATCAAAATGTACAAGTCGCAGAACCTGTTCATTTGAATTTAGATCATTGTATTGTTCCAACAGAATCTAATGTGTCTGCTGATAGTGTTCATATAGGAGAGGTACAATCGATTGCTTGTGCGGGTTCCATGTGTTGTATTGTCAATAAAATTGGACAGGTAATCTTACATTCTAATTGAATTTCATTTAAATAACAAATGTTATTTGTTTGTTTCGATCATAGTGAAGTTATCCACTTCTGAATGACAAATATTTAACTGGATAAGAAAAACCGAGAAAGGGTTTTTGATATGGCATTCGGTTTTATCGGTGTAGCAGACCCTTCATATAATAATCTTGAAACTTTCCACACGTTTAAACGTTGTTGGTAGTGGAACGTGAATTATCAATGCATGAAGTCCTTGACTGTTCGTTTGAGCCATATAGGGCGATACAGACTAACCGGTTGGGGTCCGTAGGACAAGAGGAATCAGTGGTCGGAGACTAGGTGATATGGCTCAGAACCAATGTCACTGGCGCGTGTAAATACACACATTATCCTCATCTTAACCGCTATACTTATTCTCATCATCTCATTCTTTCCTCCTCCCTTTTACCACTTTCTACTTTTATTTCCTTTCGCCGATTTTTCTTTCCTTCATCTTCCATTTTATTGCCTTGTTATTTGATGTGCTGATAAGGTGTGGCAACTTGGACCGTTACTCAGTAATGCCTCCTCATATGTTCATCTTGATGATAATGACGACGGTGACGATAATGATGTGAATTATCCACTTCCAAAGTTGTTTTCTTGTAATCACACTCTTATTTAAAGGGCACCGTGGCAACTGCAGAATTACGCAATTAAGTTTCTTTACTTTATATGAATCACTATCTTTTAAGCCAAAATAAAAAAGCCTATCGTTTATTTTAGTCGGTGCTACTTCGATCTGTAGGTACAGTTGTAGCTAAGGTTTTAAAAGCATTGCTTAAGATATGTCAGATGATTTTAAAAAAAAATAGAAGTTAGGTACTGTTTTATAATTCCATACTAAATTAGGATGATGATTTTGAAACTGAACTATGAAATACTTCTCACTACTAAATCTAGCTAGAACTTGTAATTCGGAATTGCGTACACATGATAAGAATAGTGATGCTAACTTCAGACAGTAAATACGTTGAATATTCCGATTTAGACATTTAGAAAAAGACTGATTGAGCGAAGAAATATATTCCTTTTCAATTAGGTCTTCATCTTGGGCTCTACACTAATATATAGGTTTATAATTTAATCAAATTACCAATCACATGGTGATGTTTCGGAAATAATGATGTAAATAATCAATAGAGCTACTAAAATAGGAAATATGAATATTGATAGAAACAAGAAGGGGAAGAGGTGCTCAAAATAAACCTAGAAGTTACATCATGTTGACGGCCATGGTAATGAAAGTGGTCGAACAAACTTCTTTTGGATACAAAGGCTAGGTTTGTAAAGGTGGATTGCAATCGCCTCTGCTATGTGGAGTAATCGAGTGCATAATCCATGAGGTAAATTAATTGGAATCTGATGGATGATTTTGAAGGCTTTTCTAGTAACCACTTGATGTCCTGTGTCAACTAAGTGTGCAAGTATGGAGCTCTTTATAGTTCTAATCTGTCCCTTATCCAACTATGATGAGTAGTGCTCCGAAATTCGACGATGGAACTGCCTCATTGTACGCCCAATGTAACTCGCTCCACAGGAGCAGTTGAATTGATAAATGCACATAGAAGTGGCTGAATCAGGCAGTTTGTCTTTATTTCTTGCACTTAGAATCGGGCGGTTGTAGAAGATGGGACATAATTTAGCGGCTGGGAATGCTTTATGCAAGACTCTTTTTATGCGTCGTGTGATGATCTCACTGGCAATATCACTCTCAAATAGCAGCTTCAAGAAGATTTGCTACTTAGGAACTGTTGGCATTGTTTTGTTAACCCGCTCGATCCTAAGTGCAAGAAATAAAGACAAACTGCCTGATTCAGCCACTTCTATGTGCATTTATCAATTCAACTGCTCCTGTGGAGCGAGTTACATTGGGCGTACAATGAGGCAGTTCCATCGTCGAATTTCGGAGCACTACTCATCATAGTTGGATAAGGGACAGATTAGAACTATAAAGAGCTCCATACTTGCACACTTAGTTGACACAGGACATCAAGTGGTTACTAGAAAAGCCTTCAAAATCATCCATCAGATTCCAATTAATTTACCTCATGGATTATGCACTCGATTACTTCACATAGCAGAGGCGATTGCAATCCACCTTTACAAACCTAGCCTTTGTATCCAAAAGAAGTTTGTTCGACCACTTTCATTACCATGGCCGTCAACATGATGTAACTTCTAGGTTTATTTTGAGCACCTCTTCCCCTTCTTGTTTCTATCAATATTCATATTTCCTATTTTAGTAGCTCTATTGATTATTTACATCATTATTTCCGAAACATCACCATGTGATTGGTAATTTGATTAAATTATAAACCTATATATTAGTGTAGAGCCCAAGATGAAGACCTAATTGAAAAGGAATATATTTCTTCACTCAATCAGTCTTTTTCAGACAGTAAAGTATTATCCACGCAGTACATTGAATATGCATCTGTAAATATACGTATTCGTGAGTTTATGCTTGAAATGGCCAATAGAATTATAGTGCCGCATTTATGCATGAGAGATGGGACAGACGTGTCTCTGATTCATGTATGTGTAAAGTAGTGGGGTTGTCGCTCATCGGTTGACTTCCAGCCAATGAGTCACGAGTTCGAACACTATTCCACCTATCGAGGTTTAGGCAGGGAAGCAACCCTCACACAATGGGTATAGCTCATTGTCTAATGCACGAGTGTGCACAATGGTTGCTGACTACATTTTGACTTCGTGTAAAGCGATATTTCGGGCCTAGTTTATTGCTCATAATTGTACTAGTTCCTTGCTTTGCCTTTTTTACTAATAACCCCTTCCTTTATTATCTTAGGGATATTAACATTTTGAATCTATCTAGTACACGTGTACGGTTTTCTTATTACTAGTCATACTAGACATTGATTTTCATTTAGAAAGTTCCAGCTACTGTAGAGACCATCCTAGCAACCAATAGAATAGCCAATTACGTTTCTGTATTCCTTCTGGGTAAATAATCTTTGCCTAAAATGAAAAACCTAATTCGTTACACCAATAGTAGCTGAGGTTGAACTTGAGAGTTGTTCGCTTGAAGTATTGCCGATTCATCCCAACATTTATTTATGGTTGTCATTACGTACATAGTTGTGGTCGAACTTTTCCCCATATTCCTTTTGTATCTTTTTAGGGTCTGACAATCTTGATTTAACAACGATTTCGTGCACTGGTAACCTAATTGAAACTGTTGCAATCGTTGCAAAGGATTTTGTAGACTGAATTATATTGTCTAACGGGCTATGGCTCATTGATGTAAAGAGATTACTTTTAACTAATGAGTCACCAGTTGGAACCGGGTTCCACCTACTATCTAGTATCATTAACCCTCACACAAAAGATGTGGCTCATGGTGTAGGGTTATTGACACAGCTTGTTGTGAATGTTTTAACTCATAAAGTTTGTACCTAGTTAATTTTGTAGGTTTAAGTGTTAACTTAATTTTAGCTTTGTTAAGAATCCTGTATAATGTTGTTACTTGTATTACACCGTCGTTGATTGGACCGGATTGGTCAGTCTTTGTTGGCATATGGGCCCCTATTCGGATGCCTCGTTATTGCCTATGTTTTTAACTATATAGTGATGGTGGAAATGCGCCTCCTGTATTCCAGTGCTAGCCACTACCCATCATTACTTTGTAATCCTGTATAATGTTTAAAAAGTTGTTTCCTTGCACGTGAGCACTAAGAGTATTGACACTTACATTTGTAATATCAGTATCTATCTCACCGCTACTTATTTCAGACAGTTTTTCATAAACTTCTGGACGAGTTTAGATATCGACTTCAGTGCGATAATTTTCTTCAAACTGTAGTATCTAAGCTTACATCTTGGTTACTTTTTATTTTGTAACGCAACATTACTTGTTCTCCTTCATCACTTTCTAATTCAGTAGTAAACTGAAATCTATCTGCTGTTAAGTGTTTGTTTATTTACATACTCTAGTTTCGATACTACAGAAGTGTAATCTTCATAGCTCCACTAGGTTTTTAAGCAAGGTCGAACGTCCCTAAAACTATTTATTCAGAACTATTTGTAAATAGATCAGCGGTAGTTGGGAGTATTAGCGATGTCATGTAGCCACTCATGTTTGTGTACGTCGTATTCTAAAATTTTAAAACTGCATGGGTCACATAACTGTGCTCCTCGTATTATTTCCTTAAATTTTACCTTGATTCTAAGCTTGAGCTCATAATCAGCGTCAAGCTCATTTGAAGGGGCTTCCAAAGCCACGTTGATTGGTTTATTGCTAACGAAGCTTGTTACATCTAAACTATTTTTCCTCCATGTCCTTAAAACATGTTATACTATTAAACCCATAGTTGACTTTCAAGACAATCCAACTTACTATTCGTCTTATTACTTTGATATCAAACAGTGAATACATGTGCTCCATTGTCACCGATTGTCAGCCTTGTCTCTAAGCTTCTCCAACCACTATCGATTACTTATGTCTCAAAGAGGCGGACAAGATAGTCTAAATTCCCCTAGATGTCGCAAACCGAGGGACTTCATGGACCGGTGTCACATTCTATTTTTGCCTCTCTAAGCCCTCTTCAAACCTAATCCTTACATAACAGGTAGCTGTTACCTTGACGTGGTGTTCGGGCTTGCATATCACAATAACTGAGTAGGCCACGCTGTCTGGAACGCTTGTTCCTTGAGGTCCTACCATGTTAGTAAGGTTTGTTGGATATTGGTGTGATAAAAGCAGTTACCGTTATAGTGTAAATCGCTAGGCCATAATATAGTTCGAGGGTGAAGTTGTACTTCTGTCTGAACGGAGTGTGGCACCAGTACGGTGTTCTCCGTGGATGATCAGCAGTACCATGCTGATGCTGTATTCGCTATAGAAAGCGGGGCGGTTAGGAAAGGTTAGCCCCCAAAACAGCACACACCTCCCTACCCTGTGGTCTTCAGCTACCGGCCGTCTATTTTTTTCTTATCCGGCCTTAGAACAACCAGATGTCAAGCCGACAATCGTGAAGAGGCTATGTGTGTGTGACAGGCCTCAAGCAGATGTCCCACGGTCTCTGAGGTCATATAAATCTTTCTTTTTCAGGTACCCTTCAGAAACAACTTCTGTGGTGTGAGTATTCGGGTGCTGTCGACCTCCCACATGTTTCCCATAGCGTGCTAAACCTAATCAAATGTAACCTACCATCTTTTCTGTGTCTCTTTTTTTCCCCTCACATCCTGATAGTAATATTAAACCTCTTACAACTTCAATCTTTCGCTCTGTGACCACTACTAACGATCATGGCCATCAAAACCTCTTTCCTAGTTTCCTAAGACCCCGCTGTCAGTTTCATATTGGAGCCTTCAACATCCGAAACCTATACCTACTCACACAGCAAACATCTCTTGCCAGAACTCTAATATTGACACTTGAATATATCCTGTGTTTGAGACACGTACAAGGAACCCAAGTGTAGTTATTCACTTGACATTAACTGGCCAGTGAAATGAACCTGAAAAATTCACTTTACGAGCGTCTGGTATTTCGATGGTTAACTCTCGGATTCACTGGTGTAAGTATAACATTAAGTTCTCGAACAGAAAGTGTACTTCTCAACTGGATACCAGTTTCTAGCTTACTATGCAATGTTCGGGTAGATGTATCTATAAGAACTGAAAAAGTCCATCGTCAGTCGTCCATGCCTGTTGGTGACTTCTGTTTACCCGCTCATCGACTTCAGTTCGAATGATACAAAAGATAAATTCTATCAAAAGTTGTCAGTTTCTCTGCATAAATCAAAACGTACAAATGTACCCATACTATCAAGAGACTTCAACGCTCAATTGGGACTCAAGCTAGTTGGAAAGGCATCTTGGAGGTATCTACGAACTCCTGTGCCAACAGGCCAGAAATGGGGATTGTCACCTGCAGTTCTGTTTTGACAGTCACTCGTTTCTGGCTAGCACTAACTTCAAGCGTAGGAGTGACACTGTCTCACATGCAATGACTTTTAAACGCCATGAGCAGAGATTTGTGTATGTTTAACGTATATTTCTGACTTTCCAAATGTGAAAATGCTCCAGGACTGGTTAGTGAAAATGTTCAGATTTTCGGAGATGTCAAAGATTGAGTACGTGTGCGCCACTACTACCGGTTTTCATCCATATCACCAATGGTCTCCAACTATTGATGTCTTCTCGGGGACCCCAAACGAGCAGTCTACATTTCCGTACACGGCTCACACTAGCAGTCACAGACTTCATGGACTGATACCACGTCTTAGCCTGGCGACTCTAAACTCTCAAAAATAGACTGAAAACGAATGTAAGCAGTTTCTCAAACGATTAATTTCAACAGGAGCAATGGTTTGTCTGGCTGTTATAGAGCACCCTTCTGTGTTGGTTGTTTGGAAGGAGTTAGCGGGAAGCCTAAATGCAACTAGGATCTATAATGGGCATCGTGACAGTGTGTGTCCTATATTGTTGACCTCATTGTGAAATGATCGGTATTATTGGGTCAGCACTTAGGATTAAACAACACGAAATTAGTAACTCTTCAGTGACCGATCAGTATATTCTGCGAATTATGCTATACACATGAAGTCAAAGTATGGCTATTCAAGTAAACTGATGAACACATAGTCGTGAACAAAACATGTATGATTCTACACCTGCTTTTTAACTGACTGTAAAGCTTCATTGGGTAGAATATCTGTTTGTATTCAAATCCAGTAACCTTCTTTGACAATTTGAGTATTTGCTAGCTGCTCACATTTCCATTCAATTAATAGTAATTTTATGTTTGATCTCATTGATTTGTAGAATTGTTTGGATTAAAAAATTGCTTACATTTACTGTTTTGCAATCTATAACTTGTTATTATTTTTTTTTGCTTTTTCAATTTAAGGTTTTCGTTTGGGGTTATGGCTGCATTGGACTAGGTCCAAAAGTGAACTTTTCACCACGTCCTACATTGATCCCTCCTGGTTTATTTATGCCAGCCGTTGTAGATAGTCCATCTCGTGTAAATTATATTTCAGCTGGCTTACATCATTTTATTGTTCAAAATACTGATGGTCTATTATGGGCATGGGGAGCACCACGAGGTGGTTTGTATTGTTTAGGCTTAGGTACACAAGTGTCAAAGAATGCTGATAATCAAACTTATCCAATGCCATTGCTTCTTCCAATCAAATCTACAAGAGTAGCTTGTGGTGTTGATCATACTGTGGTTATTGGCAAAACATTTACTTGACTTACAGAAGTGTTTTTATCAAAAAGATTGTTTATTCATCACAGTAGGTAAGGATATCACACTAAGGAACAACCTTGCATTTACTGTTAATTACCATCATTGTAAATATATACCTTGTTTTTTTCTGTCCGTGATTACTGAACTGCAGTAAACATATGTTCAACACTCTGGTTTGTATATTGTCATTATGTATAACAATAAATTAATTTGGAAGTTGTGTGTGTGTATTTATTACTTTACTCTACATATTGTTTTCTGTGTATGTTGCCTACTTCTAATTGCAACTAACTAAAATGGTGATTCGTACTCTTTATTTGTACTAGTTCTCTTGATATTGGTTTTTGTGGTTATAAATACACTAACACTTTTCAACCCTGACCAAAGATTGAGGACATTCATGTCTCGCAAGTAATATTAACCGATGAACTGAGTTCCTTAAAAAATGCGGGTAATGAAATACTTGTTCATGATGTAGAATTTAAGTGTGTGAAAAACTAAATTTGCCTTCCAAGTGAATTTAAAGGACTTCTAATAACAGGTTCCCTACACTTTTTTCGCATTAATTTCAAACTAAATCATTGATCATTTAAAGGTAATGGCGGGAAATAAAATGTTGAACAAAATGAGACATACATTTAAGTGAATAAGATTGAAACAATATTATATCATGTTACTTTCACAAGATGAAGTGTTGAACCATCTGCTTCGCTTATACTTTAGGTTTTCTGTTCACTGATATTATTGATGTTCCAGTAGATCTTAAACGAGTTAGGTCAATATTTGATCACTCGATAAATAAGTTCCATGCTTTTTAAAAACAAACACAAATAGAAGTTATAATTTTATTCAGCGTTCGAGCAATGGTTATGTAGTCATAGCTTCAGGTCACTCCATCTATTGGAACTTAGACAACCATATATTATCTTCAACCTTTGGGTTGAGGTAGATGGGGCTGTGGCTCAACATCTTTAGGATTCTGACAAGTTAATGTACACTTCCCTGCATGGTTCTGGTCAACATTCACGGACTCCATTTAATAAACTTCTGGGTGGCTACCTTATCGTATTTGTTTTTGTGTACATAATATGCAGCAGTCATATGTTTGAACAATGAGTGGCGGAGGTTTTAGTCTCAGACGGGATATTCGAAGTTGCAGACACGTTCCTGGTGAGTGTCAGCAAGCTCCAAACGTAAGAAGAGAGCTTCTTACGTACTCTGAACTTGTAGCAACTGATTGTAGCGACTCCTTAACGAAATGAGATTTTTATATGGCATAGCTTGTAATTCCTCATTATTGGTTGGACCGAATTCATCAGTCACTACTGGCATACGGGCCTTTTGCAGATGTTTCGATTTTGTCGGCAGTGTCAGTGTATAATAATGATGAGTAATGACTAACAGTGGAGTCCAGGACTTGTGTTTCGTTCTATTTGGGACTCGTTAATCGGATGTATCTGACTCCCAATGAGTGATTTTCTTCCCACTGAGACCGAGCATCCGTCGTTTTAAATGCCAGAGCGTTATCCGCTGGGCTTCTGAGTTATAATAGTCACTTGTTATCTGACATCATTAACAACGCATTCGCATATGAGCCCATATGTCAATAGTGGCTGGTCAATTCAGTCCCATCAACGATAGAATCCTGCAAGTCATAAAATCAAGCTGCGTACATTGCAGCCACTATTCATTACTACTACTGAACAGATTCGTTTTATTTCATCATAGTCTAACGAACAAGTTACCGATATATATATATATATATATATATATATATATATATATATATATATATATATATATATATATATATGCGTTCTAGTTTTCTTTCTACTTAGTGACAAATTTCACTCTGATTCCGTGGTCATACTTGCTTATTTTACGCATCCTAGATTAACTACTTTCTAAGGTGCGAACACAGCAGGGAGGTCGTTTAAAGAGCAGTAAAGGAGATTGTGCGCTATCTGAATACGAAATAGTAGTATCGGTTCAACAGAAGTGATGCAGTGATAGAATAATTCCTTCAGGTGACCAGCATTCCAAGAAAAGGTAACTTCTTGGTGTAAGAACTACTATTTTTGCTGATGACAAGATGGTTTAAGGAACGAATATAGTTAACTAACCAATAGTGATTCAGAAATCGCCGTATTTGTTTTACTCCAGTCAGACTTTGGGCTTCACAATCATCTCAGTCTTCATATATGTATTGTTTCTCTTCTCAAATACATTTGTCCACCCTAATATGACTTCTTTCTTGCATGTTATTGTGCAGTGTTGCAACTTGAACTGACACACTTTTGTACTAAGTTCTGCGACACGTAGCAATCTATTTTACCTAAGGAAACCTTTTTTTGAAGAGTCGAGGATTTTCCCTGACCATCATTTTCTTCATACGCTGTAAAAGTTATCTCTTTCTTATTGTATCTTCAATCTCATTCCACTTTCCGATATTCTCTCACGTTTGACAACACTAAGCAGTATTCATGACTTCATGGAAGCAGTAACAGTTATGCATTGAATCGTTTAGTATTTTTACATTACCACAAGTTGGTTAGTAGGCCTCACTGTCTAGAACTTTGGTATCTTGCTTCTAAGATGTTTTTCAGGTACTTTACGCCACCTGTCTGATGTATTGAGTCTGGGACTGTATCGTCTGTGTATCCAGTGCCTCCGTGTTTGTTTGCTGTGGGTTTGTGAATGAACACGATAAGATTGTAGTGGCTAAATTCTTGAATGCAAACACTTGGTTTAATGTATGTATGACAATTTGAAATTTACATGCTTTATAATCGGGATTCATGATACTTTCGATGCATCTCAAAAAGGGTTTTCCTGTCATTTTCCTGTTTTGCCAAGTTCGCAGCTAATTGCAAGGTTAAACCTTTTTTGGTAATGATGAAAAATGGTTGATCAAAAACTCTGGATGATTGATTAAATCCATGGCAACTCTTGCATCTTGTTTCAAGATAATAAAACTGTTGAAAAGGAAAGAAATGCAGATAAGAATTTCATAGTAATTCATTCAGGTAGTTATTGAAAATCTTTAGGTGTCCAAGATAGATCATTTGAACCTATAGGACAATATGGAGCTTTTAATCACGTACACCTGCGATCAACCGAGACATCTCTTCTGAAGTAATTATTGTTATGATTTGTTCTAAGTGTATCTCTATAAGGTAATAGTTTTCATAGTTGTTAGGTCGTCTTCAAATGCAAGCGTAAAACATGGGCACTATGGTGGAATATAACTCCATATTAGGTTGTTTGGTTTACAGTATTATCTGTCGGATGATCTTCGATGAAGAACTTATTGGTTATATTCATATCAAAGCAATCACATAAAATCTAAACACGTTTTCATGTTTGAACAACTCGTTCTGGCAATAAAAGTTTCAATTTGTAATGAATCATTCCTGTTACATGTGTAATTTGTTGATTCATTGAAAAGTGATTCGGTAATCAATCTTCTCTTCCACTTAGCTTCTTGAGATTTTAGAACTTTCACCCTTTCTTATCCCATAGTATGATTATGGGTTAGTTTATACGGGACAATAGCAGAGATTTTTCTAACTTGCCTATCTTGGTAGGGTCTACCATTGTATGCTTCACTAAATGTTTGTCCTTTGCTGTTATGACTGACTCCGATCACAGATTGTGATCTATAGACTTGACACCAAAACCACTGCGTAGTATTTGATAGATAAAGTTATTTGGCTTAAGTGAATCTCTTATTAACATGGCAGTAAAAGTTGGGAATTGTGGCTGGTTGTAACTTCATTTTAACTTGTTGATTAGATATCACAGTGAAAAAAGTACTATTCACTGGACAACTTTCGGATATAATCCATCGTTATGTTCATACGAGGTAAATTCACAACTTTGAGACATGGTTTACATAGTTTTAATCCTCTCACCTCCCCTTTATGATAAGATTAGTAGAACACTCAATTTATCTGGAACAAGTGCTGAATCTTGTCTTTTGTACGTATTTGGTGTTGATTCGGTAAACAAAGATTCAGCTCAAAAGAAAACAGTGATGGAAATTTAGGGTTGTGATATACCCATATGTCTATTCGAGTGTATTAATTTTCTATAAACGCTGGTGTCTAAATTCCTGTCTTCACTTCTTATGAATGTATAGTCTAATATGCTACTTTTGGAACAATAAGCATACAGCCAGGTGTTCGGATATGGGTACAAAGTAAAAGTAAACAGATTCTTGTATTGATTGGTCACGGGAGTACAACCAATTTCATGTTGTGTAGTCCTGAGTGCAGATCGAATTCTATCGATCATATTTGCAATGTGGCAACCAAGCTAGGAAGCTCAGTATCGCAATAAAAGTTATTGTTTCATAGAACAAACTTTAAAACGTTTTAGCGTAAAAAATCAGTAGTCAATATTGTAGAAAAAAAAAGTGAGGAAGTCTGGGCATCAGGATAAGTAAAGCCAATCGATATTTATTTAGGACAAAATAACCTGATTCACCACCGATTTGAACCAACTAACTTTTCTAGTAAAGCATTTACATTGATTACTACAAACTTTGTAAATACTATTTAACAATGTGAGATGTAACCAACGGGAAGTCGAGAAGATTTACCTGCAACTTCTAAGCAAATTCACTTTTCTTAGTAGATCTTAAACTAGTTTCGTTCAATGATAAAGTCAGAAACTTCACCATCAAGCTATTTCAAGTCATAACTGCTCGAATTATCGAAAAGAATATACGCTGATCGCCTGTTCACTTTTCAAAATAGAAATATGATGAACACAAAAAAGTACGAAACCTAGGTCCAGGGCTTCCTGCCGATTGCCTCCAACCAACTAACATCTAATAATATGCACCGCGATACTGAGCTTCCTAGCTTCGTTGCCACATTGCAAATATGATCGATAGAATTCGATCTACGCTCAGTACTACACAACATGAAATTGGTTGCACTCCCGTGACCAATCAATACATATAAGCCAGTCCTACAGGAGGTCAGTGGCGGCCCGAATAACTCAGTGGTAAAGTCGCTGACTACTACACTGGGTGATGCGGGTTCGAATCTTAGGCGGGACATGCGTTCCGTCAAGGTTGCAGATACGCCTTGCTGACCAGTGCCAAAAAGCACGGAACCTAGGTCCAGGGTTTCCTGCCGATTGCCTCCAACCAACTAATAAACAGATTCTTCGCTGAAACCTATAATCTTCTATATATTATTATACAGTTTTGATTTGTGCCTATTTTTGTTAATTTCGAGTATTTTTATAACGTATTTAGGCATAAGTTTTAATTTATTTCATTATTATCATTTTCACACAGGTGGCTCCAACTTTGGTACACGTTTTATAAGACGTCAAGAATTTGAGCGTAGACTTTGTGAAGGAGAAATTTTAGGACATCACAATAATTTTATCCACAAACTTTATATTGTTGCGTCCTCAGTTTCTGCGTGTTCTTCAAAACAGTTCACTGTGCAGTTTCGCATGGGATAAACACAACGCTTATGAAATATTAGGAGTGAACAAGTCGGCAACGATTGATGAGATTAAATCAGCTTATTATACTTTATCCAAGAACTTACATCCAGACCGACTTGCGCATTCTAATCCAGATAAGATGAACAACGAAGAATTTCAGTTATTGTCTGCTGCCTATATGTTACTCAAGAATACAGAAACTCGATCACAGTATGACCAGTATATAAGAACTCGTTGTTGGATACAGCAAAACAAAAATGATGTAAGTTACAAAGAATGTAACTTTAATTAAGATTTTTTTAATCTTTGTTGAATATCTGGAGATTATTTGTTTCATTTCTTCAAGCAAAAGATGGTCGAATCAACAATAAATGGTGGTTGGCAGTTGGATCTTGTAGGTTGGTCACTGGAGCTCTCGCTTATCGACCTACGCACTTATATTTCAACCGATTCATTATGGGACGAAACTCCACCTACTGTAGTTTAAGCACCCGAATAGTACCATTCGCCTTCACAGTACACGCGTGGCTCATCGTCTACTGCATGGATATCTAAGTGCATTTCAATACGAGGTTTACAGAATTCTATCATCTAGTTCCAACGCTACCATAAATCAAGTTGTTTTTCATGCCACAGTCAATACGCTCGTGTACTATGTACTATGTCAAGTACTATGTCAAGTAAGCTGCCATGTTATTCTCGAATCACCTTTGTTGATTGAACGATGGTACAAGAATTACGATATACAATAGTCACTACCGTGAAGCATATACTACTAATTCATGTAAGTAACTAGAGACCACAATAGTAACCAGTACAGTTATTTCTTTCGTAGCCTAAGCATATTAAAAGGTGGCTTTATTTCTTAACTGTTAAGCACCTTGAAATCACATCTGTACCGATGCACCCCAAATCATCACAATCTTCATATTATTCGAACTTCCTCAACACCATTCATATGCTGAAAATAACAGAAAATTTAGGGGATGTATACTCTCGAGGATGAATACTTGAATATGAAATTGCACATCTCCACCATTTAAGATACAGTAAATACTTTTCTTCATCTTGCAGTGTTAACATTAATATTGATTTATTTGTTGACTGGTAAACAATTCGAAGTGTTTCACCTTGGTTTGGTGTTCACCACAACAACTGAGAGATAGAATTGCTTAGCATACACACATGAATATCAAGCAGGTAACAACTGACTTGGGTTATACTCGTTTCATTCCACAATAGTTCTATGCTTATTCACATTCAGATGACTTTTACACACTCATTTCATCTGCACGTTTTCATGCCACATTATCTATATACTCAGGTGCTAAACGAGGGAAGTCAAAACGCGTACATATTTCAACCTGTTGATCATCATTCCCGTCAATTGTGTTAGGAAGAGATGTCGAAAAGAAGGTTACAACAATTATGTTCAATGGAATCAGTTCTGGTTTATCGAAGCGGTGTCTCTGAAACAGCTATAATACAACTAACTTGTTTTATATGCATTCTTCCTTCCAGTCAGTAACTACTGTCATACTGAGGCTTAATATTGTGAAGTGAGAGTAAGAGTAAAGCGTGTCAGTCACCTCATAGTTTAAGTGGCAGTATTGATTGTCTCTGATATACATTGTCTTGCATTTGTAAGTCTGTGATTGGTTCAACTAGACAGAGGTGACTTCGAACAATTGAGCCTCAGGTTTCCCCGTTTTTTAATGATTTGTATTGTCAGTCAGCAGAGTTAACTGTGACTCAATAGGTGTGCACAAACCTACACTGAGTTGATGAGTTTCGGATTAGTGACTGAATAGGATATCAACCAACACACCATGGGATAAAGCAAGTTTTTCTAATCGTAATAAGTCAAGAAGTATGTTTGTTGTTGTTGTTGTTGTGAATTCCCGATATCTTCACAATTTTTCGTGAATTCAACACATTGATTTGTTTGTGCATTTTCACTGGTTATCAGTCAGCTGTACATGAAATGTTCAAGTTATATATGCCTAATTCTCAAAGGCTTTGCTACTTTTTTCTTCTTTTTTATGCAAAACATTAGATTGTAACAGATTTCGATGCTGAATTTCTACGTGCTCGTGAGCTGTTCATGCGACGTCAGAGATCTCGAAGTGACCAATTTCGGTACAAAGCTGATGTGATTGATACATTTAAGAGTCAAGTGAAAACAAATATGGATCCACTAAGAGTATCAAATTACCGTCATCACTCTTTCAAGCGACAGCACCAACAAAAAGAATCTTCTTCATACTTATTACGATATAATTTTCTAGCTGTTACACTAAGCATAGTTTTAATATATTTCATGTCAAAGTTGAAGTGATTATCAATTTTGATGATATCATGGTTTACATTTGTTGTAGGATATTAGTTCTCTCATTGTTTTATTTGCTTGCTTGTTTCTCTCAATTGCAAACTATCGTATTGTAACGTTGACGTTGATACAAAACTCATCAATCTTGAGAAATGACACCAGCATCAGAAAATAAATTGTGTTAGCTAAATATAGTTAATCGATTTCATCATTCTAATTTTGTAACATTTTACAACACGGCTTATAAGGTGATTTGTCATGAAATTATAAAAGTCTATGCGACGATGTAATCCGTAGAATGCAAGAGTTGAAGATTCCAAAAGTGTTATTGCATGTCCAGCTAGGGTTCTATTCTGCTCTAGGTAACTTATCTTAAGTGGAGGAGAGAGGTTGATCATTGAAGCTCTGTTCATTGATTCATCGTGTGACATGTGTAATAGGGATGGTTCAACACGGACTCTCTATATATGAATAATTCTACTAACAATTGAATCAAAATATGAGAAACAGTAGAGATGTAAGGTAACTAAGACAGGATTTTGTGTTTGCCTTGATGTAAATATGAGTAATAGATTGTGTTCTCAAAATTTCCTCTATTAAATAATATTATATCACTGTGTACTGTATCTGATATGGAATTGCACTGTACCACAGTGCTGAAATTCTATGCTTACATGAAGGAAATCCGACATTATACAAAAGCACCGTTCTTAACCTTGATTTGCGTCTTACACAGCCTACTGATTCGATATTTGCTACTAATAAGAGTGAGTGATAGGTGTTGAAATTCAAATGGGATAGGTTCTAAATAACTAACCAAAATGTATATGGTAAAGAAGTATAGAAGTGAAGTGATAGGAGTCGAAGGACAATTATTTTGAAGGCAGAATTCAGATATTATCTGCACAAACTGTATTGAGTGCAAGGTTAGGATATTTCATCCCTACTCATTGCAATTTTTGAGTAAAAACTCTAATTCTCATCAATCTTTTTTCCTACATCTGAAATTGACGACAAGACTTACAAATAAATACAATGAGCACATGAGATCCTACTGTCATATTGGATTGTTGAAGCAACGATCTGGTAATCATAAACACTGGTCATCTACACATCAAACTTTAAATATCGACTCACTGCATGGATGTTTCCTTCGTGGTCCTCACAAATTTGTGAATAAGGCAGCAGGTTTCAAAATCCAACCAGACTTTCGTAAAGAATTAGATTAAGAAACAGGTGTAAACCTAGAGAGGACTTCAATGCACCCATAAGTTGACACTCCACAGTATATAAGTTGTCATCCAGGCTCATTGATAACTTTGAAATCAAACAACACACTGAGCAGACCCATATATTTCCAAAGAAATCTCCACTTGCCAATAATGATTTGAAGAGTGATTCTGCAACCGAAACCTTGAAGAACTGGTTGTCTAAATTACAGTGAACGGTCTCTTTTGCTAAACTATAGATCACCTTCAGTCTGTAAGTGATTCATGAATGTGCTAAGGGAAAGTTGGTGATTTCGATCACATCAGTGTGTGTTTACGAGTTCACTTACTCCTGTGGAGCTAGTTACATTGGTGACACAAAGCACCAACGTCTGGGCGATATCTTACATGGCTGTCAGTGTGAAAGTGCAAACAAATCATTAGTTCGATTCTCCAACAAGCAATCAGTTCTCCGCAAGCAACTCTATAACAACCTATTCTTGAAATTGTCTGCACAGTCAAAGTAAACAGTTAAAAAAGAGTACGAGTTCACAGGTTGCATACGGTCGTGGAGGCAATGACGATTCATAAATCCAAACTGAAGAAACATTCTCTGTATCTCTTTCTACAATGCACACAATTAAGCTTGTTCGTATTGATTACGGCACATTATTTCACCATTGTTAGCTTCATTATGGCCTTACCTTTTTAGCCCGTTAGCGCAGTGCGTTCATTTCGCGTATACGATAGGTCAGGTACTCGCTACTAGCAATTCTATTAACGACGCGTATTGGAAAGACCAAACCACGAATGTTTCCGAACAGTGTATTTCAAGCGCACTTTGCCAGCAAAACCAAAAACAGAGCCTAAGTGTACAAGGCTTGAAGAAAGTGCGTTGAATGTCTTCAGCCAATCCTGTTACAGACAAACGTCTTAAGAATGTACAATGACTAGAAATTGAATCGTGTTCAAGCAAAAAAATGGAGGTTACTACAGCTTCCACATTTAGCAAGAGAACTCGCAATTGTCCTGTTTCTCATCTAAAAGCAAATTCTATATTCTTGTCACCTTCACACTCCTTTTTCGAAACGTGATTACTTAACCTGTTACCGCCTTTACAAACTAATTAGAATACTTTGTCAAAAATGCAACTTTACTTTAGTAGTCGAAAATCAACTGTGATATGCGATTGTTCATCTTGAGAAAATGACTTCCTCAAAGAAGAACGGGATTTCCTTCACTGATTTGGCTTTTCTTCTATTAGGCACATAGTAATCTCATACGTGTTACGTCGACCATTTTCACCAAAGCGAAATATATAGGATAGGTTTGTTCTCTAACTGTTCGAGGGCCTCTCCTCAGCTGCAAACAGTCGCAAAAGAAATGTGAAATCAGTGTGGGATAGAATCAGGGAAGTCCTTTCGTACTTATATGAGGTGACTTTATACAGTGGCACCGATATACGAAATCCAGTATTAATTGTAGGATTTAAGCAGTCAATGAATAATAATGGAGGATGGGAGAGAATCAATCTGCGACCGTCCAACTCCTCAACTCTCGTATCAGCGGAGCACGCTGAAAAGTAAAATTTTGTTTTCGAAATTCCATATTGGATTCTTTATCGCATACAGCGATGAGGTTTTGAGGAGAATTTACTGATCATATTCATATCAGAGCAATCAAACGACTTTAGAACTTCGCTTATATATATGTATTTGCTCCAACAGTTCCTCATTCTTTTATTTCAGTGTTAGTAAAGTTTTCCAAATATCTGCAATGTGAGATGAATCACTGTAGTTGTATGTGTTAAGCGTTGTTTCACTAGGTTGAACCAAGAATCAAAGTCTACAACTTCTTGTACGGTACAAAGCGAGATTCCAAGACTTCATCCACTGATTCCTTGGTTTATTCTAGCCACCTTTAAAATTTTTTCCAACTCAACGTTAGATCAGCTTATATCGTGTGTCGAAGCAAGCGTTAAGCAGACATTCATGAGTCAATGTAGGTTAATGATCTCATAAGCTGATATACCCCTTTCACCTAAAATGATTTCTGCGTAACTAAGCCTGCAGTTCTATGACAATAAATGACCTTTGTATGTCCATCGTCCCTGACATCCACGCTTTACAGTTAGGTTTTAAGACAGAGTTAACTGCTGAACAACACACTCAATTCGTTGTAAGTAATTGGATACCTGGCGCATGAAGAATGTCAGCAAAGCGGATCATCTTAGTCTACTCCCGATCCTTCCTTCCAACTAATTATAGATAAAGGAGATTTGTCACCGTCATCCTTGTTACTTACATACTTTAATTGCTGTCGAATATTGTATCTCTCATTACCATTGTACATAGTTTTTTGTCTTTTCACGAAATTTATTTTCTTATCTTATCCCATGATGATTTTGCTGACAAAATGAGGTAACTCATCGTTCAGGTGAGCAGTAATAATCCGTTGTTTGAAAATATTAAGTCAAGTTAGGTAGCAGAGAGAGTTATTGCAAAGTAATTCAACTAATTACTATTTATTGACATACTTCTTATACTCCGTTGTTTTATTGGATTAAAATTGTTCAACCTTCATTGGCATATGGACTCCTATGTGGATGCACAGATATTGCCTGAATGTTAATTATAATAATATGGTTAGTTATGGCCAGCAAAAGAATCCAGGACGTGTGTTTCGTCCTATTTGTGACTCGTCAGCTGAATGTACCTGCACCTCAGCGATGGGTACGTCTCAGTGGGAACAACATCAATGGGATGCAGGTGCGTCCGTCTGACGAGCCACAAGTAAGACGAAACACACATCCTGGATTCTTCCGCTAACCACAACCAACTAAATTATCATAACTCAACTAGCTTTGATGTAGAGATTTTTTGGTTATACTTGGTTTATGTAGAGCTCCATGGACAGTTCTTTCTTCAGAAAGGTAAATAATTCGAGCCAACTAACTTAACAATATCTTGAAATAGTGCAAAACATTTGTAGCTCAAGTGGGTGGTTTTGTTATCTGAGCTGGGCTGTTTAGTCGTGGAGCTTTCTTCGTCTTTCTAGGCAAAGAAGTTAGTGCTGAAGATATCGTCTAGAAAGACGATGAAAGCTTTACAATATCTGTTTATTAAACTGTTAAGCAAGCCCATTTCGACCAACATCTCTTGAATATACTGTAACCTCTTATGAACAAAACAATAAGAGCATATGCTTTTGCCTCTAATTAATATTTGACCAGTATTATTTTCTACTGAACATATACGAAGCTCAGATTTACTTACCAATGTACATATATGGTCTTCCTGCACGAAATCAATTGCGAAGAACATCGGGAACAAACTAGGCTGATAGGTTTTAGGTAGTATTCATTACGGACTGATAGTTTAGCGTCAGAATATTCAAAAAAGTTTGCCAATATCGAGTAGCACTAGAAAGATGCAACACCTTTTGTTTCCTAATGTACACAAAAAGCACTAGTAAAATCAGACATTTGTAGGAGTGTTAGACAGCGCGAACCCAAGCTCTGTAAACAATGGTCAACTGGCGTGGTGTTTAGACGAAACACATTCAGGAATCATCATTACACTAACTTGACCAATCTAGTGGCCAGTCACTAGTTCTTCGTACTTGTGGAATACCCATGAGTTTTAGACCAAGAAAGAATACAACACCATAACTATTTGATGAACTGTGCCAAAATACCGTCATGCTTCGATTAACTGGCTACAGGATAGTGCACGAGTAACTCAAAGTAGCATGAAAACGTGCGGAATGGAGTGGATATTTGACTGTGGGCCTTCAGCTTATACGGTCCGCTAAAACTGTGGAGATCAGCATCAATGTTGAGTCTCGTCGAACCAAGGCTACTGATTGTGGAGCATTATTTGTTGCTAAACAAATATTCACCAGTGCTACAAACTAAAGTTTAACCTAACATGAAAGTATCTTCCTCTAACCAATTCAATAATCAATCACCATGTCCATAAAACAACTAATCTCATAATAATGAATCTGCTTTCTTAGTACAGTAAGATAAAATCCAAGTTTAAGGAGGTCAGTATGTTGCAACAGTCGGTTCTCCTTCTTAAACTGGAATATTAAAAAACAACAGACACATTACTTAAACACTGGCACACTTCTCAATGATGGTGGAGAATATTTGTAGCTCAGATGGATGGTCTTGGTTGCATTGTGTTCTCTGAGCTGGGTTGCTTACTAGTGGAGCTTTCATCGTCTTTCTAGACGACATCATTAGCACTAACTTCAGTATGAAGTGAGCTGTCAGTATCTCGCCGTGAGTGATTTAGTAGCTTGCCTTGACGGACTGGTTTGTGGTTCGTTGTTTAGTTTGATTGTTGTCATAAATTTTCCTCTGATCTTTCTAATGTTTATCATTTTTCTCATTGGTTGATGGGTTGGATCTATGTCTATACATCTACTGATTGCTGACTGACCTGAATGAAAGGCTTCTAGGTCTCTGATACTGTTTGTGTTTCCTCTATCCAAAATTTATACATTGTCGAAATTGAATTCATGTCCATAATTATCCACATGCATTGAAATGTCGTGACGTTTAATAGCCAATTGGTGTTCATGTAGACGAAGGCGAACAAGGCGACCACGTTGTCCAATGTAGTGTTGACTACAGTTGATTTTGTAAATGATATTCGGTTTGTCTTCTTTGTTTGTTGCATCTTTTTGTCTGCATAATGGTGTTTGGAGGTAATTTGTTGGTTTATGAGTCTAGTAAGACGATGAAAGCTCAACGATTAAACAACCCAGTCCAGGGAACACAGTACAACCAAGTATACATCGCAGTGATGCATAGCTTATCAATGAAGTTGTTGCTTGCATGGTTAGTAAACTGAATGAAGCAACTATTTCCAAATGAGATTGGTTTATATGATACACCACATAGTAATATAGCATTATTGACAAAGGTCAACAATACTGTAACAATATATGTACTATCTCTAGTAAAGAACTCGATATAGGAATGAAATCATATAACAGTGCTCGAATCCCATACGTACACTGGTGAAGAGACCTTCACAGGAAATCATTAGATTAATCAACTTCCGCCAATAACTAGGTACTTTGCCTGACTTTATGCCATACTGATTTTGTAATTGTTTTGAAGGTGTTTACAGCTCAGGAGAAGACTCCAAATAAATATGAACTAAATTTACTCTGAATTTTTGCTTTGATAAACATGATCAAAACAACATGTGTGAGATTTACATTGCAGACACCAAACTGATCGATTCTGATACAAAAGTAACAATGAATGCACTTAGTATTCAGCAATTAGAGGTTAGTAAAATAGGTGAGCGCATTAAGCCTTTTCCAATCCAATAGATACAAGCAAACTCATTCTAGTCGGCTTCAACAATAGAGAGAAGCAAATATGATTGATATTTTTGACTACCCTTCGAGGATGATTAGCAAGGTGGATTATATGTCGCAGAGTAGTTATTACGGTACCTTGAAAGAAGTGGATGGTGAGAATACTGCCATTGAACAAGGATTACTAGTAGATTCTCGGCAAAAGCAAGACAATGATAGACTTAGCAAGTTGAGTAGGATTTCACTTGACTGAAGGCTACTTTTCAGAACTACAAATCCCAGTCTCACACAGGATGCGAACAGCCAAGGACTAAAACATGACGATCTGCTCCAAAACACTCACAGCTGAGTTCATTACAATCTTCACATTATTCGAACTTCCTCAACACCATTCATATGCTGAAAATAACAGAAAATTTAGGGGATGTATACTCTCGAGGATGAATACTTGAATATGAAATTGCACATCTCCACCATTTAAGATACAGTAAATACTTTTCTTCATCTTGCAGTGTTAACATTAATATTGATTTATTTGTTGACTGGTAAACAATTCGAAGTGTTTCACCTTGGTTTGGTGTTCACCACAACAACTGAGAGATAGAATTGCTTAGCATACACACATGAATATCAAGCAGGTAACAACTGACTTGGGTTATACTCGTTTCATTCCACAATAGTTCTATGCTTATTCACATTCAGATGACTTTTACACACTCATTTCATCTGCACGTTTTCATGCCACATTATCTATATACTCAGGTGCTAAACGAGGGAAGTCAAAACGCGTACATATTTCAACCTGTTGATCATCATTCCCGTCAATTGTGTTAGGAAGAGATGTCGAAAAGAAGGTTACAACAATTATGTTCAATGGAATCAGTTCTGGTTTATCGAAGCGGTGTCTCTGAAACAGCTATAATACAACTAACTTGTTTTATATGCATTCTTCCTTCCAGTCAGTAACTACTCTCATAATGAGGCTTAATATTGTGAAGTGAGAGTAAGAGTAAAGCGTGTCAGTCACCTCATAGTTTAAGTGGCAGTATTGATTGTCTCTGATATACATTGTCTTGCATTTGTAAGTCTGTGATTGGTTCAACTAGACAGAGGTGACTTCGAACAATTGAGCCTCAGGTCTCCCCGTTTTTTAATGGTTTGTATTGTCAGTCAGCAGAGTTAACTGTGACTCAACAGGTGTGCACAAACCTACACTGAGTTGATGAGTTTTGGATTAGTGACTGAATAGGATGTCAACCAACACACCATGGGATAAAGCAAGTTTTTCTAATCGTAATAAGTCAAGAAGTATGTTTGTTGTTGTTGTGAATTCCCGATATCTTCACAATTTTTCGTGAATTCAACACATTGATTTGTTTGTGCATTTTCACTGGTTATCAGTCAGATGAACAAGATGTAATAAAGTTCCCTCCGTTTTAGCTAACGAAGTTTGTACAACCAGATAATATCACTAGCTCCTCTCACCTGATCACAAAGTACCCATAACTGACTCAGTAACTAATGCACTGACTTGCACGCGTTTAGCTAGTGCATTTCAATTTCGAGTCACACCCAGATTCACATTTATGACGAAGATTAGTGAGAATAGTTATGGTGTTCGGTGTTTCCCATACATTCGAAGTATGCTTACTTCATCGATAAGTACACCAGCGTTGAAGTACCACCTCCAGTCAATGCAATGTCGTGCAAACCTACAGTTTATCTGATTACCCTGAACTCTATTAGATAATTGTGGATCTGAGATGCAATTTCGGTCAAGCTGATTTATCTCCGGTTAATACTGCAGGAAGATATCTCATTCCTCGCATAACAATACTGTCAGCTGGTGCTGGTTAACTTTGTCTGAGTTTTGAAAGTCTTTCTCAGCTGTAATGAAAGAAACAAAACTACTTCTCATGTGACAGTCAACATATTTTAAACATAAATGTACAGTGAAATATAGTGCGATTTTCATAATAAACAGATAGACATTGGATTTTGTGTAATGAAACAATAAAATTACATATATGTATATATAGTATAATTTATGAAGTTATAAAAGAAAAGTTAGTAAAGTAGGTTATATGCAATAGTATACATGAACAAATAGAAGAAATAATTGTTAACAAGGGGAAAATGTACATTTTTTTTTTACAAAGGTATCTTCATTGAAAGAGACGTATTAGGAGAACGCGTTGGATTGCCATAAGGAGAATCCCATATAGCACTGCTTTCACGTGTTCGATTCGTATACTTATACCCATGGAACATATCATCGATATCGATTGGTATCAGTGATGCAGGTCGGAGCTCATCTTGCCACCTTAGTTGATTTGAACAGAGAGCCGACAAAGTAGCTATGAATTCAGGATTTCCTATATGCAATAAGAAAATAATTTAGGTAGTAAGAAAAACTCGATATCTGAGCACTTGCATTCAAGTAAAACATTTCTACATCTGTCAATCCCGTATATATCAATTGATGCACTTTACTATGCATCAGCGTTAAAACTCTATTGTCCTTGTAACAAACAACAACGGTAGCTAGTGATAATCTTGTTCAGTACACCACCCAGTCTTAGAGAATCCACACCACCTTACAAAAGTATTCTAGCTGTCTATTAGGTACGGAATAAAATCACAGGCAAACAACATCATGTCAAACTCTTGCACCTTATTAATTTCAATACTAATCCGGTATCAATACCTTTTAAATGTCCATATAAAATCGATAAGAACTGCTTATCTCGTCGAATTGAACAAAACCATTAAAGCCACCAGATCTAGGTGGTTGAGTTTAACGTTCTTAACGCTCAAAGACTTAATTTAGATTATATGAACAACATATGGGTCAAAAGTCTCGTCAATTGTAGCTACCCACATTCTATGAAGCAGGCCAATCATGTGAACATGCTGCAAAACTGGCTAAATTTCTACTACCGGTCGTGGATGTATCGACCAAATATTCACACTACGCCAGGTTCTGGAACACAAGCACGCTTATCGATGCCCAACAATAGCTGTATTTGTCGACCTGAAGGTGGCATTTGACTCCGTTCATTGAGAAGTCTTATGACAATGTCTGTCACTGAAAGGCGTGCTGAGTAAGTACATCGGTTTATTGAAGGCTCTCTACTCGAACACTTGTGGGCGTGTTAGAGCTTATGGCAAAATGTCGGGTGATTTGTGTACTTCGAGTGATGTCCATCAAGAGTGCCCACTCTCCCCATTCTTATTCAATTTTATCTTAGACATTCTCATGGAGGTCTCCCTCTCGTCACCTAATCACACAGACGTTGACCTAATCACAGGAGAATTTCCGTTAGACCAAGAATATGCAGATGACATAGTCCTGTTAGGTGAAGACGCTGACAAGATGCAGAGTCTTCTGAACACTTTGAGTGGGAATTTGAGAATGTTTGGGATGCGATTTTCACCACCCAAATGCAAATTTTTGCTCCAGGACTGGTCTTCAACCGTGCCCCCACCGCGGCTAACAACAGAGAGTGTGGTGCTTGAGTGTGTCGAGCACTTCACTTATCTGAGAAGTAGGGTCAGTCCTGGTGGTTCGACAAAATTTCCGCACGAATACAAAAGGCTCGGTTGGCTTTTGTCAACTTACACCACCTGAGGCGCGGCCGTGATATCCAAATATCTGTTAAGGGTAGCGCGTACTGTACAGCAGTCCGGTTTGTTTTACTACATGGCTGTGAAACATGACCATTGAAGGTGGAAGGCATGAGAAGGCTTCAGGTGTTTGATCACCGTTGCCTTCGTAGTATAGGCCATATTCCGTGGTGTCACCCTACATGAGTAATGTAGAAGTCAGTAGAATTTTAGAGAGAAGAGGTAAATCAGTAGACGAGGTTATGAACCTTCATCGACCGAGATTGTTGGGACACGTAATACGTATACCTAGTCACCGATTGCCTCGCAACACAATGTTGGCCGAAGTAGGTCCAGGCTGGAAAAGGCTTGAGGTGGCCAGACTAAAACATGGCATCAATATATGAAGTCTCTGATTGTCGGTTTGAGCCATGTGGGGGGGGGGGGGTTGCAGACTAGGTGGTTGGGGTCGACGGGACAAGAGGAACCAGTGGTTGGAGACTCTAGGTGATATGGCTTAGAACCGACGTCAGTGGCGATGTATACACATATTATCCACATCTTAACACTATACCGATCCTCACCACTTTGTCATGCTTTCTTTCTTCTCGTACTTTATATTTCTTTTGACTGCATTCACTTATCTTCATCCTTCACCTCACTACCTTTCTACTTGATGAACTGACGTGAGGTGTGGCAACTCGGACCGTTACGCAGTAATGCCTGGTCCTATGTTGATTTAGATGCATGGACTGGTTAGTTCAGTTACCAAAGTGTCATCATACTATGCCAATTGACGAGTAAGTAGATAGATAAAACATCTCAAAAAACTGCTTCATATACATGACGATTGCTTATTAAAACGAGTATTCACATTTTACAGTCTGTCCCTCAGAGTCAAATATGTCTGTGTTTTTTGTACTCTCAGTTTGAATCGACTGTGCGGCACACAGTAAAATTAGGGAAGAGAAATAGCTATCTCTGTTTGTTATTATAAGTCACTACAAGCTATTAGTATAATAGATATGGAATTTTGATAACGAAGTCTATCGGTAATTGAAACATTGGTGAAAATAATAAAAGTTAAATTACCTCGTCGGCACCAGGAAGGGACTTTAATGTTTAGTTCATCATTTTCTGACTCTGAGTCAGAATTCAAAAGTGATATATTGAAGGATTCACTAGAAGTCATCACAAAAAAAACACAGTTAAATGCATCATAACCAATTTATAATGAAGATTACACTGGGAATAAAATGTGAATGCAGTAAAACCTCAAGTTAATCCTACGACTCTCAATTAATCATTGAAAATTTCAATCCTTGAAATTTGAAGTGGGAGATTTGCGAAACGACAAAGACTATGCCTGATAATGTTTGTTTTCTCGAGTACACCAAATAACCCAATATCATAAGGTTTTACAATCAGTAATCATCATTTCATGACTTTCATGGAATTTTATAGTCAATATCATGCTCCATATCATCTCTATTGTTGAGGATTGATTTTTTGCCCAAATGCCATCTATCCACTTCAAGTTCCATTAGTCATCTAACAATGAAAGCAGAGAGAAACTATTGAATAAAGCTTTTTAAAAGCAGCAGACGTTCTCTCTCTCTCTCTCTCATGACTAATCTGTATACATAGTTAACTTGACCGTTGTTTATTTCAGTAAATGAGTATCACAAGCTAAAAATATTTAGTTAATTACATAGCCAATGGTTACCAAGTTCACAGTCAAGGAACAATGAGGACTCAGACCATGGATTGTCTTAACGAGACACCTGCTTAACACTTCGTAATAACGTGTGCTCACATATGTAACTACAAAACATGATTTTGAAGACGGTGATACGAAGAAGACGTAAGGGTACTCATATCGATATTACGATACATCCTGACAGCATAACATGGGCGATTTAGTAGACTGAAATCCTATGTCAGATTTATTTATTTGATATAACACAATGATACGACAGTATTATTAAGTGGATGACGTTTTGACGACAAATTATTTCTGATAATCACATCGTGACTACCTGATTAAGATCAATCGGTTATGTCAAAAAAAACAAATCTAGTATGTTACTTCTGGATGAGCTTTTCTGACATTTGATATAAATTTTTTTAGATATTAGGCAACCTATTATGTATAGGACAATTAGCTTTAAGAAGGTCAAAATACAATAGATCTTCGGTCCCATAATCATCCAATCCAGTTCAGGGGAACCAGATACGATGCAAGTTTGTACAATGGTCTATTGACTGGAGGTTCTGCAACGCAGAATTTGTTTAGGTATCTCTGACTTAAGAGAAAGGGAGAGATTTATTAATAAAAAAATCAGTTTGCCTAGCTGAAGTAGAGAGAAGTTGTGCTGGGGTAAACTGTAGGAAACTAGGGAAGTATAAGAGTATATTAGGAACTTGATTCACATGTTAAATACATAAGGCAACAGAAACAGTCTTCACCGACCTCCAGTGTAAGGAATGAGAATAAATCGGTTGTATATAGATAATTAGAAAATGAATACAAACTGTTTAGAAGAGAAGGCGAAGGTGTCATATGGTTTTTGAAAAAGAGAATTTTCTCAGCACTGGTCAGGTAGTAGTGGGGTTGCAAAATGTGAGAATGTGCTACACATGCTAAGCCATAGCGTCTACATTGAGGAATGGAACCACGTTTAAAGATACTTTGGTTTACCCATACTAAGACATTGCAACACAGTATGACACAATTTTGACCGTATTTTTTCGTGTAGGGTAACAGAAGTCTAGGCTGCTTGGTTGAGCCTCTTGAATTCTCGAAAACCAACGACTGTAGATCTTGGTAACTTTGATTAAACACTAATTAGAATCATGTAGAGATGGATACGCTACTTATTCTCTTCGAAATTTCGAACAGTTAGTGAGTTTGGATTATTCTGCTTTTAATACGCTTTTTCTCAATTACATTCGTTGTGGTGAAATATAGAGGATTGAACCTGTTCACTTTGTGAGAATTGGTACATGATTCATTTGTTCATCTATTTACGTCTTTGTATTGGAAAAGAGCACAATTTGTTGTATTTAAACCGTGAACAACACAATGAATAAGGTGTAGGTAAAAAAGCAGAAAAAATATTTGATTTGATATTCAGAAGCTACAGATACTCATGCCATTTGCCGACAGTATCATTTATATTAGTTTTTAAAAAAAATATGAAAATAACGGGTTGATTTACTTGACAGTTGGACTATTGATTATTGGTACTTTTGGAGACACAGTATTCTTCTCCGATACTTGTGACTGTTCATTGAGTTGACTAGTGTTCACTTTTACAGTTGATTGGGGCTTTTGATTGCTATCCAATAGAGGTTTCTTGATCACAGTAATAGTTTTGTTTTGTACTTGTAATGTATTATGATCCGTAAGATTTAAGTTGACAAAGCATTTTTTAGTAGTCTGATTCGACTTAGCATTTGTACTATGTTTTTGTTTTTGTATAGAAATATTATTTGTAGAAGAAGTATTTTCCTAAAATAAACAGTGAAGAATTAACCAAATAACACTATAAGTAGTAAACCAGTTAAGATAATCGTTATTATTTACATATATTGGAGGTTGAAAACCTCTGATAATGTGTACTTCTCTACTGACTTGAATGTAAATACCCAGTTCGTATGAAATGTGGCTTAAATTGGAAAATACCAATGAAACTCAAGTTATATTCATACTGCACACTCACAAACTATCAACCCATCAGTATAGGATGGATACATTGACTTACTTAACTATCATAGGTTTTCAAACCGATTGAACTGGTTAGATAGTCCTAAGGAACACGTTTGCATTTAGGAAAGATGGATGCACTGAAAGGTGTATCATGCACTTTTGCACATACTCTACAAGGGGTATATAGATTACATGTACTACAATGAATCGATTAACTAGAGAGTAATTAATGTCATGTTGGGATTATTTAACTAGTGCACCTACTTTTTATGATAACATCAAAACAAATCTTACTAGGCTATCAATAATTCCATCACTTTCCAACATTAAGAAATCTTTTCTTTTCATAGGTCCATATAAGTAAAATTTGCTTACATATAATTCCATCAAATGGTCTTCACTATATGCATAAACAATACATTCAGGGAATCTGAAAGCCGGAAATCGACGATGATTGGAAAACTCAAGTGATATGAATCAGAACTAAATGCATTGGGGTAGATGCATTTACAGATTATCTTTCATCCTTATCGTCACTTTACTCTCTCACATCATAGCTTTATACAACTTTCGGTTACATTTTTTATTGTCTTTCATCTTGTTGCCTTATATTTTGATGCGTTGATATGAGGTGTGGAGACTGAAATTCTTCAGCGCTGATTAAAGCTTTCATGGTAATGTTCACATAACTGAATATAATCTAAGGTTAGAGATATTCTGAAGACAGATAAGAATTCAAAGAAATCACTGACCGATTAACTTGTGTATGCACCCATTACCATAAATGCAGCTATTGAATTAAACTCGTGGACCAACGATTTGAGGAACAGTTCTTTGGACATTGCTTAAATACCCATAGGACATGAACGATAACATAACACACGACCGTGTAGTTTGTAAATCAGCCAAGTGACGTTCAAATTAAAGTTCTAACCAATACAGACAAGTTGGTCGATGAGATTATGAACTTCCAGTGACTGAGATGGCTTGAACATGTGCTCAGTATACCAAGCCACTGCCAACCTCAACATGCAATGCTAGCAGAAGTTTCAGAATGGTCAGACTAAGATATCCATAAATTCCCTGATGGTTAGTTTAAGTTTTATAAGGAGGAGTAAACTACTTCCATGCGAGTTTCTACGTTGATTTTATGTCTGTCACAGGAAAAAAACTTCGATGGAAATATGATTTTCATAATAATAAACGATCTCATAATTTATTATACAGAAAACTCCCTAAATATTTCACCGTAACATCATTGTTTGCATAAGTCAAAGTAAGAGTGAATTTCCTGTGACAAAAATCTCACTGGTGTCAGAGTTCATTAACTCCTCTTACCTGGATGTTGATGAATGTTACTGTAAAGGATAACCTTCATCCATTGTGTTCTCAATCAAAAAGTTATTTTACTGAATAACCTACAGAAATCTGAATGAATTTGCACAAGTTTGGATCAGTAAATTTGCCACTTTTTAAATATATACCCACTTCTATGATAAATAACCCTGTCGTTCAAACATTTTTCAAAAACGACGGTTGTACGATAACAAAAGTTTAATCGGAGTAAAAAGAAGACTTATTGTTCGTGAAGAGCAACTCAGTAGAACCATATTTAAAACCCTAATGCAATTCTCTTCCACCAACACATATATAAAACCTTGGAGAGAAGGACCAGTTCAAATTGTCTTTTAATATATAACTAACAACACAAATTTGGTCCTCAAAGAGTATCCAAAAAATGTTGGCGAAGTTAACTGATATGACACGTAACATCTTTATATCATATCCGCTCATGGATCAACACAACAAAATCCAGGATCAAACGATGAAGAATTTTTTATCAACCAAAATTTGTCTCCTAGACGACGCATTATGGTGGCGCCAGATGATGTAGCATTCTAGACACTGTTATATTTCGTAGAACTATTTAGGAGAATCGTATAGCAGCATACTGAAGTTAATTTTCACTGTCTATATCACCGACAAGTAGAGTTCAGGTGAGCGCTGTCGACAGCTATGAATCATACACGCATTCATGACAATGGACCGGTAGAAATTACAATACTATGATAGGGGTCCGAGACGCAACGTGATAAAAAACGAAACTCATTCAGCAACTTTGTGCACTTCCTTGCAACCACACCTATTGTGTAGGGACGAAATCATTCTGTCGGCTAAACGGGATATGGTAGCGGTAAAGTGTCCACCACGAATAACCATCTGTACTTTTTTGATGCTGCCTTTCCTATGAGCAACGGAAGGAGAGGAAGAAAAGTTCGATCCCCTACGTTGCTGGTGCCAGCAGCGCAGTTTTCCTAACGGGATGCAATCCAATCAAGGTTTGATCTGAAACTTAAAAAAGGTGACAGCTACTATTTACTTGTTCGACTGAGACTCTGAAAATCCCAGTTAAGTACCTCTCTGCGCACTTGTGGAGTGTACAAGAGAAAACGGCGAATTTAACCCCTTAAGTCCTTACTACACATTTCAATCAAGCACATAGTTGACTGCTGATAGGAATCTAACGGGCAGTACTACTTTCTGCCTCAGCACTTATTGCTATACCTATATATGTAAGACCATGAGAACCAACCAACAAGAATCTCCAGAAACTCGAAGTGTACATTTCGCAGATTTACTATATTGACTAAGTGAGGCGGAGTGGATAATCACACTTGTGTCTTGTCTGCATGTATTGTAAACACAACATACACCCCCATTGCCTGAAATGTTATAGTTTTGGAAAGCGATGTTTTTTGATTGATCTGACAGAAAAAAATCTCAATAAGGAGTCTGGGGGACGGTTTCAAGAGACCAAGCGATACTGTTTCATGAACTCAAATTTTTTACCAAGATCTGAAACAAATAAGATGATGTAAGAATGTTGGTAGAGATAAGTGGAGGAATATTAGGTGGAGATATGAAAGGTTGATAATGATTTGACAGGACTTGAGTGCTGATAGACTTAATGAGGGTGGTTACTTCGTGAAGTATCTGAAAAAGGAACTGGATAAATAATTGTAGTGGGCGGACAAAGTTCTAGGGATATCTGTCACGACAAAGTATTGAATTTGAGATAATGCCAGACCACTGTAATTCTCATCTTAAGCTTCAAATCTTATCCATCAATGAATGTAGTCACACTGGCTTTACATCCCAATTTATCCTAGAAGCTTTAAGCGAGGAGAAAAAAGAACCACTTCTGGAATCTGAGTCTATGAATTTTTCTCTAGGCGCAAACAGAAACACTTTCATGCAATATCGAACAAATGGTTTAACTTGAATTTCGGCGCATGGCTTAACTATATACAAACTTATCTAGATGAATAGCCTTCATATTTGAAAACTATCTTGAACTTCCAAAGAAAGCAGAGTTTCAAACATAGTAGGGGAAAAAATTTCACCAAACGATTGTTGTATTAGCATAGTATGCGAATACTTTATAGAACATACTTTAACTTGAATTCCTTGCAACATTTGTTGATATCGTTGTTGTACTGCAAGAAAACGTTCTTCATTAGCTTTTTTACGAGCTTCCATTTTTTGTTTTTGAGCTTCTTGAAACGCACGTAAGCGTTCCTCTTTATTCTCCATGTTTTTAATGAGATTTTGTCTTTTTTCTTTCAGAAGTTGTTCTTTTATGGATAAAACGGAGGCAGGTCGATTCTTTTGATTACTAGATGAACTATTTAAAGATGTAGTGACTGACTTTTGTTCAGTAATGGAATTTAATTTTGAACCTACATAAAAATAAGAATTCAGAATAATAAAGATTATAAATATCATAAGAGATAGTAATGATATTTAAAGCTTTGTGAGTAACTTGTGAAAAACACAAAAAGAATTACTAGAAAAGAACAAGATTTTATCTCAAGAATTCCCTTATTCAACCTACGGTTACATTAGTGTGACAAAGAATATTGGTTTGAATTCTGCTACGATATGGATCTTCGTTTCAACTTCTATCATTATCTATCTCATCACGACAGTTCAGTAAGATAAACAGATGCTAACTTGAATAGTCGAGGTAATATATAAAAAGAATGTGGAGAAAACATCTACTTTCATTTGGATAAAAAGAAAATATCGATATAAAGGTATGATAAAGTAGATCAACTAGTAGAAATGGATGTATTTATTGATAGTGCTAATTGGTTTGATCATTTGCAGAAAGGTTGAAAAAACATCCTATAAATAGGAGAGGGAGCTGTGAAAGTGAGTGGAATCAAATCAAAGATTTAGGCAGACATAACGTGTTATTACAATATCAGATAATTTTTGATAACTAAAGTTATCCAAACACTGTGAAATTGACTATAAACCAGATATAAGTCTTTTAATGATATCTGGCCATCATGAGATAAAAAAAAAACTAAGAGTAGTAAGTATATTCGGAGGAAACAGTTAGGTAGCCGTTTAAATAACTCATTGTATTTACATACTCTTCAACAATACAAAAAGAGGCAGGCAGGATAAACAGACAAAATCAACGTAGAACCTCGCAAACAAATGCATTGCCTCAAGTTGCCACACTTCAGTATATATATATAGTCAGACACTTCGCCAGTTGGTAAATGCTATACGGCCTTCTGTATCCGACCTGAGATTGCGTCAGCAACCACCTCGTTCGGGCTGATGCAACTACCCAAGTAAGTAAAGAGGCCGACATATTCCATCACTTCATTCCCCATCGTTAAAACGGGAGTACTTGCAGCAGACCAGTTGTGGAGCATCCTCTTACATTTAACAGGTGACAGCGAAACGCATGCCAAGCATGCTTAGATTTATGCTCAACACGCTCAGAGGACCCTGGATTTTGTCAGTGTCTCGATCTAGCAGAACACTATCATCTGTATACTCCATGTTGACCAGATAACCTCCAGATAGTAGGTCAATTCCTGTGAAGTCAGACCTACATAAGGTTATGTCCACTAGTACGTCTATGATGAAGTTAAATAGGAATTGAGACAGTGGGTATTCCCGTTATCGTCAATTCTGGTGGGGTGATGGCAGGATATACAGGATTTCTACAAATTTGCAGCCAAACTGTAAATTGCAAACGAGGCAATACAAGCTAATGCTAATAGAGACACGTTTCCATCAATGAGTCATGGGGTTCGAACACCATGATTTGGGTAGCTAGTTATTATCATTATAGCACAAACAACAAATGTGATTTGTTGCCTGCTGCACAAAACTGAGTGAAGTTGAGTCACTGTTAATTGTTAAAACGTCACCTTCAACAAGGTTCTACTATCTGAAAAACAGTCCTAAAACACCAGGTATCAGCAGGCAACAATGAGACCTGGCTTATAAAAATAAGGGAAACATTCCGCATGAACTTGTTTTATTATCATTGTTCGGATCACCTGCATCTTATTAACCTACACTACTTCGCTACCCGGTCATTGCAGTTCTTTTACTTCTCCTCTCTCAAACCGATTTTCTGTGTATTGCTTACAAGGGATTCATCGTGATACGATGCACCTGGGTGAAATACTTTTGTTGATAATGCACATGAACTAACGGTAAACATAAGAACAGATACGAAGTGATTTCAGTAAAGAACGATAACTGGTTACGCACCACTCAAATTAGGTTGTTTAAAGCTTACCTGTCCTTGCTTTTGGAGCCTGAACAGATTGGTTTACAGAATTAAGTCTCGACGCACCACCCATTCTTTCGGCAGATGAAAATAAACGGATTTGTTACCATAATTAGTAGTTTTATTTCCAAGTGGTGGATTTTTTTTATCGGTTACCCCCATAGGAAGCCTTTGAAAATGTTTCACATTGGAAGAAGTAGAAAAAACAGTAGGAAAATTTGCATTTGAATGTTTATTAGATCTGTGAAAAGTGATTTGCTTATGCACACACTAGTGTCATTATTATTTGTATTATTTTCTGGTGCACCTACCAACGAATCAGAAATTGATGTAGCTGACTGCAATGTAGGAGATTTGGTGATGGTGTTAGTGGAGCACGAGATCTCAAGAAGATTACAATCAGGTGGTAGAGTCACGTTTAACAGTTGCTTATCTCCCAGTTGTACCTCATTTTCATGAATACTTTCAGGTTCTGTAGGTGACTTGTCCTGGAAAGAAGACAGTGATAAATCAAGCATGCGAAAATAACACATTAGTGCATAAACATACTCCATGAATATGAATTAAAGATATATACATGTCGTTAGTTTTCGGATTATCTATTACTTACAAAATTTGGAAAATGATTTTAAAATCCGCCAAAATTAAGTGTAGAGAGAGAGAGAATTTACATGTGCCTGAACTTTGATCATACGTTCTTGCTAATGATGATATGAACTATGTATCAGGTAATTATACAGGTAATTATATAGGGTGTCAACCATTCCTGACTGCATTACTTTTCATAAATCTAGGTCTTGTATAACATGTAAATCTTACAGTTTAAGATAGAACAGACATAGATAGAGCAAAATACAACACCGTATTGATGTGATTATTACACTACGCAATGGTGCAGACAGTGAGACCAACAAGCATACGAAAAGAGAAAAACAAACACAACAACAATATGCTTATTTTGTGGAATCAACACGTTAAGACAGTGAAGGCTGAGCTTAGAATTCTGGAGTAAAAGAAGTACATTGGTTGAAGTCATTAACCCCCGACTGAGGTGGCTGGGATATGTGTTAAACATGCATATCTACCCTTTACTTCGACACACGATGTCAATTCAAGTAGGTTTATACAAGAAAGGTTAAAGATGGCAGCATTCAAATATGGAATCAGTCCATCCAGTCTTCAACTGTTAGCTAGAGATATGTTGCAAAATGTCTTCTGGTATCTGGATGATGACAGAGACCAGTGGTTATCGAATTTAATTGAAATGACTCAAAATCAATTGGACTAGTACAGCTGAATTTAGATAATACCCTCACATTCAAGTTATCATACGGCAGTTTAGTGATGGTTTGAACTTTTTCTCTCATTCCATACCTCCCTACGTTTTCTGATTGAAATTTTATTCCTGTATTTCATCTTGAAGCTGCGACTCTTGAATCCCAGACATGAGATCTGGCAAACTGAAGCATTACAGAACAAAAGCTAGGTCTCATGTGGAAAATGCCTGTTGACTGAATATAATACCAGTTAGTATAGAATATCTTTAGAGGTATCACGTATCTGACGCTGTCATGCACAAAACACTAAGGTGAAAAAAACTTCATTACTACACCTTATTTATCATAGATAAAACGAACAGCCATATACTGGTTCATTCGAAGTGAAGAACAGGTAAGAAAGTATGTAAAGTGATAACAGAAAATGTACACTAAACAATGACAGGTAATAAAATCCTTACGATAATGTGACTGCAGCGTTCAACAAGCGGTTGAGAGATGGAAGTAGGCATCAATGATTCCTTTTCTTCAGATAGTCTTTGAATGACTGTTTCGATTTTGGCAGCTCCTGTAATGCATGGTTCGACGTTGCTGTATTGGTTTGACTCAGTAACCTTGTTTAAATGCGAAGCGAAATAAATATTTACTTGGAAAATTAGAAATTATCATCATAATAGTAATTTAAAATCCGGCAGAAGGTACAATGTTTTTTTTATATTGAACATGTAATGCTCAATTATTCCAACTGGATTTCATCCGTGCCTTCAGACTGAAGTTAAATGCCTTGAATATGTGAGACACATACGACAGTAACCAAGGTGACTAAAGAGACGTTACAGTAAAATTCAGTCCCAGTTTTACGTTCAACATTAACTTCAATATTACCCTTACACTATCACGAGGAAAGCCTCACAGAAACTAAGCAAGGATTCGCTATACATCCCAACAATTTATCCACCAAAAAAAACAAACTACTAGCAACTTCTCAAGGCAGTAACGATCAACATACCAAGTCTAGCCGCCACAAGTAGACTAGATAGCGGTATTGTCGACTTTCAGACCTTGATATCACATTTCACAAGTGAGAAAAACCTAGTACACAGATTTGAATTTATCCACACAGTAAATAAATCAAAGAAAATTCATTTCGTTAAGCTCCATAAGCCAGCAGAGTATGAATATCCGGTCGAAAAACCCACAGCACCGCATGCAACCTGTCCCGATACATAGTGATTGTTATTTCTCAGCCAACTTAAGACCACAAATGACTACAGAAAACAGAGTCACAGACAACATTCTCAAAAGACTGATTATCATACGCTTACTGATTAAAAATTCACACTGCAGAAATTCACGTAGCTGACGTAGTCACCAAGTCGAACACATTCATGATCCCTCAGTTATAACGACATAGTCAATGTGGTGGATATCCATCTAGTATTCTCACAGGCTTCACCTGTTTGAATTATAGTGATACATTCAAAAGAAATTACAGTACACTATTTCCCTACTTACCCCAGTATTGCTGGCGCGCATGGTAGGCGGTTCAGAATCCGAAGTGTCTATCGAAATTCGCCGATTCTCATCCACGGTGACAGCCATCTGAGGGTTATTACCCGATCTCAAAGCACGATCCCCATCATCCCCCTGACCACGGATGTTCTTACTTGGCGGTGAAGCCTACAATGATATACAAAACCAAAAAGGACAAATTGTAACAACAAACTCAATTAACGGTAACAATACACCGTTCGGCATTGGTCCTCAATACAACTTAAAAAGTAATTTCAGCAGAGCGGAACAACTGCATCTCATAACAGAAGATATCGTTAAATCACATACTGTCACCAAGGTGAGTGCACCAGACTTCTACGAACACATATTCTTCAAATGTCCACTCACAAACTATATACTAGGGTAAGAGGAGAGCAACGAGCATAGCATCAGATAACTCACAAGTCTCTTACATACTTGATAACTAACTGCATCTCTTTGCGATTTCATACGATCCAATCACAAGCCTGCACTTCCACACACACACACACACCGGCTATTTTACACCATCTCTCAATAGCTATCAAAAGGACAAGTCGACCGGCTGATCGCATTCAGATACGACGACATCAACCTACGCAACCAGTAATAACTGTCTCCTTCCACAAGTATGGGGTTGACAGAAGTACGCTTGACGCAACTTGTAGTCGTGCGAAAACGTTCCTAGGGATAGTGTCTCATGAAACAGACACAACTATGAGAGCAAATACTGCTAAAAATGCCACGTTGGCTAGGCTGTCACACAAAAATAAAATACTTTCCTTTCTACGCATTTTGTGAAGACATCACCTTTCACAATGTCGGCAACTGGGACGCATCAGTCATCAGCACGTTTACAACACCACAAACTCTAAAGAGATGTTCCCCGAATAAGTCATCAGGTAGCTAGTACTAATTATACTGAGTGATACTCTTTTATGTAGTGCATCACTCAGTGTCAGTGTCGCTGTTGTCTCAAATATGAATTTTAAATCCAGCGGACACTAGACCTGTTCGGTCAGTGGTCTCAAAGCTACTCCTGAAATCCTATTCATCTGACCGATAAGCTCTCAAAACACTCACTAGCACCAAAATATACACTGGTTAGCAGGAATGTTCTCCTAACTGGGCATACTTTGAAGCTGGTTAACACACAATAGATGTATCAGTTAATGCATAACTTGAATGATAGCCAAAACCATAAAAATGCAAGTTATACATGTATGTATCTACATATATATATATATATATATACATATACATATACATATACATATACATATATATATATATATATATATATATATATATATATATATGTAGATATGTATATTTATACATATATTTATATATTAATATATATACATATACATATACATATATATGCATGCACCAATGTAGCTCTCTCATATTACTAACAACGTGTAAGGAGTAGAAATCAGTTTGAACACGCCTAGAAAAACTCACACATTCCAGCGTTGACTGTTTCGGACCATTTCTTGTACCTCTTAGCGGTCTTTTCAACTTCCCAGGGCTTCTTAGCTGTAACAAAGATTTACACAAATCAGTTATGGTTACACAATTCTGAGCGATTTAAACAAATATTTTGACATCTACTATAATGAATGCTCATCTTTGCTTTGCACTTCGGATCGACCACAGGTTTAACTGGAGGCGATTCCATATCTTCAATTCTTCAGTAGTAGGTAAGCAATTAAATATTAACAGCTTACAGGTTTTCGTACTCTCCAGTCACGATATCAAAGTTCACAGTGGCTTTCGGTCCTCCCAACGCATTATAAACCTCCTAGAAAGTAGTCATCCACGGACATAATATGAATTGCGGTACCAGGATTTTATCGTGAGCGATTCAGTAGCCTGTCCTGACGAACTGGTGTGATTGCTAATTTCCTGTGATTGTTGAGTCTCCGGATGCACAGATTTTCGAATTGGTCGTTTCTCTTTCTCACCTCTGATCTTCTAATTGCTTATCATCCCTCTTGTTAGTTGATGCATTGGATCCATGTCTATACATCTATTCATCGCTAATTGACCCGAATGTCAAGCTTCTAGAAATCCGCTGGTATTTTGGGTTTCTTATTTCTAAGATCTCTACATTCTCAAAATCAAATTCATTTTCATAGTTATCCACATGTATTGGTATGAGCAACGGAATGTCGTGATGTCTAATGGTTAACTGATGTTCATGTAAACAGGAGAGAAGAGGTCGACCACTTTGTCCAACATAGTACTGATCACAGTTGTTGCAGCTGATTTTGTAAATCACATCTGGTTCGTCTTCTTTGGGCGCTGCCTTCCTCGGTCTGTATAATATGGATTGAAGGGAATTCGATGGTCTGTGAGCCATACCAGTTCCAAACGGTCTCAGTAGTCTTTTTGTGACCCCTTATATATCCTTCATGTATGATAGGATGATCCATTCGCTGAGTCCCGTGGATGATGAACTGAGTGGGCGTCTACTCAAATTGCGTGGGTAACCGTTCTTCTGTAGGACAGACATCAAGTAATTTCCTCCTCTTCTCCGTGAAGTTGTCCTCTTGAATAAAGTCTGTACACAACTAATTCTGCACATTGGCTTCCTGTATACTTCAGTCTCCAATTTCCTGACATTGGTTCGATTGACTAAAACACCCAGTATTAACAACTTGCTGTTCGACTCTTTATCCATTGTGAATTTAATGCTGTTGAAAACGTTGTTAGTGAGGTAATTCGTGAGTGTTTTCTAACTCATCACTTCTAATGGTGACTAAAGTATCGTCCACATAGCGGATCCAAATTCTAGTTTTCAACGCAGGAAAAATAATGGCTTCCACCCTCTGCGCTACTGCTTCTGCAATTAATCCAGATATCGGCAATCCCGACGGAGTTCCTTCCCATCTGTCTGTATACCTCACCTTAGATCAGAAGGATTTTATCAGACAAAGATCAATAGGTTTCATCAAACTTCTATCGTCAGTTAGGAGGAGAGAAGTAATATCATTAGTCAGTCGTCGTTTGATCGGTGTGTACAATGCTGTGATGTCAAGGGACATCATTAATTCGTCGTTGTCTATGTTAATGCCTTTAATTCTCTTCGAAAATTCGGTCAGTGACTTCATGGAATCTTCGCATGACTACACAAGGTATTCCAGTTCCCTAGAAAGTTCTCTGGAGAGGTTGTAGGCTGGGGTCTCAAAAAGTGAGACTATTGGTCGTATAGGAATGTACGGTTTGGGCAGTCTCGGTTTGCCGTAAAATCGACGAAGAAAGGGTCAATTCGATTTCATTCATCACTTGACTTGTTTCCTTATTTGTCTTCCACTGAACAACTTCCTTATAATTCTGTTCATCCGATCCTCAAACACCTGGATACAACAAGAATCAAGTGTTCGATTCACATTCACGTCTTTCAGAAAATTCTCCACATTCGTAATGTCGTCTCTCTTGTCCACATGAGTACAGTCCTGGCCCCTTACACGCCAGCAGTTTCATGATATCCTCCTTACTTTTCACTCTCTTAACTGCTAACTCACTCACTCAACAACAGCCCTGCACGGATCCAATAGGCTTGATTGGCTTTCCCCAATTCACACCATTCATGGCACCGCCTCAACACCCGATCGTCTACCAATGGCCGACGATACTGCGCTACAGTTTGCTCGGTTCTATAATACAGTTGTGAAACATCATCATGAGAAGCTTTCAGGTGTCCGACCAACGTTACCCCAGTAGCATAGGCCGTGTATCGTCATGTCACCATGTCGTGGACTTTCATAGACTCAGATGCCCGAGACATGTGTTGCGTATGCTCAGTCAGCCTCTCTACACCATCGTGCAACGTTAGCTGAAGTACATTCACTCTGGAAAAAAGTTAAAAGTAGCCAGACTAAAACATGGCATCAGTCCATGAGGTTTCTGACTGTTGGTCTGAGTCGTGTAGGCGGAAATGTAGACTTCTCGGCTGATGTCCGTGTGATAACAGGAACCAGTGGTTACAGACCCTAGGTGACAACGGCTCAACCAACCTCAGTGGTGCAGACGCATCCACACATCGCTTTCATCTTAATCACCACACCGAATTTCATCACCGTTTCGTCCTCTCTTCTCTTTTCCCAATTTCCTATCAATCTTCATTACTTCCTTCCTTATCTCTCTACCTTTCATCCTGGTATCTTCCCATCTCAATGTGCTGGTGTGGGGTGTAACTACATGAACAAATGCACAGCAGTCTCACACACAATACCGATATTGACTGACTAACTGAGCCCAAGTGTGGCTTCTGACTTCGTGAGAATATTCTCAGTTAAAAGAGACTGTTGGAACAGCTCCATCAACACAACTCATAAAATGCATTTCACAAAGCCAAGTTCTTCAAACACAAATTCACAGTAGTTTAATCCTTACATGATCATACTTACTCAGAGAATTCACCTAACACAACCAGTTTTACTGCTTTCCCTAAGTCCTCCATAGCGTGGATATCATCCCATGAGAAGTCGAAAGTAAAAGGTGATACTTCCAGCAAAGCTCAGTAAAAATGAAGCACAAATCCATGGTCATGTCCTAGAATAGCTCTCACCATGAGTGACGACATGACTTCTACAGTTCGGAAAGTCCTCAGTAATTCTGTGTGATTCAGAAACATATCTGTCAGTGACAGAATCAATCGAATACTGCCTTTTGGACAGAAGAAACCTGTGGTTCGCGATTTCGTCAACGGTAGAAGTCTAGGCGAGGCATCCACAAATTTTTCTGCTAACTCTAACCTATTTCTTCTGATAGTCACTTTGCACTTTATGCATCTTACTCACCGTATCTAACGCGTCCACTGCTAACTGGATGACAAGTAAAACTCTGGTGAAACACAATAATAATGCTATGCAAAAATATAAATACGCATACCCACACAAAACACTTTGTCTTCAAGGCAAACAGTTCGCTTACATGTATTCATTCAGGTTGGGATAAGAAAAATAAGAAGGGTGCATGATTTAGATATAGAGTCAACATCCACCTTAATACGGTGTGGATGAACACCAACAAACACTACACAGCTAATAAGAAATACTCAGTAATACTTCACATTGCAGAAATTCACGTAGCTGACGTAGTCACCAAGTCGAACACATTCATGATCCCTCAGTTATAACGACATAGTCAATGTGGTGGATATCCATCTAGTATTCTCACAGGCTTCACCTGTTTGAATTATAGTGATACATTCAAAAGAAATTACAGTACACTATTTCCCTACTTACCCCAGTATTGCTGGCGCGCATGGTAGGCGGTTCAGAATCCGAAGTGTCTATCGAAATTCGCCGATTCTCATCCACGGTGACAGCCATCTGAGGGTTATTACCCGATCTCAAAGCACGATCCCCATCATCCCCCTGACCACGGATGTTCTTACTTGGCGGTGAAGCCTACAATGATATACAAAACCAAAAAGGACAAATTGTAACAACAAACTCAATTAACGGTAACAATACACCATTCGGCATTGGTCCTCAATACAACTTAAAAAGTAATTTCAGCAGAGCGGAACAACTGCATCTCATAACAGAAGATATCGTTAAATCACATACTGTCACCAAGGTGAGTGCACCAGACTTCTACGAACACATATTCTTCAAATGTCCACTCACAAACTATATACTAGGGTAAGAGGAGAGCAACGGGCATATGCATCAGATAACTCACAAGTCTCTTACATACTTGATAACTAACTGCATCTCTTTGCGATTTCATACGATCCAATCACAAGCCTGCACTTCCACACACACACACACACACCGGCTATTTTACACCATCTCTCAATAGCTATCAAAAGGACAAGTCGACCGGCTGATCGCATTCAGATACGACGACATCAACCTACGCAACCAGTAATAACTGTCTCCTTCCACAAGTATGGGGTTGACAGAAGTACGCTTGACGCAACTTGTAGTCGTGCGAAAACGTTCCTAGGGATAGTGTCTCATGAAACAGACACAACTATGAGAGCAAATACTGCTAAAAATGCCACGTTGGCTAGGCTGTCACACAAAAATAAAATACTTTCCTTTCTACGCATTTTGTGAAGACATCACCTTTCACAATGTCGGCAACTGGGACGCATCAGTCATCAGCACGTTTACAACACCACAAACTCTAAAGAGATGTTCCCCGAATAAGTCATCAGGTAGCTAGTACTAATTATACTGAGTGATACTCTTTTATGTAGTGCATCACTCAGTGTCAGTGTCGCTGTTGTCTCAAATATGAATTTTAAATCCAGCGGACACTAGACCTGTTCGGTCAGTGGTCTCAAAGCTACTCCTGAAATCCTATTCATCTGAACCGATAAGCTCTCAAAACACTCACTAGCACCAAAATATACACTGGTTAGCAGGAATGTTCTCCTAACTGGGCATACTTTGAAGCTGGTTAACACACAATAGATGTATCAGTTAATGCATAACTTGAATGATAGCCAAAACCATAAAAATGCAAGTTATACATGTATGTATCTACATATATATATATATATATATACATATACATATACATATACATATACATATATATATATATATATATATATATATATATATATATATATATGTAGATATGTATATTTATACATATATTTATATATTAATATATATACATATACATATACATATATATGCATGCACCAATGTAGCTCTCTCATATTACTAACAACGTGTAAGGAGTAGAAATCAGTTTGAACACGCCTAGAAAAACTCACACATTCCAGCGTTGACTGTTTCGGACCATTTCTTGTACCTCTTAGCGGTCTTTTCAACTTCCCAGGGCTTCTTAGCTGTAACAAAGATTTACACAAATCAGTTATGGTTACACAATTCTGAGCGATTTAAACAAATATTTTGACATCTACTATAATGAATGCTCATCTTTGCTTTGCACTTCGGATCGACCACAGGTTTAACTGGAGGCGATTCCATATCTTCAATTCTTCAGTAGTAGGTAAGCAATTAAATATTAACAGCTTACAGGTTTTCGTACTCTCCAGTCACGATATCAAAGTTCACAGTGGCTTTCGGTCCTCCCAACGCATTATAAACCTCCTAGAAAGTAGTCATCCACGGACATAATATGAATTGCGGTACCAGGATTTTATCGTGAGCGATTCAGTAGCCTGTCCTGACGAACTGGTGTGATTGCTAATTTCCTGTGATTGTTGAGTCTCCGGATGCACAGATTTTCGAATTGGTCGTTTCTCTTTCTCACCTCTGATCTTCTAATTGCTTATCATCCCTCTTGTTAGTTGATGCATTGGATCCATGTCTATACATCTATTCATCGCTAATTGACCCGAATGTCAAGCTTCTAGAAATCCGCTGGTATTTTGGGTTTCTTATTTCTAAGATCTCTACATTCTCAAAATCAAATTCATTTTCATAGTTATCCACATGTATTGGTATGAGCAACGGAATGTCGTGATGTCTAATGGTTAACTGATGTTCATGTAAACAGGAGAGAAGAGGTCGACCACTTTGTCCAACATAGTACTGATCACAGTTGTTGCAGCTGATTTTGTAAATCACATCTGGTTCGTCTTCTTTGGGCGCTGCCTTCCTCGGTCTGTATAATATGGATTGAAGGGAATTCGATGGTCTGTGAGCCATACCAGTTCCAAACGGTCTCAGTAGTCTTTTTGTGACCCCTTATATATCCTTCATGTATGATAGGATGATCCATTCGCTGAGTCCCGTGGATGATGAACTGAGTGGGCGTCTACTCAAATTGCGTGGGTAACCGTTCTTCTGTAGGACAGACATCAAGTAATTTCCTCCTCTTCTCCGTGAAGTTGTCCTCTTGAATAAAGTCTGTACACAACTAATTCTGCACATTGGCTTCCTGTATACTTCAGTCTCCAATTTCCTGACATTGGTTCGATTGACTAAAACACCCAGTATTAACAACTTGCTGTTCGACTCTTTATCCATTGTGAATTTAATGCTGTTGAAAACGTTGTTAGTGAGGTAATTCGTGAGTGTTTTCTAACTCATCACTTCTAATGGTGACTAAAGTATCGTCCACATAGCGGATCCAAATTCTAGTTTTCAACGCAGGAAAAATAATGGCTTCCACCCTCTGCGCTACTGCTTCTGCAATTAATCCAGATATCGGCAATCCCGACGGAGTTCCTTCCCATCTGTCTGTATACCTCACCTTAGATCAGAAGGATTTTATCAGACAAAGATCAATAGGTTTCATCAAACTTCTATCGTCAGTTAGGAGGAGAGAAGTAATATCATTAGTCAGTCGTCGTTTGATCGGTGTGTACAATGCTGTGATGTCAAGGGACATCATTAATTCGTCGTTGTCTATGTTAATGCCTTTAATTCTCTTCGAAAATTCGGTCAGTGACTTCATGGAATCTTCGCATGACTACACAAGGTATTCCAGTTCCCTAGAAAGTTCTCTGGAGAGGTTGTAGGCTGGGGTCTCAAAAAGTGAGACTATTGGTCGTATAGGAATGTACGGTTTGGGCAGTCTCGGTTTGCCGTAAAATCGACGAAGAAAGGGTCAATTCGATTTCATTCATCACTTGACTTGTTTCCTTATTTGTCTTCCACTGAACAACTTCCTTATAATTCTGTTCATCCGATCCTCAAACACCTGGATACAACAAGAATCAAGTGTTCGATTCACATTCACGTCTTTCAGAAAATTCTCCACATTCGTAATGTCGTCTCTCTTGTCCACATGAGTACAGTCCTGGCCCCTTACACGCCAGCAGTTTCATGATATCCTCCTTACTTTTCACTCTCTTAACTGCTAACTCACTCACTCAACAACAGCCCTGCACGGATCCAATAGGCTTGATTGGCTTTCCCCAATTCACACCATTCATGGCACCGCCTCAACACCCGATCGTCTACCAATGGCCGACGATACTGCGCTACAGTTTGCTCGGTTCTATAATACAGTTGTGAAACATCATCATGAGAAGCTTTCAGGTGTCCGACCAACGTTACCCCAGTAGCATAGGCCGTGTATCGTCATGTCACCATGTCGTGGACTTTCATAGACTCAGATGCCCGAGACATGTGTTGCGTATGCTCAGTCAGCCTCTCTACACCATCGTGCAACGTTAGCTGAAGTACATTCACTCTGGAAAAAAGTTAAAAGTAGCCAGACTAAAACATGGCATCAGTCCATGAGGTTTCTGACTGTTGGTCTGAGTCGTGTAGGCGGAAATGTAGACTTCTCGGCTGATGTCCGTGTGATAACAGGAACCAGTGGTTACAGACCCTAGGTGACAACGGCTCAACCAACCTCAGTGGTGCAGACGCATCCACACATCGCTTTCATCTTAATCACCACACCGAATTTCATCACCGTTTCGTCCTCTCTTCTCTTTTCCCAATTTCCTATCAATCTTCATTACTTCCTTCCTTATCTCTCTACCTTTCATCCTGGTATCTTCCCATCTCAATGTGCTGGTGTGGGGTGTAACTACATGAACAAATGCACAGCAGTCTCACACACAATACCGATATTGACTGACTAACTGAGCCCAAGTGTGGCTTCTGACTTCGTGAGAATATTCTCAGTTAAAAGAGACTGTTGGAACAGCTCCATCAACACAACTCATAAAATGCATTTCACAAAGCCAAGTTCTTCAAACACAAATTCACAGTAGTTTAATCCTTACATGATCATACTTACTCAGAGAATTCACCTAACACAACCAGTTTTACTGCTTTCCCTAAGTCCTCCATAGCGTGGATATCATCCCATGAGAAGTCGAAAGTAAAAGGTGATACTTCCAGCAAAGCTCAGTAAAAATGAAGCACAAATCCATGGTCATGTCCTAGAATAGCTCTCACCATGAGTGACGACATGACTTCTACAGTTCGGAAAGTCCTCAGTAATTCTGTGTGATTCAGAAACATATCTGTCAGTGACAGAATCAATCGAATACTGCCTTTTGGACAGAAGAAACCTGTGGTTCGCGATTTCGTCAACGGTAGAAGTCTAGGCGAGGCATCCACAAATTTTTCTGCTAACTCTAACCTATTTCTTCTGATAGTCACTTTGCACTTTATGCATCTTACTCACCGTATCTAACGCGTCCACTGCTAACTGGATGACAAGTAAAACTCTGGTGAAACACAATAATAATGCTATGCAAAAATATAAATACGCATACCCACACAAAACACTTTGTCTTCAAGGCAAACAGTTCGCTTACATGTATTCATTCAGGTTGGGATAAGAAAAATAAGAAGGGTGCATGATTTAGATATAGAGTCAACATCCACCTTAATACGGTGTGGATGAACACCAACAAACACTACACAGCTAATAAGAAATACTCAGTAATACTTCACATTGCAGAAATTCACGTAGCTGACGTAGTCACCAAGTCGAACACATTCATGATCCCTCAGTTATAACGACATAGTCAATGTGGTGGATATCCATCTAGTATTCTCACAGGCTTCACCTGTTTGAATTATAGTGATACATTCAAAAGAAATTACAGTACACTATTTCCCTACTTACCCCAGTATTGCTGGCGCGCATGGTAGGCGGTTCAGAATCCGAAGTGTCTATCGAAATTCGCCGATTCTCATCCACGGTGACAGCCATCTGAGGGTTATTACCCGATCTCAAAGCACGATCCCCATCATCCCCCTGACCACGGATGTTCTTACTTGGCGGTGAAGCCTACAATGATATACAAAACCAAAAAGGACAAATTGTAACAACAAACTCAATTAACGGTAACAATACACCATTCGGCATTGGTCCTCAATACAACTTAAAAAGTAATTTCAGCAGAGCGGAACAACTGCATCTCATAACAGAAGATATCGTTAAATCACATACTGTCACCAAGGTGAGTGCACCAGACTTCTACGAACACATATTCTTCAAATGTCCACTCACAAACTATATACTAGGGTAAGAGGAGAGCAACGGGCATATGCATCAGATAACTCACAAGTCTCTTACATACTTGATAACTAACTGCATCTCTTTGCGATTTCATACGATCCAATCACAAGCCTGCACTTCCACACACACACACACACCGGCTATTTTACACCATCTCTCAATAGCTATCAAAAGGACAAGTCGACCGGCTGATCGCATTCAGATACGACGACATCAACCTACGCAACCAGTAATAACTGTCTCCTTCCACAAGTATGGGGTTGACAGAAGTACGCTTGACGCAACTTGTAGTCGTGCGAAAACGTTCCTAGGGATAGTGTCTCATGAAACAGACACAACTATGAGAGCAAATACTGCTAAAAATGCCACGTTGGCTAGGCTGTCACACAAAAATAAAATACTTTCCTTTCTACGCATTTTGTGAAGACATCACCTTTCACAATGTCGGCAACTGGGACGCATCAGTCATCAGCACGTTTACAACACCACAAACTCTAAAGAGATGTTCCCCGAATAAGTCATCAGGTAGCTAGTACTAATTATACTGAGTGATACTCTTTTATGTAGTGCATCACTCAGTGTCAGTGTCGCTGTTGTCTCAAATATGAATTTTCAATCCAGCGGACACTAGACCTGTTCGGTCAGTGGTCTCAAAGCTACTCCTGAAATCCTATTCATCTGAACCGATAAGCTCTCAAAACACTCACTAGCACCAAAATATACACTGGTTAGCAGGAATGTTCTCCTAACTGGGCATACTTTGAAGCTGGTTAACACACAATAGATGTATCAGTTAATGCATAACTTGAATGATAGCCAAAACCATAAAAATGCAAGTTATACATGTATGTATCTACATATATATATATATATATATACATATACATATACATATACATATATATATATATATATATATATATATATATATATGTAGATATGTATATTTATACATATATTTATATATTAATATATATACATATACATATACATATATATGCATGCACCAATGTAGCTCTCTCATATTACTAACAACGTGTAAGGAGTAGAAATCAGTTTGAACACGCCTAGAAAAACTCACACATTCCAGCGTTGACTGTTTCGGACCATTTCTTGTACCTCTTAGCGGTCTTTTCAACTTCCCAGGGCTTCTTAGCTGTAACAAAGATTTACACAAATCAGTTATGGTTACACAATTCTGAGCGATTTAAACAAATATTTTGACATCTACTATAATGAATGCTCATCTTTGCTTTGCACTTCGGATCGACCACAGGTTTAACTGGAGGCGATTCCATATCTTCAATTCTTCAGTAGTAGGTAAGCAATTAAATATTAACAGCTTACAGGTTTTCGTACTCTCCAGTCACGATATCAAAGTTCACAGTGGCTTTCGGTCCTCCCAACGCATTATAAACCTCCTAGAAAGTAGTCATCCACGGACATAATATGAATTGCGGTACCAGGATTTTATCGTGAGCGATTCAGTAGCCTGTCCTGACGAACTGGTGTGATTGCTAATTTCCTGTGATTGTTGAGTCTCCGGATGCACAGATTTTCGAATTGGTCGTTTCTCTTTCTCACCTCTGATCTTCTAATTGCTTATCATCCCTCTTGTTAGTTGATGCATTGGATCCATGTCTATACATCTATTCATCGCTAATTGACCCGAATGTCAAGCTTCTAGAAATCCGCTGGTATTTTGGGTTTCTTATTTCTAAGATCTCTACATTCTCAAAATCAAATTCATTTTCATAGTTATCCACATGTATTGGTATGAGCAACGGAATGTCGTGATGTCTAATGGTTAACTGATGTTCATGTAAACAGGAGAGAAGAGGTCGACCACTTTGTCCAACATAGTACTGATCACAGTTGTTGCAGCTGATTTTGTAAATCACATCTGGTTCGTCTTCTTTGGGCGCTGCCTTCCTCGGTCTGTATAATATGGATTGAAGGGAATTCGATGGTCTGTGAGCCATACCAGTTCCAAACGGTCTCAGTAGTCTTTTTGTGACCCCTTATATATCCTTCATGTATGATAGGATGATCCATTCGCTGAGTCCCGTGGATGATGAACTGAGTGGGCGTCTACTCAAATTGCGTGGGTAACCGTTCTTCTGTAGGACAGACATCAAGTAATTTCCTCCTCTTCTCCGTGAAGTTGTCCTCTTGAATAAAGTCTGTACACAACTAATTCTGCACATTGGCTTCCTGTATACTTCAGTCTCCAATTTCCTGACATTGGTTCGATTGACTAAAACACCCAGTATTAACAACTTGCTGTTCGACTCTTTATCCATTGTGAATTTAATGCTGTTGAAAACGTTGTTAGTGAGGTAATTCGTGAGTGTTTTCTAACTCATCACTTCTAATGGTGACTAAAGTATCGTCCACATAGCGGATCCAAATTCTAGTTTTCAACGCAGGAAAAATAATGGCTTCCACCCTCTGCGCTACTGCTTCTGCAATTAATCCAGATATCGGCAATCCCGACGGAGTTCCTTCCCATCTGTCTGTATACCTCACCTTAGATCAGAAGGATTTTATCAGACAAAGATCAATAGGTTTCATCAAACTTCTATCGTCAGTTAGGAGGAGAGAAGTAATATCATTAGTCAGTCGTCGTTTGATCGGTGTGTACAATGCTGTGATGTCAAGGGACATCATTAATTCGTCGTTGTCTATGTTAATGCCTTTAATTCTCTTCGAAAATTCGGTCAGTGACTTCATGGAATCTTCGCATGACTACACAAGGTATTCCAGTTCCCTAGAAAGTTCTCTGGAGAGGTTGTAGGCTGGGGTCTCAAAAAGTGAGACTATTGGTCGTATAGGAATGTACGGTTTGGGCAGTCTCGGTTTGCCGTAAAATCGACGAAGAAAGGGTCAATTCGATTTCATTCATCACTTGACTTGTTTCCTTATTTGTCTTCCACTGAACAACTTCCTTATAATTCTGTTCATCCGATCCTCAAACACCTGGATACAACAAGAATCAAGTGTTCGATTCACATTCACGTCTTTCAGAAAATTCTCCACATTCGTAATGTCGTCTCTCTTGTCCACATGAGTACAGTCCTGGCCCCTTACACGCCAGCAGTTTCATGATATCCTCCTTACTTTTCACTCTCTTAACTGCTAACTCACTCACTCAACAACAGCCCTGCACGGATCCAATAGGCTTGATTGGCTTTCCCCAATTCACACCATTCATGGCACCGCCTCAACACCCGATCGTCTACCAATGGCCGACGATACTGCGCTACAGTTTGCTCGGTTCTATAATACAGTTGTGAAACATCATCATGAGAAGCTTTCAGGTGTCCGACCAACGTTACCCCAGTAGCATAGGCCGTGTATCGTCATGTCACCATGTCGTGGACTTTCATAGACTCAGATGCCCGAGACATGTGTTGCGTATGCTCAGTCAGCCTCTCTACACCATCGTGCAACGTTAGCTGAAGTACATTCACTCTGGAAAAAAGTTAAAAGTAGCCAGACTAAAACATGGCATCAGTCCATGAGGTTTCTGACTGTTGGTCTGAGTCGTGTAGGCGGAAATGTAGACTTCTCGGCTGATGTCCGTGTGATAACAGGAACCAGTGGTTACAGACCCTAGGTGACAACGGCTCAACCAACCTCAGTGGTGCAGACGCATCCACACATCGCTTTCATCTTAATCACCACACCGAATTTCATCACCGTTTCGTCCTCTCTTCTCTTTTCCCAATTTCCTATCAATCTTCATTACTTCCTTCCTTATCTCTCTACCTTTCATCCTGGTATCTTCCCATCTCAATGTGCTGGTGTGGGGTGTAACTACATGAACAAATGCACAGCAGTCTCACACACAATACCGATATTGACTGACTAACTGAGCCCAAGTGTGGCTTCTGACTTCGTGAGAATATTCTCAGTTAAAAGAGACTGTTGGAACAGCTCCATCAACACAACTCATAAAATGCATTTCACAAAGCCAAGTTCTTCAAACACAAATTCACAGTAGTTTAATCCTTACATGATCATACTTACTCAGAGAATTCACCTAACACAACCAGTTTTACTGCTTTCCCTAAGTCCTCCATAGCGTGGATATCATCCCATGAGAAGTCGAAAGTAAAAGGTGATACTTCCAGCAAAGCTCAGTAAAAATGAAGCACAAATCCATGGTCATGTCCTAGAATAGCTCTCACCATGAGTGACGACATGACTTCTACAGTTCGGAAAGTCCTCAGTAATTCTGTGTGATTCAGAAACATATCTGTCAGTGACAGAATCAATCGAATACTGCCTTTTGGACAGAAGAAACCTGTGGTTCGCGATTTCGTCAACGGTAGAAGTCTAGGCGAGGCATCCACAAATTTTTCTGCTAACTCTAACCTATTTCTTCTGATAGTCACTTTGCACTTTATGCATCTCACTCACCGTATCTAACGCGTCCACTGCTAACTGGATGACAAGTAAAACTCTGGTGAAACACAATAATAATGCTATGCAAAAATATAAATACGCATACCCACACAAAACACTTTGTCTTCAAGGCAAACAGTTCGCTTACATGTATTCATTCAGGTTGGGATAAGAAAAATAAGAAGGGTGCATGATTTAGATATAGAGTCAACATCCACCTTAATACGGTGTGGATGAACACCAACAAACACTACACAGCTAATAAGAAATACTCAGTAATACTTCACATTGCAGAAATTCACGTAGCTGACGTAGTCACCAAGTCGAACACATTCATGATCCCTCAGTTATAACGACATAGTCAATGTGGTGGATATCCATCTAGTATTCTCACAGGCTTCACCTGTTTGAATTATAGTGATACATTCAAAAGAAATTACAGTACACTATTTCCCTACTTACCCCAGTATTGCTGGCGCGCATGGTAGGCGGTTCAGAATCCGAAGTGTCTATCGAAATTCGCCGATTCTCATCCACGGTGACAGCCATCTGAGGGTTATTACCCGATCTCAAAGCACGATCCCCATCATCCCCCTGACCACGGATGTTCTTACTTGGCGGTGAAGCCTACAATGATATACAAAACCAAAAAGGACAAATTGTAACAACAAACTCAATTAACGGTAACAATACACCATTCGGCATTGGTCCTCAATACAACTTAAAAAGTAATTTCAGCAGAGCGGAACAACTGCATCTCATAACAGAAGATATCGTTAAATCACATACTGTCACCAAGGTGAGTGCACCAGACTTCTACGAACACATATTCTTCAAATGTCCACTCACAAACTATATACTAGGGTAAGAGGAGAGCAACGGGCATATGCATCAGATAACTCACAAGTCTCTTACATACTTGATAACTAACTGCATCTCTTTGCGATTTCATACGATCCAATCACAAGCCTGCACTTCCACACACACACACACACCGGCTATTTTACACCATCTCTCAATAGCTATCAAAAGGACAAGTCGACCGGCTGATCGCATTCAGATACGACGACATCAACCTACGCAACCAGTAATAACTGTCTCCTTCCACAAGTATGGGGTTGACAGAAGTACGCTTGACGCAACTTGTAGTCGTGCGAAAACGTTCCTAGGGATAGTGTCTCATGAAACAGACACAACTATGAGAGCAAATACTGCTAAAAATGCCACGTTGGCTAGGCTGTCACACAAAAATAAAATACTTTCCTTTCTACGCATTTTGTGAAGACATCACCTTTCACAATGTCGGCAACTGGGACGCATCAGTCATCAGCACGTTTACAACACCACAAACTCTAAAGAGATGTTCCCCGAATAAGTCATCAGGTAGCTAGTACTAATTATACTGAGTGATACTCTTTTATGTAGTGCATCACTCAGTGTCAGTGTCGCTGTTGTCTCAAATATGAATTTTAAATCCAGCGGACACTAGACCTGTTCGGTCAGTGGTCTCAAAGCTACTCCTGAAATCCTATTCATCTGAACCGATAAGCTCTCAAAACACTCACTAGCACCAAAATATACACTGGTTAGCAGGAATGTTCTCCTAACTGGGCATACTTTGAAGCTGGTTAACACACAATAGATGTATCAGTTAATGCATAACTTGAATGATAGCCAAAACCATAAAAATGCAAGTTATATATGTATGTATCTACATATATACATATACATATACATATATATGCATGCACCAATGTAGCTCTCTCATATTACTAACAACGTGTAAGGAGTAGAAATCAGTTTGAACACGCCTAGAAAAACTCACACATTCCAGCGTTGACTGTTTCGGACCATTTCTTGTACCTCTTAGCGGTCTTTTCAACTTCCCAGGGCTTCTTAGCTGTAACAAAGATTTACACAAATCAGTTATGGTTACACAATTCTGAGCGATTTAAACAAATATTTTGACATCTACTATAATGAATGCTCATCTTTGCTTTGCACTTCGGATCGACCACAGGTTTAACTGGAGGCGATTCCATATCTTCAATTCTTCAGTAGTAGGTAAGCAATTAAATATTAACAGCTTACAGGTTTTCGTACTCTCCAGTCACGATATCAAAGTTCACAGTGGCTTTCGGTCCTCCCAACGCATTATAAACCTCCTAGAAAGTAGTCATCCACGGACATAATATGAATTGCGGTACCAGGATTTTATCGTGAGCGATTCAGTAGCCTGTCCTGACGAACTGGTGTGATTGCTAATTTCCTGTGATTGTTGAGTCTCCGGATGCACAGATTTTCGAATTGGTCGTTTCTCTTTCTCACCTCTGATCTTCTAATTGCTTATCATCCCTCTTGTTAGTTGATGCATTGGATCCATGTCTATACATCTATTCATCGCTAATTGACCCGAATGTCAAGCTTCTAGAAATCCGCTGGTATTTTGGGTTTCTTATTTCTAAGATCTCTACATTCTCAAAATCAAATTCATTTTCATAGTTATCCACATGTATTGGTATGAGCAACGGAATGTCGTGATGTCTAATGGTTAACTGATGTTCATGTAAACAGGAGAGAAGAGGTCGACCACTTTGTCCAACATAGTACTGATCACAGTTGTTGCAGCTGATTTTGTAAATCACATCTGGTTCGTCTTCTTTGGGCGCTGCCTTCCTCGGTCTGTATAATATGGATTGAAGGGAATTCGATGGTCTGTGAGCCATACCAGTTCCAAACGGTCTCAGTAGTCTTTTTGTGACCCCTTATATATCCTTCATGTATGATAGGATGATCCATTCGCTGAGTCCCGTGGATGATGAACTGAGTGGGCGTCTACTCAAATTGCGTGGGTAACCGTTCTTCTGTAGGACAGACATCAAGTAATTTCCTCCTCTTCTCCGTGAAGTTGTCCTCTTGAATAAAGTCTGTACACAACTAATTCTGCACATTGGCTTCCTGTATACTTCAGTCTCCAATTTCCTGACATTGGTTCGATTGACTAAAACACCCAGTATTAACAACTTGCTGTTCGACTCTTTATCCATTGTGAATTTAATGCTGTTGAAAACGTTGTTAGTGAGGTAATTCGTGAGTGTTTTCTAACTCATCACTTCTAATGGTGACTAAAGTATCGTCCACATAGCGGATCCAAATTCTAGTTTTCAACGCAGGAAAAATAATGGCTTCCACCCTCTGCGCTACTGCTTCTGCAATTAATCCAGATATCGGCAATCCCGACGGAGTTCCTTCCCATCTGTCTGTATACCTCACCTTAGATCAGAAGGATTTTATCAGACAAAGATCAATAGGTTTCATCAAACTTCTATCGTCAGTTAGGAGGAGAGAAGTAATATCATTAGTCAGTCGTCGTTTGATCGGTGTGTACAATGCTGTGATGTCAAGGGACATCATTAATTCGTCGTTGTCTATGTTAATGCCTTTAATTCTCTTCGAAAATTCGGTCAGTGACTTCATGGAATCTTCGCATGACTACACAAGGTATTCCAGTTCCCTAGAAAGTTCTCTGGAGAGGTTGTAGGCTGGGGTCTCAAAAAGTGAGACTATTGGTCGTATAGGAATGTACGGTTTGGGCAGTCTCGGTTTGCCGTAAAATCGACGAAGAAAGGGTCAATTCGATTTCATTCATCACTTGACTTGTTTCCTTATTTGTCTTCCACTGAACAACTTCCTTATAATTCTGTTCATCCGATCCTCAAACACCTGGATACAACAAGAATCAAGTGTTCGATTCACATTCACGTCTTTCAGAAAATTCTCCACATTCGTAATGTCGTCTCTCTTGTCCACATGAGTACAGTCCTGGCCCCTTACACGCCAGCAGTTTCATGATATCCTCCTTACTTTTCACTCTCTTAACTGCTAACTCACTCACTCAACAACAGCCCTGCACGGATCCAATAGGCTTGATTGGCTTTCCCCAATTCACACCATTCATGGCACCGCCTCAACACCCGATCGTCTACCAATGGCCGACGATACTGCGCTACAGTTTGCTCGGTTCTATAATACAGTTGTGAAACATCATCATGAGAAGCTTTCAGGTGTCCGACCAACGTTACCCCAGTAGCATAGGCCGTGTATCGTCATGTCACCATGTCGTGGACTTTCATAGACTCAGATGCCCGAGACATGTGTTGCGTATGCTCAGTCAGCCTCTCTACACCATCGTGCAACGTTAGCTGAAGTACATTCACTCTGGAAAAAAGTTAAAAGTAGCCAGACTAAAACATGGCATCAGTCCATGAGGTTTCTGACTGTTGGTCTGAGTCGTGTAGGCGGAAATGTAGACTTCTCGGCTGATGTCCGTGTGATAACAGGAACCAGTGGTTACAGACCCTAGGTGACAACGGCTCAACCAACCTCAGTGGTGCAGACGCATCCACACATCGCTTTCATCTTAATCACCACACCGAATTTCATCACCGTTTCGTCCTCTCTTCTCTTTTCCCAATTTCCTATCAATCTTCATTACTTCCTTCCTTATCTCTCTACCTTTCATCCTGGTATCTTCCCATCTCAATGTGCTGGTGTGGGGTGTAACTACATGAACAAATGCACAGCAGTCTCACACACAATACCGATATTGACTGACTAACTGAGCCCAAGTGTGGCTTCTGACTTCGTGAGAATATTCTCAGTTAAAAGAGACTGTTGGAACAGCTCCATCAACACAACTCATAAAATGCATTTCACAAAGCCAAGTTCTTCAAACACAAATTCACAGTAGTTTAATCCTTACATGATCATACTTACTCAGAGAATTCACCTAACACAACCAGTTTTACTGCTTTCCCTAAGTCCTCCATAGCGTGGATATCATCCCATGAGAAGTCGAAAGTAAAAGGTGATACTTCCAGCAAAGCTCAGTAAAAATGAAGCACAAATCCATGGTCATGTCCTAGAATAGCTCTCACCATGAGTGACGACATGACTTCTACAGTTCGGAAAGTCCTCAGTAATTCTGTGTGATTCAGAAACATATCTGTCAGTGACAGAATCAATCGAATACTGCCTTTTGGACAGAAGAAACCTGTGGTTCGCGATTTCGTCAACGGTAGAAGTCTAGGCGAGGCATCCACAAATTTTTCTGCTAACTCTAACCTATTTCTTCTGATAGTCACTTTGCACTTTATGCATCTCACTCACCGTATCTAACGCGTCCACTGCTAACTGGATGACAAGTAAAACTCTGGTGAAACACAATAATAATGCTATGCAAAAATATAAATACGCATACCCACACAAAACACTTTGTCTTCAAGGCAAACAGTTCGCTTACATGTATTCATTCAGGTTGGGATAAGAAAAATAAGAAGGGTGCATGATTTAGATATAGAGTCAACATCCACCTTAATACGGTGTGGATGAACACCAACAAACACTACACAGCTAATAAGAAATACTCAGTAATACTTCACATTGCAGAAATTCACGTAGCTGACGTAGTCACCAAGTCGAACACATTCATGATCCCTCAGTTATAACGACATAGTCAATGTGGTGGATATCCATCTAGTATTCTCACAGGCTTCACCTGTTTGAATTATAGTGATACATTCAAAAGAAATTACAGTACACTATTTCCCTACTTACCCCAGTATTGCTGGCGCGCATGGTAGGCGGTTCAGAATCCGAAGTGTCTATCGAAATTCGCCGATTCTCATCCACGGTGACAGCCATCTGAGGGTTATTACCCGATCTCAAAGCACGATCCCCATCATCCCCCTGACCACGGATGTTCTTACTTGGCGGTGAAGCCTACAATGATATACAAAACCAAAAAGGACAAATTGTAACAACAAACTCAATTAACGGTAACAATACACCATTCGGCATTGGTCCTCAATACAACTTAAAAAGTAATTTCAGCAGAGCGGAACAACTGCATCTCATAACAGAAGATATCGTTAAATCACATACTGTCACCAAGGTGAGTGCACCAGACTTCTACGAACACATATTCTTCAAATGTCCACTCACAAACTATATACTAGGGTAAGAGGAGAGCAACGGGCATATGCATCAGATAACTCACAAGTCTCTTACATACTTGATAACTAACTGCATCTCTTTGCGATTTCATACGATCCAATCACAAGCCTGCACTTCCACACACACACACACACCGGCTATTTTACACCATCTCTCAATAGCTATCAAAAGGACAAGTCGACCGGCTGATCGCATTCAGATACGACGACATCAACCTACGCAACCAGTAATAACTGTCTCCTTCCACAAGTATGGGGTTGACAGAAGTACGCTTGACGCAACTTGTAGTCGTGCGAAAACGTTCCTAGGGATAGTGTCTCATGAAACAGACACAACTATGAGAGCAAATACTGCTAAAAATGCCACGTTGGCTAGGCTGTCACACAAAAATAAAATACTTTCCTTTCTACGCATTTTGTGAAGACATCACCTTTCACAATGTCGGCAACTGGGACGCATCAGTCATCAGCACGTTTACAACACCACAAACTCTAAAGAGATGTTCCCCGAATAAGTCATCAGGTAGCTAGTACTAATTATACTGAGTGATACTCTTTTATGTAGTGCATCACTCAGTGTCAGTGTCGCTGTTGTCTCAAATATGAATTTTAAATCCAGCGGACACTAGACCTGTTCGGTCAGTGGTCTCAAAGCTACTCCTGAAATCCTATTCATCTGGACCGATAAGCTCTCAAAACACTCACTAGCACCAAAATATACACTGGTTAGCAGGAATGTTCTCCTAACTGGGCATACTTTGAAGCTGGTTAACACACAATAGATGTATCAGTTAATGCATAACTTGAATGATAGCCAAAACCATAAAAATGCAAGTTATATATGTATGTATCTACATATATATATATATATACATATACATATACATATATATATATATATATATATGTAGATATGTATATTTATACATATATTTATATATTAATATATATACATATACATATACATATATATGCATGCACCAATGTAGCTCTCTCATATTACTAACAACGTGTAAGGAGTAGAAATCAGTTTGAACACGCCTAGAAAAACTCACACATTCCAGGGTTGACTGTTTCGGACCATTTCTTGTACTTCTTAGAGGTCTTTTTAGCCTTCCAGGGCTTGTTACATGTGAAATTTTTTTCTCGTGGTGATTTTGATATGTTGCTTTCAAGCGATTCAGTGGACTGTGTTGGCACTTGCTGGAGTGTATGCTCACCTTAGGTTTGCACTTCATACTGGCCGTAGGCTTAACCGGAGGCGATTTCTTGTCGTTAGTTCTAAAGTGGCAATTGGTTAATTATGAATATCTTACATATTTTCGGACTCCATTGTTATACTGTGAAAATTCACTGTGGTTTTTGCTTGGCCTAATGCATTTGTGATCTGTTGAAATGTCTTCTGAGTTTTTTCTCTTGCTTTAATTGCTATATTTTTGATCGTTTGTTCTGTTACACGGAAGTGTTCAAACAGCTCCATCTGTCGTTTTCATAAATGGCGGCTTCGAGTAGAATTTTCGTCTTAAATTTGTTTAAACACATTTATTCTCTTCATTTTGCTCACTGAGTACGATAATCGAACACTTTGCCTCGGGTGTTTTTTTTCGGATGCATATGGAGTTCTTGTTTTAGGAACGAAGATATGAAGAAAGGAATATTTACTCCGTGAACAGATTTCGGTTGATGATAACTGGTTGAAAACATTTATTTTCTGAATCTTCCGTCAAATCTGATGTATTGATCTTCTGAACATCACATCCTGTTTCATAAAATTTTCCCGAAGTTTATTCTCATGGTCCATTAACTCTTATGACTGTATCTCGTGAGTACATTGAGAAGCTATGCTATATATATATATTGACGTAACGTGAGCGGCGTAATCATTCTTCTAAATCCCTAGGAACAGCAAGAAATGTCCATTAAATTTAGTTACTAAACGAATCTATCAGGGCCATGGAAGAATGTTTAAAGATTGCAAGCAGACTTCATCCCAACGCCTAACTTTCTAACTCATTCTTGCTAGATTTGAATTCTTCACGACGGCCTCCGGGCTTCTTTTCCGCATTATCTCCTGATTTCACACTATCTGACGCAAGTGACTAACTCTCTTTCAGGCTAATTATGTGCCGAAAGTTTCATGAGTGCTGCACATGCGGACTTCAGTCGGACATGTGCCCCGACAAGGAGGTAGTGAAACGACTTTCCGATCGTTTGTCTGAGTATCACCCATGGATCCTACCGTTATTTCCTTTTTATATCCCTTCTATTGCCACCTGATAGCTGTAAACTTTTTGGATGCAGACTAAGGAAATCTCCGGCACCATCGCTATGGGTACGTACATCTAAGAGTGCTGTACTTTTTCGGTTCATGTTATTCGTTTCTCGACTTATTTGTGTTTTGCTTTACCGAACTAAGTATATCCGGAAGTTTCAAAAACATAGCTCATAGGGGTTATCAGCTGTCCTCCCACTTCTAAAACTACAAACCCTCAGTTGTTGTTTGTTCATCGCAAGCTTGTCTTTGTGATTATTCATATTACCCCCTGAAGCACTAAGTTTGGACACACAAATGCAATACCTTTTCGTCTGGATAGACGGAGGAATTAGTGCTTAAAAGATGTTTCAGTGTAAGTGAATCCTGATGTGCTTATTGAGCTCTGGTTCGCACGGTTGTTTCTAAAATTTTCTATACTTCACATTCTGCTTATGTGTTAGGGAATCAGCTTCTTCCTCTGATCTTATGATGTTTTACAGCAGGAAGTGGTAAAAGACATTTCTCTACCCGACTAGAAACCTTCTGGTCAACTGCTAAATCGCATGGTGCTCGGCGATAGAACACCCCGGCAAATCAAGGGGTATACAAAACGTCTGTTGAGAGGTAGGAAGGTAGGTAACAGTTTATTCTAAGGGCCTTGACTGTGCGAAATTCCTTTGAGTATTCAACAAGTATTGGCCTCTAGAAATGCGCACACTAATATTCATGGGTTGGTCAACATTGCAAACTCGCCTGGCTAACTAGTTCACTAGTTACTAGCCGGTCCCCAGCCCAGATAAAGAGGGGAGGTTGGGCATACAGCTAGCAATCCTGCCACGTTAAGCAAATCTAACCGCTAAAGAAACTTCAAAGCACAAACAAAATATCAAAAATAAAACAAAATTATTCCTCCCTCCAATCGCAGAGGCGAAATGACGACTGTTGGTAAAAGCCTGACTTCGGGAAGCCAATTGGCCGATGTGTCTTCTCTCCCTCCATGAAAGCGAAAGTAAACGTGGGGACATGGAATGTCCGCACCATGTTTGAACCTAACAAGGCAGCCCAGATTACAAAAGAGGTGAGAAGGTATCACATCGAAGTGCTAGGAATTCGTGAAAGCAGATGGAATGGGAGTAGACTCTCCAACCTGTCGACTGGAAAATCAATAATCTACTGCGATATTGTCACCCAGACGACACGACAACCACGAGCACACTGAGTTCTCGAGTGGCTATCATGATATCCCCCTCCCAAGAGCACCGAAGGCTCTCTCTCATTCAGTGGGAACCTATCTCCTCAACGATCAGGATCATGACAGCAAGATTCAACTCAAAAGGAAGGAAGGTCACAATCATACAATGCTATGCACTTACAAATAACGCAGAGCAAGAGAAAAAGGAGGAATTCTACACACAACTACAGTCAACACTGGACAAGACACCACTCCAGTTGGCGACATCAAAATCCATTCTGATGGGCGACATGAATGCCAAACTGGGAGGGACAACACAGGAAGAGAACTAATCATTGGCCGAGAAGCGCTAGGTGAGGTGATGAACCAGAATGGAGAATTGTTTGCAGAATTCTGTGCATTCAACAATTTGGTGATTGGAGGCACCGTGTTCAAGCGCAAGGATATCCACAAAGCGACATGGATTTCACCAGACACCAGGACACACTAAAAATCAAATCGACTTTATCTCAATCTCAAGAAATTGGAGACTCAGTCTACTTGACACAAGGTCAAGAAGAGGAGCAGATGTAGGCTCACATCACTCACTATCTAGTGCAAGGAACCTTCAAAACCAAGTCAAAAGCCTTCAAGAAAGCTGGTGATAGACCACGGTTCAAGTACAACACTCGGAAACTGAAGGATGAGACTACAAAGGAGATCTTCACTTCAGCCATCAAGACAAAATGGGAGATGTGGAGGAACATCCCTGAAGAAACCTGTGTGGAAGAACACTGGAAGTCTTGGAAAGAGATGTGGAAAGAAACCTGCATAACCGTATTAGGAAGGAAGAAGAAAGAAGACAAGGAATGGATCTCGTTGGATACATGGAAGCTGATAGAGCAGAGAGAGGAGGATGGTGAAGCAGAAGATAAACCAGTGCAAGGATGAACAACGAGAAGAGGAACTGAGTACAATGTGTAAAACACTGGACAAAGAAGTGAAGAAGAGTGCACACAAAGACAAAAGACACTTCTACGAAACACTGGCAAATGATGCAGGACAGGCTGCAGATAAGAGGGAAAGAGACCTAACAACATTGTATCAAATAACCAGGTTACTACCTGGGAAGAGATCAACTCAGACGAAATCAATAAAAGATGATGACGGAAATTTGATCACGAAAGAACGGAAACAAAGGAAACGATGGGCCGACCACTTTAAAAACCTCTTGAATCGACCACCACCTGCACTTCATCCAGAAGTATCACCTACACCCACTGAACCGCAAGTGAACATAAATCCTCCAACAAAAATGGAAGTCCTGAACGCCATAAAGCTACTGAAATGTGGGAAAGCAGCAGGATCAGATGGGATCCCGCCAGAAGCACTAAGAACAGACGCAGAGACGACAGCGGACATGCTCACACCACTATTGCAGAAGGTCTGGAAGGAAGTAAAGGTACCTGGCGACTGGAAGAAGGGTTACCTTGTCGAACTCCAGAAGAAGGGTGACCTAGGCGTTTGCAGGAAATGGCACGGAATCATACTCCTGTCCACCCGGAGCAAGCAAAATATTAAGCCGCATCATCCTGGAGAGGCTGAAGGATGCACTGGATTCAAAACTACGACCAGAACAGGCTGGCTGGCTGGCTGGATTCAGGAAGTACAAATCATGTGCCGACCGAATTGCAACGCTACACTACACGTCATCATAGAATAGAGTATATAATGCCAGTCAACCCTCTACCCTACCTCAACTTCATTGACCTTGAAATGGACTTCGACAGCTCCGACCGAGAAGTAATTTGGAAACTGCTTCAATACTACGGAATACCACAAACCTTTATTAATCTCATTCAACAACTAATATGAAGATGCCACATGCCAGCCAAGTAATTCACAATGGGAAGCTCAGTGATGCTTCTGAAGTGAAGACAGGAGTGAGACAAGGCTGCCGCCTACTATCCCCCATGATACTCCTGATTGTAGTGAACTATATCATGAAAAAAACAGTGGGGAGCGAGAAGAGGGGGATACAGTGGCTGGACTGTGGAAAAGAACCTAGAAGATCTGGATTTCGCCTATGACTTGTGTATGATGTCGCACAAACTTGAAGATCTACAGGCGAAAACTAACAAGTTGGCAGAAGAGGCAGCGAAGACGGGACTGCAGGTGAATATAGAGAGGACACAGGTGGAGGTGATGAAGATACCCCACCAACAACTCCAACAAACTCCAATCACCATCAACGGGAGAAACTTAAAGGAAGTAGCCTGCTTCACCTATCTAGGCTAGGCAGCTCTGTTTCAATTACAGGCTGCACAGGCACAGACGAGGATGTCAAATTCAGAATCGGAAAAGCAAAACAGGCGTTCATTAGCCTGAAACCAGTGTGGGGATCTTCTGCACTCAGCATGTGGAACAAGATTCGGATTTCGACACCAACCTCAAGTCAGTGCTTCTGTATGTTTCAGAGACTTGGCGCGTCACGAAAGGGATTTCCAATAAACTACAGACATTCATCAATAACTGCTTACGCTGGCTCGCTACTGAAGATCAGATGGCCAGAAAGAACAAGCAACAAGAAACTCTGGAGCTCTGGGAACCGACCAACCAAGAACCTATCACCTAACAAATATGCAGAAGGAAGTGGAGATGGATTGGATTGGGCATACACTGAGAAGGCCAACCGGGGACATCACGCGTCAGGCCCTCGAGTGGAATCCCCATGGGAAGCGATCGGTTGGGTTTCAGTGCCGAGGGTGACGTGGAGGAGATCGTGAGAGGAGGAAATGAGAGCTTGTGGGCCATCATAGAGCCAGGTTCAAAGGATTTCAGGGAACAGAGCGCATTGGGGACGTTCTACTGAAGTCCTATTTTCCATTAGGAACCCAAGGGACTAATAATATAATCAACATTGCTGATATAATGAAAGAATACCTAAACAGATGAAAAATGCTGTTGATCCAGCGCGTGACGATCAGCTGGCCACTTTATGGAGAATGGCATATCAACAAGACCAGTGAGAGCCAAAACGGCTATCAGAGTCCTC